TTTGTGGCTGACACATGTAATGTCACGTCTTTTCCCATGCAAGTCTGAAAATATTTTTGATAAACCTTTAACTTTATGGCTTTGAAAATATCACAATTACATATTAAGCTTCTTTCTACAAGATTATTTCTTTAAATTTTGATATTGAAGAAGATACGTCCTGTAAAGAACTATAAATATTTGAACTGAGCAAATTAATTATGTCTAACAAATCAAATTAACCTTTTCCAAAAAGAATTATAAATATCAAGAAAATTTACAGCAGACCTGTGTCTGGAAATTGTGACAATCCCTGATTTTTAAATATCAAAGTGTAAATATTTCAATTAAGAACAGTATTTATTCACCTGTATAAGATGGTAGAGCATGAATTTAGCAATGCCAGCCCTTCTCCACTCAGGATGAGTAAAGATGAAGGAGATATATGCCTCGTTAAACTTCACATCAGGCACCATGAAAGAAAACCCAATCACAATTTTCCTGTGAAGGAAAATAAGTTTTTAATTTTTTTTTTTTTACATTTAATATGTTTTCAATTTGCAAATAAACAAACCCAAACTGTATTCATGAAACATAATGCTCAATGAGACACTCACTTTGGATTTGTCAATGAACATAATGAATCACCATAGCCTTAAGATGTAAGTTTCAATCTTAAATAATCAAATGTGTAAAGAGCAAAGTACAAGTACAGTTGAACTTCGGTATCTCCAACGTACATCTCAAATACCATGGATATGTCGAAGTGATTGGGAAGTCCTAACCACATATTTCTTAAGTATTTCATGCTCAATATCTCGAACCCTCGGATATCTCAAAGTTTTTTTCTCAGTCCCATCGAGTTCGAGATAACGAGGTTTGACAGTTTATCAATTATATAATATTCTCCTTCAGTTTACCATAAATAGCAGGCAGAATAGGTAATATGTTCTACTTTACCTGAATAGAACCACACAGCTGAAGTCTGGATACTGTAAACACTCTGACACTAAAAATAAACCACACGTCTTTGAAGAAACTGTAGCTCTACTGTTTTGCACTTACAAAAGTGAAAGAGACCTGTTTCAAATTTTACTGAAATTGAACCAAAACTGTAGGAGGAGTAGTGTTTGAAAGAATTCTGCACATAATTCTACTTTTGAATAACTATGAAAACATATTTCATTGAAATTAGAAATTGATGAAAAGATCAAACATGTTGTGCAATGTACATGTACTTGTGTACTAAGTTTTATAAAAATTGGACTAAAAGTGTAAAAGATGTAGCATTTTGAAAGAATTTCAAAGAAATTTATATGTTTAGAAACCATAGCAACACTGTTCAACAAAATCAAAACTGATACATATATATGTGTATCACTATAACTGTAACTTGAACCAAAATGATCCACACTTGTCAACTCCAAGTGCCCGCTCTTTGGATCAAGTTACTGTTACGATAATAAATAACATGTATAGACCCCTCCATTATCAGCTCCATATAATAGAATTTTTTGTAAATTTATACAAAGTTTAAGTTATACAAAGTCTATTCAACACAATGCATTTCAAAGAAACTTTTGTTTTGATGAGGGGTAATGCATCAATAGTTTCAGACAGAGGATATATGGAATACAGGAAACCACAGTGTGGTGATCTGGAAAGTCTGATTCCTTGTACTCCACAGTAAACTGAATGATACAAAGATGGGTACATAATAAATAAAATTAAGTATCTTGGTGTAGTCTCCTTATGTGTAAATATTTACTGAAATCAGACTGAGGAGGAGTAGGATTTTAAAAAAAATTTTACCAGCACAAAAGGTTCTGTTACAGTTAACAATTACAGATTGATCAACTATAAGATTTTTCTTCAAAACAACTTCACAATGTTTCTGTATTCATCTATTTTTAGTGTATAATATACACTTTATAAATCATGTCAGAGACATGTTTTAATATTCTATCCACTTACAGTCTATTCCAGGCCAGAAGAACTCTCTACACAACGTGTTGACAGAGGGGATGTGTTGTGGACGAACGTAACAATAGTCAACGGGAGGGGGTGGTAAAGGCTTCCAATCTTGTTTGTCTCTAAAATACAAGAAAATATGATCTGCACAAGTCAGGTTTAATGTTTCAATTTGATTTTATGCACTGTGTGAAACACAAAACCTAACTGTAATCTAACTTACAACAAAAATTTTATTTCATCATGTCTAAATCAACATTTTTGCAGCTTATTAAGATGTGTAAAGACTTTTTCCTCTTTATTCAATATAAATGATACAACCTTGATAAGATTGATGACAACCTCATTAAGCATTTTGGCTAACCTGTGTGGATATGCCTTAATTTCTTCTAATAATCTCATTTTCAATGGACGAGACTCATAATCTCTTCTTATGAATGGCTTCAGCATCCTGAAAGAGAAAAGTCAATTATAATAACAACTATTCAGAAGGACAGATAAAACATTTACATGTATTTGGTACAGGACATTTGTGCAATGAAAAAGGAAAATTTGTATGATGGCATGTAATATATCTGTATTTTACCTGTGCAATGTACTGTATGAAAATGAAAGGATAATACACCAATAGAAAATGGTTAAAGGTTTTGTGTAAGTTTTCTTGTTTTGTTTTCGTTTTTATTCAGTCAAAATTTTGTGCAAACCAAAAAAAAAGACCAACTCAGATTCAAAGTTAAAAAGTCAGATCAAAAATATTTTTGGTCAAGCACACTTGTAACCATAATTTCTTGCTAATTGATAAAACACCATCAGTTGTATACAAAACTAGATGTGTCAGAGTGACACAAATGCCCCAGCTGACGAGCAGTTTTAAAGGATATGAAAATACTAAGGTGGAAATGAGACAAAAATAAGGTATCAATTTTGTTTTCTTAAATTAATAGTAAATACCACAAAATATTTCAGCTGTGTGAAAATGGTGATCAACTACAAACACAGTTAAAAAATGTCCAACAACACAGAATAATAAGAAATCTTCAGACAATAACATTTTTTTAGTTTTATAAAAATTAAACATTAACTTGAACTTTATCTGTTAGGCAACTATATAAAGACACATACCAAGAATCAGCTCATTTTCTACAATCACAGTAAAAAAGAGTCCAGAAAACGTGAAAAATTAGAAATTTTCAGTCTAAGGGCAATAACTTTCATGAAAATGGGTCAATTAAATTGAAACTTGAACTTGATCTGTAAGTCTTTTATACAAGGAAATATTCCAAAAATCAGATCATTTTCTATAAAAATAGCAAAAAAGTCTGGAAAACTAACTAACAAAATGACCGGGGCATAAAAAATAAATATGTGTGCAAGATATAAATTTTGGTTCAATTTCTTTGCCTATTCATGAACGGCAGCAAAAAATTATGGAGGAAATCCGGGCTGTGAAGAAATGCTTTGTACTATACACTGAAATTATGTTGGTTAATGTTAACACACATTAACAAAACAGCTTTTTTCCACAAATATCCACTTTCACCATCTCAAATATGACTTTATTTTTAATGTTTTTCTCTTGTTGAGAGATTTCATACAAGACTCAGACCTGGAGGTATAAGGACTCCTAATGCTGGTCAGCTGATCATCATCTGTTCCAATGAGTCGATTGATGAATGTGGGCTGCTGTAACCTTACCATGTGGGAAACTAATGGTGCCACCTATAGAAATGGAAACTGAATATATCTCTGTTCATGTTATACAATACAGGCAACATTGGAAGTTAATTCCAGTAAAACGTTTACCTGAAAGCGATCCAGCACCCTGGTCTCTCCTGATGACAGGTGAGATGTGGGCACACCTTTTGGGTTGTATTCTTTGTTTTCCTAAAAATAGAAACAATCACACCAAAAATGTATTCTTAATAATTTGCCACCGCTTGCCAGTGGAGGGCTGCAAATTTTGACCTATACTCGGCACTCAGGGATCTTTTTCGTGCCAACACCTACTGCGACACGGGACCTGATCCAAAGGACCAGACTTCACATCCTACAGTTGATTCGAACCCGCAACATAAGGATCAACTCCTTAAACCGCGACTCTAGGTTAAATGCTTTAACCACTGTGCTACGCAGGTGACTTGAAAACATTGTGTTCTAACCTGTAATCATTAAATGTATTATATTATATGTATATTTGTATATGTGTACTATATGTATATATTACATCTAATATATGTACATGTACTGTCTGTTTTGGTATAAAGTACTAAGAACATTTTAGAGTAATTTCACCTGCCTCATTTTCCCAAGAATCTCCCCAGAATTTTTGTGCGAGTTGATTCATCTGAGCATCAGCATCAAAGACTGGAAGCCCATTTTCTCTTTGTTGCTATAAATAAATATCACTTAAAAGGAATATTTTCAAAGCAAAACATTCTTTGTAAATAGTCTTTGGAACCACATTAAATCAGTTTAATTTATTCTAGGAAACATTGTTATTGAAAAAATCTTACGGTAAGGTTTTCCCTACAGACCTAATTTTGTCATTTACCTGTCATTTATCTTAAGGTAAGGGGATTCCCTACAGACCTAATTTTGTCACTTACCTATCATTTATCTTAAGGTAAGGGTTTCCCTACAGACCTAATTCTGTCATTTACCTGTCGTACAATAAGTTTCCGTCTCAGTCGATGAAGTTCTGGTGGCAAAGGCCCCGCATCTGCAGCCATGTTCATCTTTTTTAACAGCTGTCTTTCTTCATAAAGGCTCATTAAGTGCACCCTGTATTAAGACAACAATAAACTCAGGAAAATTAGTTAATAAAATAGTGAATATGTTCATTCCTGCTACTGATCTTTATTCAACACCAAAACTAACTAACCACTGGTTACACTTGTGAAATATTGTCTGACTGAATTATATATTGAATAAAATATTATCATTTAAATACTGTAAACATAAAAATTTTCTGGTGAGGCAGTTTTCAAGAATTTTGTGATCAGACTTTACAAAATTAACCCCTGTTTTTTAATTAATACTACATACATGTATTATATAACTAAAGATCAATCTGTTTTTCTTATTTTCACAAAAATGATCCTGGCATGAAGAGTTAAATAAACAAAAAAAAATTAAGTCTCATAATTTTTTTCAACATTTCCAGTACATGAACGTATCAGTGGATTATGTTCACCTGGGAGGAGCTGGTTCTATATTCTCCTTTCTATCTTCCTCTCCCTGTCCTATCCTCCTCTTCTTCCTCTGTACAGGCTGGCTCCAGGATTGTGAGGACGTACCTGGCTCCTCCTGCTCCTCATCCTCATTACTGTCACTCTCTGACTCTGAATCCACCACTGAATCCTCATCCTCCGGATCTCTCTGGATTTCCTGTCTCTGACCCTGCTCCTCCTCTGGCTCTTTCTTTATATTTACTTGAAATATTAGTTGTTCCTCCATGTAGGCACTTTGCTGCAATTGGGATGATGTTGAGGGGTTGTCCTTTTGTTCCATAAGGGATCTTAAAGCAACCTCTGAGTTCTGACTACTTGATATATCTACAATTCATAATTGAAACAACAGAAAAAAATATTTATATTTTCTATTCATACAATAATGACTTCAAAAAGAAAATACCTCTAACAGTTACTGGTTTTATTTAAACATTTAAACCTACTGTCTGGATACAAAACTACACTTAAAATAATTTTTTATTCAGTAAAATTCATTCAATAAAAATATAGATATATTTATCACTTGATTACTCATTAAAATACAGTGGATATGGGTCTTATGATATCATTTTCATAGTTGTGACATCACAATGATTGATGAAGTTAAAAGTGGATTTTATATATAAAAACAGTGTAAAACAAGCAATCATGTAAAATAGGCGATGAAAAAGAATCCTATGGTTTGTGGTTGGATATGATTCCTACTCACTCTTGCCAAGTCTAGGGGATAGAAAACACACGACTCATTGGATAAAAATTATATCAAACCAAAAACCATGGGAGATCCTTTATATACATGTAAGCAATAAAATCAGATTCTAAGTACCTTCAGTAGATGACACAGTGCTAAGTATATCTTGCAAGGTAGGTGACTCTTCCCTCTGTATTGGAGATTCTGGTGGAGGAGTTATTGCCCCTGGATCAATCTCAAAATCACTCTCAGACTCCATATCCTGATCATCAGACATTAACATTGAGGGCAGACTTGCTGAAAAAGATCAATCATGTAAACGTACAATACATCCGTATGTGTAAACGCTTGAAATAATAATTTTTTAAGAAAATTCTCTTGATTTTCTTTCAACATCAATATCTTGATGATCCATTAATTGTTACACATTTTACATGTATGATTGATATTGGAAGACTGAAACAAAGACCATATATATGTGTGTATACCATCAGGCTTAAGTTCTTGTTCTGTCAACCATGAATCTGTCCTGGTGCTGCTTGCATAGGAGAACTGACTGTCCTCGTCCACTTCCCTGAAGGACTCTGAAAGGCTCCGATGTGAAGCACTGCCAGAGGATGCGATGGACACAAAGCTCCGGTTACCAGAAAGATTGTGACTGAAGCTGGTATCCAGGGATTCAGAAGCCTCCTGTTTAATTACAATAAAGTCTGGCTCCTGTTTGTAAAAGGCTTGTCCTGTTGTAAACTGTGAGCTGCTGTCTGAAGTCTCACTTTGAACAGGGGAAACTCCTGGGGTTGATGACTTAGACCTTCTCATTTCTTTTGCCTCCTTCAGTAAGAAGAACAGCATCAAAATTTTCATCAACTTCTTTATCGTCAGTAACATGTTGTTTATTGTCAGTAACATGTTGTTTATTGTCAGTAACATGTTGTTCATTGTCAGTAACATGTTGTAGACGGTATAGAGGAAAGAAATTCAAAGCAATGGACAGAGCTTAATTAACATTACCGACAGTTAGATTTACTCACCAGAAGAGTTTCTCTCTTTGCCTTGAGTTCCATGGCGGACTCTATGGATGTTTTTCCCCTGCGACTCCTCAGCCCTTCAACCTTCACTGTAGAGTCCAGCATTGGACCTCTGCGTCTGTTGGACTTTGGGGTGGACACAGAGGTAGTACTCACTGTATACAAAAACCAAACTAACTTTTTTTCACATAAACCATCAAATTTCAACATCATTTTTTTTTTCCACATGTACGTTTACTTACAAAGTAAATGCTCACTTCAATAATTTTGGATGTACATGTATTACTGCAAATTACTTTATTCCCAAGAACTTTACTTCCATGTATTTATGTGAGACAATCTTTCATTCTCTCATTTCATTCCCACGTATATTTGTATTATTTAAGACCATATACATGTACAACAATTACCAGGTTTCACCAATATCTCTAATTTAACAGAACTGAAGCAGACAGCATCAGCAATTACCACTTAGTCCTAGTATTGAGCAAAAATTCTGACCTTTCTTGACATAGGGAGGCTTCATTGTAGTTAGCCTCCACCAGCCTGTCTCCCCAAGTTCATTGGCACCAGATGTAAAGTGGTGAGGACATCCTGAGGACAATGTCCCTGCTACAGTCCCATGCCACAGGGTGGTCTTCTTTCTGGAATTTAAAGGTAATAAATACTAGTCAAAGGACAAAGCTTAAATTATCTGATGAAGACTTTTCATACTTCTATGCAAAAAATATGAACCCCTGTTATAGCCCCATCCTACCCAAAGGACCGTATAATTTGAACAGACTTAAACTTACACTATGTAACATTGATAGCAATCCTGTAAGTTTTTATATAAAATTCATCTTTCAGTGACCAGTGGCCTTTTTAAAGGAGCCTATCCTATTTTTTAATCAATTATTAATTATCTCCCCTTAGAAGGGGACATGCCCCTTCATTGGCAGAAATTTGAATCCTAAAAATGCATAGTCTCAAGTTTAATTGCAATAGAACAAATTAGTACATGTACTATAGAATACTGTAAATGTATTGTATTTAGTGTGTAAGACAAATTTATATCAACTGAAGATTTTCTCCTGTGTTTCTTATGAAAACTTCAGTAAATGCCAGTTTTCAAGACACATGTACAGATATCTTACGCAGTGACTTTTCCATCAATAAAACATACAATGAAAAAATAATAAAAATCAATGTTTCAATTTTTAAGATATTAAAACCTAATCTATATACATGTACTTGATTATTTATAAACAATTAAATGTCTTTCTTTTTTTTTGTACTGGAATTAATGGTTGCAGCTACTGCAGGAAAAATTACATAACCTGTTATGTAATTTTTCTGCAACAGCTGCAATGTTAATTCCTGCACAACAAACAAAGAAAGCTTTTATTGTTCATATTGAGCAAATATTGATTTTTCAACAAATTAGCATAGATTTGATTAAGCACCTTTTGAATGTACTGTATATACACAAGACATTTAGTGGTGTACTTGTACAAAAAGCACTAAATAGAATACACATCCAAATTAATTTAAAAAGTTTACAGTAAATCAAAAATGTAAAAGTTAACAAGCAGACTATTGGCAGCAGGACAGTGAAAAACTAGAAATATGCATAGGACTTGAATGCCCCGCCAAGGGTATATTAGTAATGCAACATGAAAATTTGTATTAGTGTATGAAATTTGATGAGAATATCTTGAATAGTTTCTTTAAAATTGAAATCTAAAATGTTGGATGTAGATGATAAAATTCTCACCAAATTATGTATAAGTGCATAAGCTTACATACATAAATCTTAAATGGTTTCTTTAAAGGACTATATTCTGTAGTGGCCAGTATCTGCCCCCAAAATAAAACTTTGATGGAGAAATCTTTAATTATGCTCTAAACCAGGTGGATATTTGCAGACTTCAAAGTATTAAATATTTTTATCAACTATGACATCATTACTTAGATATGACGTCAATAAAATGACGTAAATTCCAAATTGCAATGATTTTGAGAGAAAATAGCGTATTTTACGTCGGTTTTTTGATTGGAAATTATCGAGCGCAGGTCTGCTCAGACTAGATCTTTTGATATAATGTGTAGATTGATAATATCAATGAAATATGTGAATATGGTACCTGAGCAAGCTTGCGCTCTATAAATACTATAGCCAAAATTGAACAAACTCTGTGCATTTTGGCCTCTATTTTAAAAATAACGGAAATCCAAATAGTTTGTGACGTCACAGAGACAAGAAAAGCCAACTAATTTTTCCAATTTCATAATATATTGTCTTAATTTGGATTATTTTATACAATATATGCACTTTTTCTCATTTCAAGAGGTTTTGAAAATTTGACTATTATGGGGGCAGGAATACGCCCTTACCGTATATAGTTCTTTAAGCAAAATGCAAATTTAAGAAAAGTTAGGGCAAAGTCACAGGAAAGTTCAAGGTCAAATGCTTTTGATGCAGTTGAATAGTTCTCACAAATACGTATCAGCATATTAAGTTTGATAAAAATATTTTGAATGGTTTATTTAAAACTGAGCTAAAGACTAATTTAGAATAAATTAAGTTAAGGTCAAAGAAAAGGTCAAGGTCAAACAATGTTGATGCAGTTGAAAAGCTTACATCAGTACGTATTAGCATATGAAGTTTGATAAAAATATTATGAATGTTTTTTTTTTAAAACTGAGTTAAACACAAATTGAGAAAAGTGAGGTCAAGGTCAAAAAATGTTGATGCATTTGAATGGCTTACATCATTATGTATCAACATATGAAGTTTGATTACACTATCTTGAATGGTATCTTTAAAACTGAGCTAAATACTAATTTAAGAAAAGTGAGGTCAAGGTCAAAGGAAAGGTCAAGGTCAAAAAATGTTGATGCAGTTGCATAGCTCTTATCAATATCTATCAGCTTATGAAGTTTGATAAAAATATATTAGATAGTTTCTTTGAAACTGAGCTTTGAACCGAGCTAAATGCAAAGCATGGTGGAAGGATAGATGGAAGGAAATGACAAACACTATATGCCCTGGCCATATTCATGGCGGGGCATAAAAAATTGACCAGAAAACCTTACTTAACCTAAAAATAATGAAAAGTCATAAATCGCATTGAAAATCTAGTTTTGCTAAAATATATGTAGTCTATATCCATGTAGTAGTTCATACCTATGTGACCCAAACAAGGTATTCCAGTGTCTGTCTATGTAGGCACAAATGTGTTCCTTCCACCTATAGTAGCCACACTTCCCAGACTGCCCCAGTGTCTGTAGATTGTATAGGGCCAGGTATACTACCTGTGTCCTACAATAAATGTACAGTGTGTATTTCAGTGTCTGTATATTATAAAGGGCCAGGTATACCCTGTGTCCTACAATAAACATAGTGTACATTTTAGTGTTTGTAGATACAGGGCCAAGTATACTACCTCTGTGTCCTACTATAAGCAGTATACTACCTGTGTCCCACAACAAACACAGTGTACACTGTAATTTGCTAGGGTCAGTACATGAACAGTGTCATAAAATAAAGGAACAGTGTATTATGTTTCTCTGTTCAGGAGTGATAGAAAGATGAATGACAGTATTACAATGAACATTCAGTACCATCCATGGCATTTTGCTGCAAATGCTTATTAATGTGAAACAGAATGCTACAGCAGTAATAAATTTCTCCCTGACAATGTCCTTAATCTGACAAATCTGTAAGTGATACTCTGGCCTTACATGGTCATGCAAATTTAAAGCCAATGTCATAGATTTTTAAACTTTTAATCTCATATTAAAAAGGTAAAAGGTACATTTTTTTGTGATTTGCTTTGAATCACAAAAATTCTGCAATAAGTAAAAGTAAAGCTGCAGATATAACTTTTATGGGGTATGTTGTCAATAAATGATTCAGACTGAGTTTATAATACTATTAAAGACTCCTGTGAAAATTGCAAAAGTAAACATTTTTAACTTTACTCACAGACTGAAATTCTATAAAGTGAAAAGCTTTTCATACAAACCACTGCATTTTCATTCTCTTCACTTCCTCCTGGCCATCTTCTGCACAATTGGAACATGTCAAATTGAAGAATACATCTCCAACCATAGAGGAGGGGGTACCAGACTTTAAACACTCTGTAATGAGGTAAACTGCATGATGTCATTTTTTTCTTTATTAAATAACAATTGAAATAATATTTTTTTTAAAAATGTCACTGCATTATTGAATCAATGCCCAAAAAATAAATATATATTAAAAAAATTAATAAACAAATAAATAATTAAAAATAAAATGCTACATGTATATTGCATTTAATATTTAATTAAATTTAATTAAACATGATGAACACCTACATTTTCTGCATTACAAAGTTATAAACCAAAGCCAAATTTTACATTGTTGATCCCTGTTTGAATCTTGTCCAAATGACCTTAGTTCAGTGACAATTCAGATCCTGTAGTCATAATATGCAAATTTTGGGTCAAAGAAAAGCTCATGATGTTATTCCATTACAAAATTCCAACTGGTAATTGCAAACACTGAAATGGGGAAATTCTAAATATACCTCTCAAATGAAAATAAAGCTGTAATATTGTTAAAATCTCAATTTTTTGCTTTAAAATTATAACTCGATCTACTTATATTTTCATGGCATAGGCTTACTCCATCTATATGCAAACATAATACAGAACAAAGGACAATTTAAAGATCCTGCTGAACGACATATACATGTACAGAGAGTTCTAAGTTTGCATTAAGGTACGGCCACAGGAGTTCACAATTTTAATCAATAAAGTCAATAGAAATCACTCAACTGACCAAGCCATGAGCTATGCGTTAGCATAGTGAACGCATAGCTCATGGCTTGATCAATCGAGTGATTTCTATTGACTTTATTAATAAAAATTGTGAACTCCTGTGGTATGGTATATCTAGAATTTTCTTGTTTCTCTGTTGGTTCATTGTTTTCATGCCCATTGGAATTTTGTAATGAAATAACATCGATGCCATTTAGAGATAAAATTTTGATTTCTTTATTAATCTACATCAACTTTTGGTTCCTTTTTCATTCTAGTACATTTTTTGTTTGTTGATATTTTCCAGCTGACAATTTTCAAAGAGACGACTGCTACCTTGTATATCATGTATAATTATCTATAATATAAAAACACTTTACCAATATGAAACCGTTTCTCACAAACTTGACACTTGAGATAAGGAGAATCATCCTCGATACACACAGCATTACAATAACATGTCAGTTGTGATGTCTCCAATTCAGCCATTTTCAGTCTTTACCTACATTAGGTGTCAAAGAGATTCGAGATTTTATTAAAAAAAAAAAAATTAAATTGGATAACATACATGCATGTGCAAAAGTTTTTCGAAGGAATGTACGGTATTTTGAATAAGTATTTCATTTTCTTACAATGCATAATAATAAAATAAATAGATGTAAACCTTGAACAGTTGAAGGTTTGAAAATAATTTCAATATAAAAAAACCCCAATAAGAATAATACGGCTATAAACTTCATCCTTTCCACACTTTTGAGTTCATAAAACAGTAACGTAGAATAATAACATTCTCATGTTAAGTAAGTTCTTTAAATGTAATCTCTTAAATTTACCAAACATCTCCAAATGATAATAATATCATATCAAACAAACATGTGCTTTAACAGTTTAATGTTTTGGATTGGTTTCGGATTACCTGATACTTTATCATCAAGTTTATGCTAACTCTAGTATTAAACACAGCTGTCTGATGTTAAGATTCTAAATTTATCCATCATATCAATAAATTAGACCTATACATGTTTTATAATTCTGATTTTGTTTTGTTTTATTGTTTCCGAAACTAAAATAGACCTACATAGCCTAGCTCAGTAACTTGGATTCGTGTAAAAGACGTCCCCAGCAGAGCCGAAAAAAGTGAAAAAAAGAGGGTCATGGACCACAGCGCGCCCCTGATTCAGCTTTTTAAAGATTTCTTTAGTTTTTAAAACATTTTCCCCTCTTTATTCACACGCAAAATACATGTATGACCTCATAAGTGGCTCCATCCCAGTCTTAGGGGTCCTAAATATTATAATCCCGATGTTAAACTTTCATCCTCTATATTCGTGCCTCCCCCTTCCTTTGGAACCATAATTAGAATCTAAAGTATGTCAAGAAGCTTTGACATTAAGCTTAATCTTTTCTTGCCTAGTGGTTTTAAATAACCCCATCCTGTTTTGGCTTTTTTTCTTTATCTTGCCTTGATAGCATGCATGGCGGCCCTTCATTCAATTTTGATACCTTTACCCACAGATCCTTTGAAGTATCAATCTTGTAAAATTGGCCCAGTTTGGTCCTAGAGAGCTAGTAAATGTGTAGACAGATAGATGTTGGGTGATCAAAACAGCTCACACAAGCATATACCACAGGTGAACTAAAAAAGTTTATGGCTCCAAATATACCATATTTTATTATTCTCTCATCATAATTGATGTTGTCCTCTATTTAAAATAATCTTGACAAGAAACCACTGTCATTCCTATTTTTTTCTAATTAAAATGTAAGAATAATAGGCATTTGGCTACTTGTTCTTGCTATTAAGGATGATGCTCATAATTTCCTGGAGCAAGTCCAGTGAAGTTAACAATTATTTAAGAAATTTAGAAACATTCATCACCATCATAAATTGCAATCTTTTCCCTCAATTATTTCAGGACATGTTGACATCTGATGTATGTAAACCCTTTACATATATCATATACTTTAACTTAGGTTCCCAGTTTCATTTATCATATAAAAAATTCTCATTTCTTCAGCATCCCAGTGATTCCAAAAAAAAAAAGATAAACATCACAAAAAGCAAGTAATTTTTATTGATACAAATAATAAAACCATGGAATATCACAGACTTAAGCTAGTTGAAAATGTGCAGAAAAAAATTACAAACTGAAGTTAAAGATCATTTCATACATCAGGTTAATATGAAGTTAACTTTTCTGACTGGTTAATCTCACCAATTCAAATAGATGCTTCTCGTGTAAACTATGTATGGACAAAGGATTTTTATCCAAGTTTTACAAACTACAGTAATAAGATTATTTTTTATATCTAACAGTACATTTCATTAATACTGAAATATTTAACTTTTTGAGACTATAAAAATCACTACATTTTATTATCTTGCCAGTTTAAAACATTTACTTTATACATTTTAGAATGAAAATTATAAAGTGCAGTGTGTCTAATTAATGGATATTTCCTATGCTACTCAAAAAATGTCTAATTTCATCCAGAACACCCTAAGTAGTTTAAGCACTTTGATGGATATCCAAAATTTTTATAAATCATCTTATAGGTACACATCAATTTTTAACAGAAATATAAAATTCCCTGACAGAAAAAAAATGCTTGTTAAAATAATAACCAGACTTTCACCTTGTGCGGATAATAATAAAGCAACTCAAATGAGGATGAAAATAACACAAAACCATTAAAACACTCCTTTGAAACAATCTTTTCAAAATAAAAAAAATCTTGAATGAAGAGAAAAAAAATCTTGAATAAAGAAAAAAAAAAAACACATAAAATTCCATGGTTTTTGTATAAATATTGACCAAATGACCAAACAATATAGAACATTGTGCAAAAAATCAATACCAGATGCAAAACTTATGAAGGTAAATCATGCACTTGCTCCTTTGTTGTATTTATTTCCCTTATAAACTCTTAATTAAATTAACTGTTAACATTTATCAACACAGCTAGTATTTCCCTATAGTACAAGCACATTTCACTAAAACATTCAGGTTTTTTTAAGCACAAATATACACATATATACACAGAATATTTCCTCTGATCTCGTTTACTAAAATAAAGTTTTCAACACAATTCAACCCTAAAATTCCAACAAGATCTTCCTCTAGATTCCAGAAGTCTAACAAGTGAACACATCTGAACTAACATCTTTCAAGTTCTTATAAATATATATATTAACTGTTTGCATTTGTTGTAGTTGCAAGGCGCAACCCTTTTAAGCATATAACAAACATGCCAAATCGCATAACACTTCATTTCATTCTAATAAATACTAACTTCAAAGAAAATCCACATCTCTTACATCTCCACATACTTGTTTGCTCTTTTTAATCCATTCACAGTACATGTGCTTGCAATCTTCAAATAGGTGTACATTATAATACTTTTATTGCACATTTTTTTAACACATCACCACTTTTTCTACATTTAACAATTGTATATTAATTGTAAATAAAAAATGGGCATCAAAACACAGCAAAATTATTCCTGAAATAACCGGTTTCATGGTGACAAAGTACAATGCTGGGAGTATCTAGGTCATATACATCGAATGTTACACTGCAAACCAAATTTTAAACAGCGAGACATTTAATTCCAATTTTACACTATAGTCTAGTCCTTTAATAAATTATTTAATGTAACTTTAATATAATATTATTTGCTAACAAAATAAAGTAAAAATCATCTGGGTTTTCTACAATGTGGCCCTAATACTAGTATGGATGATCTCCATTTGTCATCAGTTTGGGAATTAACTTCACGCATGTCTCAAATATGTAAAAGTTGGTTCACAGTAAATTATAAATCACATTAAATGATTAAAATGTATTTATGTTATGGACTAGAATTGTCCATGACAAGTGATCATTTTTTTTCCGGCTTATCATTTAACTTGGAGACACAATCTGATTCTTCTGACATTTGACTTAATTATAGGAATGTACAATCTTTATTGAGGTTTCTACTGATCCAGTAATAAACGTAAGCATACAAAGCCAGCTATTGCTTCTAAATAAGGAAACTATTTCTCTGCAATGCAAACTACACCTCTTCTACTACACTGTAAGCCAATCACTAATTAAAAACAAGAGGCCCATGGACCACATCGCTCACCTGAGTAACTTTGGCGATGCTGTTCTTTACCAGATTTCCCCCCTTGTAATACCTATTGTGGCCCCGCCCTACCCCCGGGGGTCATGATTTGAACAATTTAGAATCTACACTATCCGAGGATGCTTCCATATAAGTTTCAGTTTTTCTGGCCCAGTGGTTCTTGAGAAGAAGATTTTTAAAGATTTTTCTTATATATTTCAATGTAAAACTTGGATTCCCTATTGTAGCCCCGCCCTGCCCCCGGGGGTCATGATTTGAACAATTTAGATTCTACACTACCCCAGGATGCTTCCATATAAGTTTCAGTTTTTCTGGCCCAGTGGTTCTTGAGAAGAAGATTTTTAAAGATTTTTCTTATATATTTCAATGTAAAACTTGGATTCCCTATTGTGGCGCAACCCTACCCCCGGGGGTCATGATTTGAACAATTTAGAATCTACACTATCCCAGGATGCTTTCACATAAGTTTCAGCTTTTCTGGCCCAGTGGTTCTTGAGAAGAAGATTTTTTAATGACCCCACCCTATTTTTGTCTTTTCTTGATTATCTCCCCTTGTAAGGGGACTTGGCCCTTTATTTTAACAATTTACACTCCCCTTCACCCAAGGATACTTTGTGCCAAGTTTGGTTAAAATTGGCCCAGTGGTTCTTGAGAAGAAGTTGAAAATGTGAAAAGTTTACAGATGGACGGACAGTCGGACAACAGACAACGGGTGATCAGAAAAGCTCACTTGAGCTTTCAGCTCAGGTGAGCTAAAAAAAGAAAAAAAGAGGTAAATCAAAGGGACAAAACTCTTTTGAAAATGGAATACATATCAAAACACAGTTTTAGCTTTAATACAAGTACGTAATTAATAATAAAATTAAATAAAATTAGTCCTTAGCATTAAGATACAAAATAAATAATTAAGCAAGTATAAAAATGGGTTAATTAATATCAATAATTTGATGCCATAAATAAATTAGGTTGGGATTGACAATATGAATGATGGGATAAAAGAAAGCAAAAGACAGAAGTGTTTTATTCTTTTGCCTTTGCGCAATTTACAAAAGCATGATGGGGAGATCAGATGAACGAAGGTATAATATTTATGTTGAGCAATTCTTCAGGCTCTTGTTTCACCACATTACCTAACAAAAGCCATCAGTTAAACTTAGGGAACTTCATGTGTCAGGATATTTGGGAATACTAAATATAACTGGTTTTTAAGTGAATTTTCATACTCAGTATTAAAATGAATCTGGGGAAATTTATGTTGAATAATATGAAAGTACATGTACATTTATGCTAAATTTTGATTTTAGTGATGATTACACAGCAAACATTCTATGCAAATAAAATCAACAACATGAAGTAAATTAACTCAAAACACAGCAGCATCTATTATCTCCAACAACAAAAAAAATCATTTTGAACGAAAAATCTTTCCCAATATTTGACACATATTCTTTGTGCGACTTCTCCCAAAAAATCAATTCAAAAAATTTTTGCAAGTAAAACATGAAGTGCACTGTATAATTCAAGTGGATATTCAGACAGTGAGTGTAGATCTGCAACATATTGTTGGCTGCCTTGAGATCAGACTTGATGAAGATGATAACTTTATCCCTGTGTACTGTGTGATGGGCTGCCTTTAAAACTGTGCTTTTCTGCTGTATACTGGCTCAAAGAGGAATTGTGCAATGACAGATTACTACATCTGCCAACCTGAAAAACAATTTTGAAATTTTTTTTATCAAACTGATATAAATCACAATTTTTTATGACTAATTAATCAATCTTTGGAGTCCACGAGTTTACATTACCAGTAATTTACACAATTTTAGTTTAAGTTGTTAAACCATGGCTTCCATTCATTTTTATGAAAACATTTTCCTTGCTTGTACTACAATTACATGTACTTGCAACTTTCAATAATTGTATTTTTGACACACTATATAAATCTTTGAATGCTTAAAATAAATTATTACTATAAATACAGTAACACAATCATTATACAATGTACAAAGGGGAATACAGAATATCTCGTGGTTATTTCCTCTACAATAATGACAAATGTGTTGTTGTTTTACTCTTTTTTTAATTCCTATGAATTATTGATTCATCTAACACATGCATCAGAAATAGTAATGAACACATCAAAAACTTTTAGATTTGATTACAAATTTGGAAGCACAGAATCCACTTCTAATCTGACTTAACATATACAGCTGTGCTTCAGAAGCTGATGAGTGTGCTCCTCTGGTAAAGACTATTACCAAAAATACAGAATCTTTTAAAATTTTCTCATATATAATGACAATTAAACAAAAAATGTACATTATATTTACTGGCAAATGGTAAATTGCTTATAAACTTTTTGATTTTATTGAATTCTGTAATTGATGATCAAAACTGGCAGTGCAACCAAATGATAACCAATTACAGGTGATCACTGTGTTCATGACTAATCAGAAAAAATTTCAAAATGAGTAAAATTTTCTAAAATTTCATGCAAATTTTCAGTGAAAAAGCATGTCATGCATGGAAGATACAAAATCAACAGAAGACAACAAAACATGCTTTATAAGTTGCCAAAGAAAGGAAACAGACTGCTAACATGTAAATGTATTGAACATGAAGGGTAACTCTTTCTGAGACATACCATTTTATTTATTTGAGGGGGATGAATTATTTTCTTCAACTACAACTGAAATTCAAACACAAAAGAAAAACTCAAATATCTAATGGACCAAATCCACTTATGTACTGTTAATAAAGTTTCTGTAAATGAAGACATGAGAATACACTGAAATGCATTTCACCTGAATTGAGTTTATTTATTATTTACTAAAATGTGTACAATTGATACACAAAAATTCACAATTCATGTTGTTATTTCAGGATAATTATTTATTTAATAGGTACTGTGAATATGAAGACATTGCCTTGCAAGTGAAACTTAATTTACAGTACATTCATTCAAATAAAACCAAATAACACAGACTACACTTAAACAGTTCAACGAGATGAACTAATTCAGAGAGAATTACTCACCAGTCTGCATTTGGTTTCCAAACTGCTGTTGAATATTGCCTTGATCCTTGTTAAACACCTGGAATGGCACAGTGAAAGTAGTGAACCTCTGCCTAGGGTTAGAGTTACTTCCCTGTAAAACACCAGAGGGTGCTGGATGTATTGTGACTGGCGATCCACGGAAAGTATTTATTTGTTGCGGAATTCGGGGCTTGAGTGCCTGCCCCCGCTGTGTTTCATTAAATTTTTGTGGCGGTGAAAAATTGTTGTTCATATTGGCTACTGTAGTGTATGGTCTCTCAGGAAATCCATTTTGTACTGTGTTCAGGTTAGGTCTAGGCTGTATGGTAACATTACTGGGACTGCCTTGTGGTCTGTGGTTCACAGTTAGGATGGGAGATTGCCCACAGGGTGAGGGCATCCTTTTCTGTTGAACTTTGGGTAATGGGAGCAGAGGTCTGTTAGAATTCGCTACTGGCATTGGAAGAGTAACGTTGGATGGTTTCACTGCAATATTAGGTGGTGGCCTTGTTAAATCTGGAAAATTGAATGTCTGTACAGTACCTCCTCTGTTATCTATGGTAAACTGAAAGCTAGGTCCATTTGGCTGGATGCCATTAGCTGGGGGTACTAATCCATTACTGAGTGGGACTACATTGCTACCAGGGGGAGGAGGGGGTGGAGGAACCTGTGAGCACTGTTGTAATGGCTGGTTAAAGTTGTTGACAGCCTTTCCCTGAGATGGAGGTGGTTGGGATGTCACAAGTGTCCCTGGTATAGAAGTTCTGATAATCTGCCCAGGGGTCCCTGAGCTCTGTGGCATCAACTGCAGAACTACAACATTGTTGGTCAAAGACGAAGCAGGAATAGTCTGGTTTCCCAGAGCAGCAGTTTGTATTAAATTATTCCCTGATTTTACTGCATTGTTAGCCATTATCATCATAGCTGGATTATTCACAGTTGCGTTACTATTCACAATACGATAGCTGCCATTTAGGGTTGCATTGGCTATACTGGTTTTTAATGCTATCGGTTGGAAAGAAGTGCTAACTTTCATGGGTTTTGTAGCAGGTTTAGGAGTAGCAGGTTGATGTTTTGCTGGTGACCTTTTAGCTGGTGGCCCTCTGCTACAACTACTGCTACAGCTCGAACTACGTGATCTACTTCTGCTGGAATACGAGCATCCAGAACTACAAGAAGAGCTACTTGACGATCGGGATCGACTACTGCGACTGGAGTCATAACTGGAACTTCGGCTCTTGCTACTGTAAGACCCATGGGTATCACTCCTTCTGTACTGGGCTCGACCACGATTAGACAAATTTCTATGTCTACCATTTAAATGTGTTCTCATATCATTCCTTTGATTGTTTACAAACTGACTTGGTGACCCTGGGGGTGTTCTTGGGCCCTGCTTGTGGACTGGTGGGCTCCCAGGGGGTGTTCTTGGCCCTGATGGCTTTATTTTAGTATAAGGAGCACTTCTGGAATGATCTTGGTGAGATCGAGATGACGATTTCTTGTGCACATTGTTATGGTGATGATAACCAGATTTCAGCTGTTTTTCTGTGCGCTTATTTTTAGTTAGTTCAGAGGAAGCCAGAGCTACAAGGGCATCAAACCCACTGGTAATTTCTTTAGGTTTAGGCTTACTGTTTGAATGTCTATAGGATTTTTCAGTTCTATGTTCTGAAAGATAAAAATAAAAATATTTTGTATTCATGTTTATTTCCTTAAATGTCACAACAAGTTGACTTTTCACTTGATAATTGAAAATTCATATTTATATCTGTAAAATGAGGTTCATTTCCACAAAACAGGCATTAATGATTGATATTTTCTATATCAAAAAAAAAACATATCAGAAACTCAGAAAACACACTAAAATGTTCTTCTGTATCATTTGATGTTGAAATTTTGCAGAAATTTCTTTGACAACAAAATAAATGATATTGACAAGATAATAAATATTTTCCCAAATATATTTCTGACAGATTATTTATACATGTTGTTTAACTAAGTATGATAAACCAGAAGTCTCTGATGAGACTGTAGCTCTACTGGTCTGTTTGTATACCAAAAGAAAAGTAGCACTTGGATTTGAAACATTGCAACATGCAACAATAAATAGAATTATGTATCTTAATGTAGTCTACTTTTGTGACAAGTTATATTGAAATCAAATGAAAACTAGGAGTAGTAGCGTTTTGAAAGTATTTCACGGAAATTTCTATTTTTAGTACTGGTAACCATGACAACACCATTCACCCAAATAAAAAAAACAGAAATACATATTATGTATCGTAGTGTATTCTAACTGTGTGCCAAATTAGATTGAAATCAGACCAAAATTGTAGGAGGAGTAACGTTTTAAAGGAATTTCACAGAAATTTCTATTTTTAGTAACCATGGCAACACCATCCATCGAAATCAAAAACAGATGCACTAAATTATTATCTTAGTGTAGTCTACTTGTGTGCCAAGTTATATTGAAATCGGACCAAAACTGTAGGAGGAGTAGCGTTTTAAAGGAATTTCACAGAAATTTCTATTTTTAGTAACCATGGCAACACCGTCCATCGAAATCAAAAACCGATGCACTAAATTATGTATCTTAGTGTAGTCTACTTGTGTGCCAAGTTATATTGAAATCGGACCAAAACTGTAGGAGGAGTAGCGTTTTAAAGGAATTTCACAGAAATTTCTATTTTTAGTAACCATGGCAACACCGTCCATCGAAATCAAAAACCGATGCACTAAATTATGTATCTTAGTGTAGTCTACTTGTGTGCCAAGTTATATTGAAATCGGACCAAAACTGTAGGAGGAGTAGCGTTTTGAAAAATTGTTTACAGACAGACGGACAGACAGACAGACAGACAGATAGACGGACGGACGACGGACACCTTACTATCGCATAAGCTCTTCTGGTCTCTGACCAGTAGAGCTAAAAATCAGGTTATTTTGGTTTGAATATCAAGTACTTAAAACATTTCTTTTATTGCTTCATTTCTGTAGTTTACAAGTTCTAAAGGTTGCAGTGACTTCAAACATTTAAAATAACATCATATTTTGTAGATCTACATTATCCATAACTGAAATGAGCAGAGAAATCACAACAAAAACCATAATAAAAAGTTTGAGCAAACTAGAAATATGTCCATAGGACATGAATGCCCGCCGAGGGTATATTAGTAATGCAAAATGAAAATTTGTATTAGTGTATGAAATTTAATGAGAATATCTTGAATAGTTTCTTTAAAATTGAAATTGAAATCTAAAAAGTTGCATATAGATGCTAAATTTTTACCAAATTATGTATTAGTGCATAAGCTTACATAAATATATCTTAAAAGGTTTCTTTAAAATTAAGCAAAATGCAAATTTAAGAAAAGTGAGGTCAAGGTCAAAAGAAAGGTCAAGGTCAAAAAATGTTGATGCAGTTGAATAGTTCTCACAAATACATATCAGCATATTAAGTTTGATAAAAATATTTTGAATGGTTTATTGAAAACTGAGCTAAACACTAATTTTACATAAATGAAGTGAAGGTCAAAGGAAAGATCAAGGTCAAAAAATGTTGATGCAGTTGGAAAGGTTACATCAATATGTATTAGCATATGAAGTTTGATAAAAAATATTATCAATGGTTTCTTTAAAACAGAGTTAAACACAAATTGAGAAAAGTGAGGTCAAGGTCAAAGGAAAGGTCAAGGTCAGAAAATATTGATGCAGTTGAATAGCTTACACCAGTATATATCAGCATATGAAGTTTGACACTAATTTAAGAAAAGTGAGGTCAATTTAAAGGTCAAAGGAAAGATCAAGGTCAAAAAGGTGGATGCAGTTGAATAGCTCTCATTAGTATGTATCACCATATGAAGTTTGACAACACTATATCGAATGGTTTCTTTAAAACAAAGTTAAACACTAATTTAAGAAAAGTAAGGTCAAGGTCAAAAAATATTGATGCAGTTGAATAGCTCTCATCAGTATGTATCACCATATGAAGTTTGAATAAAAATATCTTGAATGATTTCATTAAAACTGAGCAAAACACTAATTAAGAAAAGTGAGGTCAAGGGCAAAAAGAAAGGTCAAGGTCAAAAAATGTTGATGCAGTTGAAAAGCTTACATCAGTATGTATCAACATATGAAGTTTGATTACAATATCTTGAATGGTATCTTTAAAACTGAGCTAAACACTAATTTAAGAAAAGTGAGGTCAAGGTCAAAGGAAAGGTCAAGGTCAAAAAATGTTGATGCAGTTGAATAGCTTACATCAGTATGTATCAACATATGAAGTTTGATTACACTATCTTGAATGGTATCTTTAAAACTGAGCTAAACACTAATTTAAGAAAAGTGAGGTCAAGGTCAAAGGAAAGGTCAAGGTCAAAAAATGTTGATGCAGTTGCATAGCTCTCATCAATATCTATCAGCATATGAAGTTTGATAAAAATATCTTGGATAGTTTCTTTGAACTGAGCTTTGAACACAGCTAAACGCAAAGTGTGACGGAAGGACAGACGGAAGGATGGAAGACGGACATGACAAACACTATATGCCCCGGCCATATTCATGGCGGGGCATGAAAAATTTACTAGTCATTCCATGCTCCCTTCTTCAGAAAGCTAAGAAAACTTAATGCTAGTTTAAAATTTGAAATCTTTTACCTTTAACAGCTGCCTTTGTGAACAGGGGACTGTTTCTGCAGGAGTTAGAGGAGGACTCCAAGCCTGGTGTTCTCACAGGTGTCATGGACTTGTTTGAAGCAGGAGAGGTCCGAGATAAATCTATTCTTGGTTTCTTAGCCAGAATGGGAGAAATCGGATCATTTGGTTTACGTTTAATGGGAGTGGGTTGTTTTGTATGGCTGTGATTGTTGAATGTTGGCACACTATTGGGCTTCACATGATTATGTGCTTCAGACATCTGTATTAAAGCTTCTGCTAGGTTAAGCTTTTGTGACATGGTTTTATCATCAGATTTAGAATAATTTAACTGAGTAGTAGTGGTTGATCCTGACTTAGATGGGCCTGTAATTTGATCCTTCACAACAGCTTTTATGTAATTGTTTATAGTTCTGCCTCTGTTACTACCGTTTCGATTCTGAGAGTTTGCTGGAGAAAAGCCTATGTTACTGACCCCTGAACTCTGACCCGATTCTTCACCTGCATCTGTACTGTCCACACTACTTGACCTGCTGATAGGAGAATACATAGCCATGAGTCTCTCAGCCTTGGTCATTTCTTCTTTTGTAGTTGAAACCGTTTTGTTCTTTTGCACATCTTCCAGTCTAGCTTTATCCAAAGGGATACTAACTGGTAGGGAGGGTTTTGTCTGACCCTCTTCTGATTTCACCTTTCCCAGTGGTATACTAACAGGGAGGGAAGGTTTTGGCACCCCATCTTTAAGTGCCTGGAGGGCTATAATTTTCTGTTTTACACCATTTACAGGTTTCAATGTGTTTTCCTTAACATGTTGGTTTTTAGCGTTGTCTACCACAGCCAATACAGGCACAATGGACTTTACATAACTGTCCTTATTTTTCTCTCTCTGTAAAGCACTAGCCTCCAGCAATGATTGTAAAGACAGATTTTTCACTTTCAGATCTTGCTTTGAAGAGTCTACAGATACTGGTGCAGTGGATACTGAAGCTGCAGTGGTTTGTCCTACAGAAGATGATGGTATGATCCCTGAGCTTTGAGAAGTAGGGGATAGTATACTCCTCATTCCAACAGGCAAACCTTCCTTCACTTGACTACACTTCATGGATGCATTTGCTACATGGGCACTGCTTACACTTTTCATGGATGGGATAGTTGTGGCTAATGACAGAGATGTGGTTGATGGTGTAGCTGAGGATGATGGAACAGCTGTGCATAATGGGATAGCGGTGGTTGATGGGATAGCTATGGATGATGGTATAGCTGCCTTAGATATATCCCCAAGTCGTTGATATAGATTTGGCACAGGTTTCTGACCCTGAGCTATAAGCAGGAAGTTCTCTTTTTCTACTTCAGACAGATGCTGGTTTTCACTCTCCAGAGCCTGTACCTCAGCTTCTAGCTCCTTCACTTTGTTAAGTAACTTCTTCTTCTGGGAGTAGGTGGTACTGACATGTTTGATCAAATCATTTGTTAGCTCTGGTTTGATAAATCCATTCTGCAAAGTGATTAACACAAATTAATAACAGTACAAGAGGCCCATGGGCCACATCGCTCACCTGAGCACATTGGCTAGGAAAAAAAGCAAAAATCAGTACAGTATTGAAAAGTTTACAGGGAGGGGGGTGTTGAATTTTAAACTACCTGATGATGCTTTCATATCAATATAACAAATGGCTTTGTTGTTCTTGAGCAGCAGATTTTTTTCCCATATATTCATTTGTAAAAATTTGATCCCCCATTGTGGCCCCACCCTACCCCCGGGGGCCCTCATTTGAACAAATTTCATTCTACACTACCTAAAGATGTCTCCATATCAATTTGACTAATCATTGCTTTTCTGTTCTTGAGAAAAAGACTTTTTCCTATATATTCCTCTGTAAACTTTGATCACCCATTGTGGCCCCACCCTATCCCCAGGGTAATGATTTGAACAAACTTGAATCTACACTACCTGAGGATGCTTCCATATAAATATGACCAATCTTGGCTTTACTGTTCTTAAGAAGAAGATTTTTAAAGATATTTTCCTATATATTTCTATGTAAAACTTGGATCCCCCATTGTGGCCCCACCCTACCCCTGGGGGTCATGATTTGAACAAACTTGAATCTACACTACCTGAGGATGTTTCCACATAAGTTTCATCTTTCCTGGCCCAGTGGTTCTTGAGAAGAAGATTTTTAAATGATGCCATTATTTTTTCACTAATTCCTAATTATCTCCCCTTGAAAGAGGGCGTGGCCCTTCATTTGAAGAAACTTGAATCCCCTTTACCCAAGGATGCTTTGTGGCAAGTTTGGTTGAATTTGGCCCAGTGGTTCTTGAGAAGAAGTTGAAAATGTGAAAAGTTTACAGACAGACAGACGGACGCCGGACAAAATGTGATCAGAAAAGCTCACTTGAGCTTTCAGCTCAGGTGAGCTAATAAAACTGAACCAAGCCAGAAATTGGATTGAAATAGCATTCTTTGTTATAATAAAACTTATTGTCTGGCATACAGCCATTTGTAGGATCTGAAAACATGATTTTTAGACAAAGATTCATGGACATTTAGGTTTTAATTGAGAAGTTCAGCACTGCTTTTTTGAAAGATTTTTTTTCTGGGTACAGTGTACATGTATGTGGAAATGGGTAATGAATCTCCACAAGTGTACATATTCAGTGCCCTTTGACATGAATATTTGATTTCCACCAAAATTAGTGTGCTCTTAACAGACTGGCTCTTAACAATTAGGCAGCTACTGCTGTACAAATGAATATAACCACTCAACTATTAAACCAATCAGTAAAATGATTGACTCCCTGAGCCAAAATGAGAGAAAAGAATCTAACCTTGTTTCCATTCAGTTTCTGACCAAGGACTTGCTGATTTGTTTCACCCTGCAAAATAAGAAAGTCACCATCACATGTTATACACAAATTTGTGTTGAAGTTAAATACCTATATTTCTCCTAAATAAAATGCCTTTCGTAATACGTAACATTTTTTAAATACATGTAGCTCTTTAATATTGATCATTATATTAAGAAAAGACTGACCATCAGTTTGTTTCTCTCTGCCTCCAGATTGGACACTTGACCTTGGAGGTTACTCAAATGACCCTGTAGCTCCTTATGTCCAGTTACGATCTTCTTTGCTTGCGTTAAGAACTCAGATGGATTTTCAGCATTTATACCCAGCTGTAAACAATCATAAAATAAAATGTAGGTAAATTTATACTGTAGCTGTATCTTACATTGAAGATGCACAAAATTTATTATTTTTATAACCAGTATCTAAACATGTTTTAGTTAAGATTGTTAGAATTAGTAAATAATTTTAAAATTAATTTAACTTGCAAACTCATTTGCCCCACCCCCAATTCCCAACTTATCTATAATAAATACATACCTCCTTCATTCTCTGTTTAAGTCTTGACACGCCCTCTTTCTGCAGTCCTGAAATCTGGGTCTCAAGATGCAAGGCCTTGGCCCTCAACTGTAGCTGTCTTTGCTGAAAATGGAATAAAATTTTTATTACTACCTCTATTATTTTCACCTCTCTCTCTCTTTTATTAAAATAATGTAGTGATCTCCCAAAATTCAAGTAAAAATGTCCATCTCAGACATACCTTTTCCTTCTCAATTTCTCGCTGAATGGCAATCTTATACTGTGGGCTTTTCATGTAAGATATAAACTGCATGTACTGTTGTTTGAACAAATCTGTTGAAAGAAAAAGATTTAAAGAAATAAGGATTTTATGAAGACTACCTAGTTAAAAAAAATTAGTGTAGCAGTTAACTCTCTAGTATCCTTTTCTTAAATATTCTAGTAAGATGTCTTCAAAATATGTAGCAAGTAATATATAGATACTGACCAAGCAAATGCTGCAAGGCGGGGGGCTCTGACTCCAGGGAGGAGATTGACCGACTCTCTGTGGTAGGTTTGAAGTACGAGGAGGAGACAGAGGTCATGCTGAGGTCATTCCACTTCATCGTGTTTTCAGGTGGAGAATCTGTGAAATGATTAATTACACGATTAAATTGAATAAAATTAATATTTTCTTCTGTGCCAGTAAGCACAGCCACTTAGAAAGGATGTTAATACTGGAAATCTCATCATATACAGGAATTACTTCTTACCAGACTTTGCGGTTGACATTAAGGTGTGAGTATGCAGCAAGTTCAGACTGTCTAAACCAAGGACTTTGGATTTGGCCTTTTCTTTGTTTTTCTTCACACGAGACTGACGACTAAAATTTGTTCTCTTTCTCCCTAAATAAAAAAGAATACCATGTAGGTCATCAAAGTGATAATAACAAATGTTCCTAAATTAAAGCTGTTAATTAGAATGAATTATTCTCTGCTTTTAAATCTTACCCCCCACGGGCTTGTCCTTTCTGACATTTCTCTTATTCCTGGCTGTCTTCACAGCTGCCTTTGCCTCCTTTGGTTCTTCTTCTTCAACATCCACATGAGACTGAAGGAAAAAATCCAAATTTTGATATAAGAAATTAAAATTTTCAAATCCTTGAAATAGCTTATCATTTCACAAATGATACATATAAATAATATTACTGTGATACAGTTCTACCTTTCAAGACTCTTTAAGGCTACAAATAAATTTTTTGGTAACAACAAAATATCGTCTACATATTCCTTGCTCTATATTCGAACTGAACCATAAATGTAGTATCCTGAAACCACAGTCATCCAAGCATCAGTTTGTGTCAGGTGAGAAAGAGAAAAAGGTGGAAAATGTGAAGCACACTGCCCTTCCAACAAACAGTAGTTTTGCGACTGACAAACACACACACCGGGTGTGGCTTGACTTACATTTTCACTTTCTTCCCCATCCCAGGCGGACAAAAATGCTGAGGCTTTGGATTTGCTGATTGTTTCCGACCACTGCCTTCGGGTGGTAGCCCCAAATACCTGGTTATTTTCATCCATGGTGGTACTTGTTGCAGTACTGGTGTTACTGGCACTATCAAAGTCCAAGTTCCGAGATGCTGGGAAGGAACTATTGGAACAGCTATCCAAGGCATTCACACAAGCCCTACTTCTGCGTTTCAAGACCCCATTCCTAACTTCTTCCTGTAAAGATTTTTATTATACTTATTCCATGTGGATTTAAGTAACATGTATTGATAAAATTATAATCAAACATAAATATGTTCACAATGTACTTCTAATAGCTGGTCACTCTAAGTATGGTATAATTACAACAACTCACCTTCTCTTTATTCTCAATGTTATTTTTATCTCTCAAGGTCAGCAGTCGTCCTTTACGATCCTTTCTTACATCCTCCTCATCCTATTAAAAAAAAAAAAATCATTATCAGTAGAAATCAACTTGATTACACATGAATATCTCTAACATGAAATGCTGATTCACCAACATCTTACTTAAAAGAAAAAATTTCATTAAAGATACTGTACCTTCAACTTGGGATTTTTCATCCTTAGGAAATACTTCTCAAGCTAAAAAAAAAAAAAAAAACATCATTTGTAAAGCATCAGTTTGTGAAAAAAATAAGTGCAAAAAATGTGTGCATAAAAAAATCTCAATATTTGAAAATTTATTTAAGCATCAATATCATTAATACTTCATTATCATTCATAATGAAAATTAAAGTTAAAATATAAATTTGATACATGGAAAATGTTTTTCAAATATGCAACTGTATGTTTTGCAATCTTGTGAGTGCTAACTTGAATACTAAAAAGCATGCAGATATGAATAATCCAAAAATGTTAAAGTAAATAACACAACTATTTTAAAGTTAAATATAAAACTGTTCACACTATAGGTATGAATGCATATGATTCCCAAATCTGTGCTCATCTGATCATTTCCTTTCCTCTAGTACACTACAAATTGAACTAGCCTTGCTAGTCTAGCATCCATACAAGCAAACAGTCTGAACCATCTTTTTTCTTTTTTTCTTAGAGTTTCAAATTTTTTTTATTAAGTCAAGGTTCATTTACCTCCCATAGACCAAATAATTTCTTTTAAAAATACCAGACTCAGTAAAAAGCAAGTCAAATAATTTCTTACTTTAAACTCACTAACAGATGTGTAGCTTGTATGACTGAAAGAGTAATAATGATTTCATGACTGATGAGGGTAGTATGAACTCTGGGTATGGCTACATGCAGAGGGGGATCCCCCTACTCACCAAGGTTCTATCAATGGTGTGAATATAGTAAGCAAACGGTTTGCCTGTCCAGGAAACGGCGCCACTTAGTGGGGACAGCTCGGCAACATGCATGATCGTCCCAATATCTGTAAATGGCAGAGTTTATGTATGTCAACATCTCCACACCTTCTATCACTTGACAGAAAGCCTACTGGGAAACTGACACTTGGAGCCACCCAAACTTGGTCTAAACCAACTCTAGACACAGAGACAAGCTGTCTGAATGAAAAATTATACAATCTTTATGAAGACGTATAATAAATCAACCTGACGACATGTTTCTTTGAACCTAGCCCTATTTTTGCCACCTAAACTTCTTACTCTGCTACCTGATGGAAAAAATCAGGGGCTGGGGAGGGGATGACTCACCATTGCCCTATCTATTGTATGGAGAAAGTAGGTCACAGGTTTTCCTGTCCAGGACACCTCACCTCGAAGTGGGGATAACTCGGTTACATTCATTATAGCCCCAATATCTGGAAGAATACTTTAGGAAAATACACTCAAGGCACAGTGGCCTTGTAACATTTCATAAATTTTATTGTTTGCCAAGGTGAATTTCCAACTGGTAGTTCAAGCTGAGACTAGAAAGTCTAAGTTGGTTTTCTACGACATTCAACAACATGAATTGCACAAAGTTTCAATATACAAGTAATCTTAATCTATTTTTATCAGAGCAATAATTATTTCACTGAATTATTTTCACTGATAAATAGTGATGTTTCTTACAAAGAGCGTAATGTCAATTCATTTACACTGTTTCTCTTCAACAGTAATTCATAAATAATAATACTTGTACAGTTTTCACTTACCACTCAAATTCCTGTCTGTAATTCTGAAATTCAGTGGACAGAATGCTTTTGAGGAAACAATTTTGGCGCCCTCTTTCATGTTGGCAAATCTCAGTTTCAACTGAAAGAAAAGATGACAGATTCCATTTTTAAACAAAAACAGTTTTTAAAACAGATAAAATGTCATTATGGCCATTCCTCTAGTTCTTGGATAGACAGTTAATACTATAAATCCTTATCAATCATAATACTGTAAAAAATTTTTATGTCTTTATTAGCACAATCCACTACGTTTGTAATGACAGACATGAAAGAAAACATCTTCATGAGCATATGTTCTGACAAAAGTACACAAGTAAATCTGATGAGGGTTGGGCTGGAGGTGAGAAACTGGTTGGAAAAAATCTATAGAAATAATGATTTACAAATGAAAGAAAAAGTGAACAAGCTCACATACCCCACGCTCCCCCAAAACTCGACAATGCAACACGTAATGAATGGCACAGTGCATTTTAAATACACAGTATAATTCAAAAAGGGGCATTACTTGCAAAAAATCATCACATCAAAACTTCTTGCATATAAGGACATTCAAATGGGAACTATCCAAGATTTTGTGTGTGTGTTAAATCATTAATATTTTGTTCTCAAAATCAATAGTGGTCTTTTAAGGTCATAAAATATTTCACATAAAATTTCATTACAAAAGCTGATTCCAGTGGATTTCCTTATTACCTAGATGGAAAGTTTCTTCAATAATAGGCAAAACTCTTAAGGCAAAAATAATGGAATCAGAATTTCCTGGTAATATGCACATCTACACACTGTGTACTAAATATCTGCAAAGTTTAACCAAATTCTGTGCAGCAGTTTAAGAGGAGTTGCACTAACAAACTGTTCATCTCTATATTCAAGATATGGCCAAAAATCTTAGTTGAAAAGTGCCAAAATTCCCAGAAAAATAATGGAATCAGAATTTCCTGGTAATATGCACATCTACACATTGTGTCCTAAATATCTACAAAGTTTGACGAAATTCTGTGCAGCGGTTTATGAGGAGTTGCGCTGACAAAAAACAGGACTGACGGACGGATCAAAAACATTATATCTCACGCAACTTGTTGCTTGGGGTATAATAAAGAAATCCTAAAATAAGTGCCACTCAAATAAATCTGATGATATCAAAAACAAGTAAAATAGTTTGAACCTACACTGAACCATTTCTTTTAAAAGGTCAATATCTATGTCATTTTCATAATAAACATCTATGAGAACTACCACATATTTCTCAATTTACCTGTATCATTTTATTTATATTCTTTACACATTTAAAAGGTCAGGAAAAACCACAAGGTATGAGAATTATTTGTGGTGAATAAACTAACATACCTGATGGTCTACTTGTGGTCCAAATGCAAAGTTGTTAACAAATATCACTCTGTAAATGCAAAAAATAGCATTCTGTCATAAGTTTTCATTAACACCTATACCAACCACACAAACACATGAAATCCATCAAATGCTAAATGTGTTGTAAACTGAATCAAACATTGAAACAGGTAGTCTTTTTTAATTTACTTATTCATGAATTTTAGAATATTTAAAAAACAGCAATGAATTTTACTTTAAATTGAACTATTTTTGTTTTCTTATTCAATTTTTTTTTATATTTTTATATATTTATATATGATCATTGAAAAAAAGAAATATGTCCAATTGACTATTTCTTTTCAATCAAACTGCAAATTTGACTTTTACGCAATAAATTTTATTGTCATATAATTGTTCACAATTTTCCCAACTAATTTGATAAAGACACAGCTAGATAGAAGTAATCTCAATTTACTGCTGATGTAGAGATCTTACGTGGCGTTGTTGATTTTCTCTTTCACTGCCTCGCAAAGAAAATCCCCCTTTTCTATCTGATATTGCCCATGGTCTTTCCCATACCATTTCGTCCACTTCTCAAACTCTGAGGACATCACCTAATAAAGTTATGTAGTGTTTTAACATGTCAATCTAGTACCAAATTAGATTCAATTGTCACATCTAAAGCCAGAATTCAAAAGAGCAATGTTACCAACTTACCTTGGCATACTGGGCTGGAAATTCAGCTTTCTCCATTCCGTAACACATTTTACATGGAGTGGCAGCTGCTACTTGTAGGACAACCTGTCCAACACCTGATCAAATATGTTTCAATACTCATATATTTCTGATTGTTTGTTTTTTTTAGGCATTTCTTTATTGTTTGTCTACTAGGGCTGACCAATGTTTGCCACTGTTTCAAAGCATTCTCAAAAATTTTGTTCTACCCTTAAATATCATTACACTCCAAATAAAACCAATATAATAACCTAACCATTCTCTTGCAATTTCATTACTTTTAAATTTGTTACGTGGAGTACAAATATCTACTGTATTTGAACAAACTCAAATGAACTGAATTTCTTACACTAGTTAGTAATTAGTTTAAGCTGAGTTCAGTTTTTTTTTATATTGGGAATTAATGGCTTAAAAAATAATAATAATAATAATTTTTGCCATTAAATTGTCATGGCCAAACAAAGAGATTCACCTTTAACCACTCTATCAAATAACTTACCACTGCCCAAGTCTATGAAGTAGTCATCCTCAGTGAAGTTGATGGATTGTATCATCTGGTCCACCAGGTCAAAGGAAGTCTCCCCGTACACCTACAATATATTATGTATTCATCATTAATGCTTAACTGGATAAGGAAATTTTTTCTTATCTAAAATGATTATCTATTACAGGTATAAGGCAACTTTTTTTAATATCATTAGGCAGGTTCTTCCTAGTTTACCAATACCCTATTGATTATGTTCAATGTAAATGTCTCATTATAAGTCAGATTTGATAGAAATGTTTGTAACATGATTCAATTACCTCAGGTGAGAATGGTTCATACTGGTTCAGTCTCTCTGGATCGCTGACTGCTTGGTTATAACACTGCTGTAATATGTGCTTCAGCAGACCGGTAGACGGACGACCAGCCAACTCACTCTGTCGACTCGTTCCTTTCCACTACAGAAATACATGTAAATTCATGCATTTTCCAATCTTACTTAATCTTTTCATTCAATGCATTATTTTTGACTCTAAGAGAAACATGCAAAAATATTCTGATACTTAAAAGTCATGTTTATTTGCAATATAACATTCTCTCTTAACTATAAATTGTCACCCCACCCCCAACATAATCTTTTTCATAATAAAGGGATTCTTAAAGACTAGGCTAGCATTACTTCATCAGCCGGCCTGAAAAAAAAAATTGGAGATCAAATAACAAGGAGATAATGCCCCACCCCTAACAATTACACAATTGTAGCTCTAACAATCTATAATCTAAGATGCGCAAATATCACAATAATATTTGCGACAATCTTTCTATGACGACACTTCCTAACATTTCATACCTATTTTTGCAAAGTTGCATGATTAGACAGGTAAGCACCCTGCAGTATATCACAGGTATTATAATCATGGTACTGTAATTTCATAAGTTGCTAACATTTGATTTGCTGTAATCTGATAGATTGCCTTTTTGTAATACCATGCTAGTTTTCCTTACATCTCACAAAACAAGGTATCTAATCACTTACAAGTTGTCGAATGCTGTCTATCGTCCTGTTGTATTTATCACAGACATTTTTCATGCTCTCAAAGCTGAAATACCAAAAAATATTTATTTCTTTTAATTTTTTTATTTTTTTTACTGCATATATACATTTCAAGTCAAAAAGAATTTAGCATCATTTTACAGGTATATGGGTGAACAAGTGATTTGTGAAACTAAAGTATATATTTTTCAATTCTAATTCTGAAAAAATGTGTTTAGGGTTTCATCCTATAAAAATAATAGGCTAGGTCAATATGATTTTTTTTTCTTCAAATAAATATATTTATGTACTGTATGATTTTTAAATACATTAATTGTACACATGTACTTGCTAAATATATATGTTATTGTCTCTAAATTAAAACATTTTATTCTTCATTATTTTTGTTGTTGTACTTTCTTATTTTTCAATACTGTTTTAAAAACACATGAGAGTCTGGAATCAGTTTAGATACTGTATATTTTTCCAGCATTTTATGCTATATATAACATACATAGATATATTAGCAATTTACCATCCACTAAGATACTTAGCACTTAATCAACATGTCTAGCAAGTTTGATTACAATTGATAATTTCTGAATAAATGTCAACAGTCAAAAACTTCACAAAGTCTTTTAGTCAAACTGTCAGCCTGAAAGTTGTGTAGTTTTCTTATCCATTTTTATTTTTATTTTCTTTTTTCATCCCAATTTTTCAAAACTCAGTAAGTAGAGAAGTTGTATTGATGGTCCCTTATTTCCACAACAACCAGAGTAAGTATTTTGCTCAACAGAAAATGTATACATGTATAATAAAAGAATTCTTTCTAGATTACCTGTTAACGTCATACTCCTGTAAGATGTGGTTGTTGAGAGCTGACTTTAACTCTGTAACATCTGCTGCTACCCATCTAAATAAATAGATCACAGAAAATTTTATTTAGAAAATTTTTCATGTATAACTGGTTTGTTCATTTGTTTTGTTTTGTTAACCAAAAACTCCCAACAGCAAGTATCTCTGTTTTTGATCAGATAACCCGGGCAATATCTCCATCAAAACACTTGAATTTACTTGTATCAATTGTTGAAAGTCATATAACTAATTTTTTTTTCTATGACTTACACTCATTGCTTAGTCACCTTGCCTTTTTGTCATGACCTTGAATCAAGATATTGACAAATTCTTAGGTCATGGGCACTTTGCTACATATGCAGAAATAATTATTTTATTCCCATGAAGGAATGCAGAATTTCAGGTATAAATCATATGCCTTCACTTCATTGAAGGAGAAACAGATTGAACTGCTTTTATATGAGTAAGGTGAAAATATGTGAACAATAAACAAAACACAGGAAGAAAATGCACTGCCAAGGAACTCATATTCTAGAAGGTACGTCATAAAATATTACAGGTATGTCAGTGTTTGTATAATGCTTCTAGAGAAACAACGATATTGTTAAAAATAAAATAATATCAACAAGATCAAGCATGCCAAGGTTATAGTCTGCTTTCTGATCAATGGACTAAGGAAAAAATATCAAAAAGTAAATAACATATCCCCACTTCCAACTCTATTATGTAACAAACACTCTGATTGGTTAATTGCTAGTCATTAAAAAACTGCATTTTACCTGATCTTACTATTTCATATTGTGGTAAATATTCAATTATTAACAAAATAGGAATGGTTTAGAAAATGACAAAACAATTGTAAGGTGTGGAAATTGAAATGGGAGCAGTTGAAGATTTAGTGGTTTGGCATTTTTGCAACTGTAAAGCTTGCAGCCCACTTGGGGTTATTGTTTTCTCTAAAATGACCACAACTGGGGTAAACAATCAAGTTTTATTGACACAATAATCAAAAATCAGAGAAATTTTCCCCCATCTCTCTGCCCAAAAGCCAAATGTGCCCAAATTTCGCCATCAGTGCAAATAAAGCTGAAAGTCTGTCGGTGCTTCAAAGGCAATGTCTATATAATTTTAAAAATTGTCTGGAAAAAAATGGTACTTTAAATAGTTACATTTCATTAGATAATAGTTTCTAAATATTCTATGAAAATCATTTTCTCATGAAATTGCTTCTTACAAATTTCATCAATAATCTCTTTGGAATAAAAATTCAAAACCAATAACATATATACATTTGTGAGAAATCAAGATTTCAATTTAAGCAGATGAATTGCATTCAAATTCTGTGCTGTTTTACTTCAATATGTACACATGTGAAACGGATTTCCAGTAAACAATGCTGGTGCATAAAATACTGAGACGGTTTTTACAATATTTATTCCATTCCCTTCCTTTTTCATTATACACATAATCTGACCCTGTCTTAGTTTGAGCAGATGCTCTTTATATTTTAGGTGTATGATTTCACTTCCCTTCAAAAACAATAAAACTTAAATAATATATATTTATATAAATTTATCTTCAGAAATCCATACAAAACAAGCTACCAGACAAAACCCTACAGGTTTGAGCTACAGAGTCAATACACCCACATCTTCTTCCTCAAATTCAATATTTTCAACCCACAAGAAGTATTAACTGTTTACAACCTGACCTAATTTAAAACACCTACACATTGACTCCTTATCCCAAGCACCTGGTTGGAGTAATGGGAGAATGGCATAAACTGACAGGGGGACAATAACCCCTTTTATAGCTTGACCGGCAGACACCACAACATCCAGCTACAGCGGCAGATTCTGAGGTTTACAGGGACAATGCCTCCCTGTGAACTCTACAAGTATTGATCTCGTCTGATACAGCCACAAGGCAGAAAGTGAAGAAGAATCTCTCAGGATACTACTCCATCAGCAGCCCTTTCTGCCCTCCCATATCAAAAAATAATACATTAAAGTATATTTTTAATATATTTTTAATACAATCATTTTCGTATTGTTTAAAATTAATACAGAAAAAATATATTATTTTTGTATCACCAACAAATAGGTATATTATTTCTGTATTAAAATCTGACTTTGATTTTTTACAGGGTATTATTTTTGTATTTTTTGGGACTTAGATTATTTTCAGTATATCATTTTTGTATTTTTGTGGACTTAGTTTTTTTCAAGTGTATTTTTTCTGTATTAAAATTGAACTTAGTAATTTTACAGAAAATTACATACAGTTAATCTGTATTATTTTTGTATTGAAATTGAACTTAGTAATTTTACAGAAAATTACATACAGTTAGTTTGTATTATTTTTGTATTAAATTTGGACTTAATAATTTTTCAAAAAATACTATACAGTCAGTATGTATTTTTTTTATATTTATTTTGGACTTAGTGTTTTCTTTTACTGAAATTTGTATTTCTTTGAACTTAGGAAAATTTACAGAATGTCCTTGCAATAAGTCTGTTGGAATTAATATTTATAAAGGTTGCTTTTATACTATTTACATTTTTAATTGCTATTTAGAACAGAAAACTTCAGTAGTTTAAATTTGTTAACTAAACAATTTCATGTTTAAAACATGTCTTTACTAGGTGTGAAATTGTCATTTGGAAAGAGATATATACGTCTGAGGGGACACCTGTGCTGTACGTGATACTTGTAAACACGGGGTAAATTTTGAAGTTTCAGAGTTTCAGACTTTCTTTTGTGTTGAAAAATTTACAGCGTGTTTACAACCGAGTGTTTACAACTATCGCCAACAGCACAGATGGCCACCTGCAGGCTAACAATAGACGAGTACATGTTATACTACTCAAAGAAATAACATGATTTACCCGTGAAAACACATCCCAACCAAAACAAAAACAAACAACATGGAGAGTTCCACTAATTACAGTACCTACGATGTTTTCTTGACTATACAACTCAATTTAGTATACATTATATTTAATTCATTACGTATTACAATTACATGGAATAGAACTATTTAATTATCCGCTTTAAAAAAAAAAATTAAATAAGAAATTATTACGAAAGAATTTCATAAAATAATATAGAAAATGTTGTGAAATTGGTGTAAAGGATAGTTGTTAAACATTATTTCAATCTCTGGTACCGTATGTATGAGTTAAGTTGTCCGTCAAAAAGGCTATATATTATGTATCTCCCGCTCGTTTTGATCATTATATTTGAACTTTATGGTCTGCTTCACAGGTCAACTTGAATATAAAAATGGCTGCTCTCAGCGGAAATGATGACCGGAAATAACGATGTTTCGTAACCGGTAAATTCCGTAAGGAATAAAAAATGATTCTGATGATTAAATTGAACATCGTTTTTTCTAACATAATTTTAGGTTTATTCAATTGATTCAAGATATTTAAAACCATGTAAATATGTTTTCTCTAACTGTTCCGATCTCAACATCGGTAATTTTCGTATATATGACACAATATGATTGGTCAGATTTTAAAACTCTTCCGTGCTGTTCTCTGATTGGTCAACAATATTTCACCCACTCCATTTTGAAAATTCTTCCCGGGACGTGTTGAGAAAGCTGGAGGTGATTTTGAATAAACTCTCATTTGCTCGCGAGTAAAATGGATCGAAAAACAGAAGTTCAGCATAATCATGGTACACAGGATCATATATATGAACCAAGGAAAGCAAATACATAAGGAGACTGACGTTTTTAAGGCATCATATCCGGACTTTTCTGGTGTAAACAACGACAGTTGCGGTAAGATTATGTATATTTTAACACATTAAAGTTTCAGTTTTTTAAATAATAACTTAGTACAAAGATAGAGGAACAAAGACTGACTTTTTTACCCATTTTGTAGTATTGTAGAAAGATAAAATAGTACGGTTATTGGCCATGTGGGGAACAAGGGTTTTTGTGATAAATTCTGATTGGGGAGGGAGGGGTGGAAGATGGGGGTAATTTTCAAGCCTTTGGCTTCCTAGTTCTAATTCATTCCAATTTTTTCAAGTTTACCAGAGACGAATTATTTATTTTCCCTTCAAAAACTATTCTGTAATTTGTATAAACTCAATTTTTTTCGGGGGGGGGGGGTAGGTTGGGTTCGGGGGGGGGGCAGTTTATTTAAATAACATTGGGGCACACATTTTGTTTACTCTTTCAACATTTTCAAGGACAGATTGTTTATTACAAATATTTTTTAAAAAATATTTTATAAATCAGCCCCCCCCCCCTTTTCTTCTCCAGATTGTCAAATCAAACGGTTGTCCCCTAAGAAACCCCAGATTAAAGAAAAGTAATTTCAATGGTACAATTGTATGGAATTTGGTGAACTCCGCTGGATCTTTTGGAATTTCAATTTATAATTATTGTTAATTTCAGTCAGCCGAACATTGAAGAAAAGCTGACAAGTCATGGAGGAAGAAGATCCCTCTCAAGAAAGTATTGCAGGTGTGTGAACTAAACAAAATCTATATAGAATTATTTTGAATGTTAAAATGTGTGTTTTGTTGAGGTAATGGTTCATTAAATTTTATTATTATATCATTCTGTTCTATATTTCACAGTGATGAAGTCAGATGAGATGACAGGTTGTGTGATTTGAAGATGGACTTCTGCAACAAAGTAAACACTCCTCTACCTTTTCCATACAAAAGAAACAGCAAAGCAGAGAGATCGAAACATTTGGTAAAAGTACAAAGAAAACAGGATTAGTTAAACTTGTGAAAAATATCAAGACTATTGAAGAGCAGATTATATGTAAAAAGAAAGATCAAGACTACAATTGGTAGCTGAATCAGTGGCCTAGCCACATTAATTACTTTTTAATTAGCTATTTGTACATTTAAGGTAATCTGACTGAGTTACTAAAATTGTTATTTAACAAATATTTCAAATAAATAAAAGATTTTTGAATAACAATCAGTAGATGCTATTAAGAACCTCAATCTCCAACCCCTTTTCTTCAAATAACAATTTTTGCCCATGATCATTTTAGTAGTTTTTAAAACTCTGTTTTGTATTATTTTAAGCATTTAAATGTATTTTTTGTCTATCATTCTTGTACTTTTTTGATATTTTTGAAATACAATCCTTCATGCTGATAAAAATACAAAAACAATACATATTAATACAAAATTAATACATTCTATATTTTTTTCATACTTTTTCGTGTACTGTATTATTTTCATATTTTATATCTTTTTTGTATTTTTAATTGTTCCAGTTGAAAAAATACAAAAATAATATATGTGATACAAAATTAATATATTCTATATTTTTTTTGTATTTTAATTCTTAAAGGTGAAAAAATACAAAAATAATATATGCTAATACAAAATTAATACATTCTGTATTTTTTCTATACTTTTCTATGGACTGTATTATTTTTATACTTTGGAGAGGAAAATAGAGAAATAATACAAAAGTACAAAAACAATACGTTTTTACAGGTCATGTGTATCATTTCTGTATTATTTCGAAAAAAATAAAGTATATTAAAAATATATTTTTCTGTGTTTGGCTTTTAAAAAGTCTATTATTTTTGACCTAAATTGGAACCAAGATTTAGAGGGTTCCAAATTTGGTCATTAAAAATATACTTTTTTTGTATTATTTTAGTATTTTTTTCTTGTATTATTTTTGTATTCATTTTCGATATGGGCTAAGATTTTCAAAGGTTATTTATAGATGTGGGTGTACTGCATTGTACCATTTACCTGGTTTTTCAAACAATCAATAATAGATATGTAATATAGTGGTGTCGACAACAAGATGAATTTGGCAAAATAATTGATGTCCAGCACAGACCATTTATTAAATCTTGCATAATATATAGCACAGAGCTATGATTAATTAATTTCTCCACATGTAGCTGCATGTACTACCTCTTATATGCCATACTAAAGATTGACATGTGCAAATTTGTATTTCACAGTGTGACCTTTCATTCACTTCTGGATGATGCTAGGTATGATAAATGAATCAAGTCAGAAATATGCATTAGTCCTTATTGATTTTTCTCATGATCAACAGATTGGGGGAAAAAGAAAACCTGTTCAATACTAGAATTACTTAACACGATTTATCCCCATCGATAAAAACTCCGGTACATGTATCAATGTTATATGTGAAAGCTCTGGTTTTTCCGTTAAATATAGTGGGATGTGACAAAGTGTAAATGCTAAATGCTTTTTTTAATGACTTTGTCTTTCGTTTTCAGTTCATCAGAAATAGCAACATAGCAACTCCCACAATGTCTATATATATATATATATAAATGTATAGTACTGATATCACAAAACAATATTATTTTATCACATGAAGTGCTTCATATAGCTGTTTATTTTCATCATGTGATTTCAATGTAATCTATGTGCTATGTTTAACTGAAGAGTTGTTAATAGTTGTTAAGTACTTAAAGTGTGCCTGAACATGTGAAAATATATACTAACATGATAACAACATCCCCTTTTTTGGAGGGGAGGGGAGGGATGGGTGGTTAGGGAAAGGGGTTAATGCATGGAATTTTAACTTTTAACTTGGTATAAACAGCAGTACTCTTTCTTAATTATATTTGTGTTTTATTTTAACTGTGCTTTAATAAAAAAAATCTCTTTCAACTGATGTATATATATATATATATAGTTAGTCCACGGAGCTTTTGTTGCATTTTGTTATTGAACTTTTGGATTGATGAAATGCTTGCCAGTAATGCTAATAAGTAGATGAAAGAGATCTTTTAATTATTATACACATCCTTTAATCAGGAAAATGTCATGTTCTTTTACTGCATTTCATCTATAGTTTGCATATCCTAGAAATCATCTGTTTCATCGCAACGTTTGCTAATTATGGCCAAGTTCATGAAGGAAAGGGTCTTTAACATTTAAAGAACTCTATTTTTATAAATCTTTTTTCAGAAGACAACCATCCCTCTCCCACATTCCCTCATTCATGGCGTTAACTTGTCTGGAACACATGAAAGTTCTTTTTTTTCCCTTATTTTTCAAAGGCTTGAAACTTTTTCATGTTATGTTAGAATTTGAACTATATAAATACATAATATAGACTGACCATTAAGATATATATCAATCAGGGCCTGAGAAGGGGCCGCGCCACGCGCCATATGCGCATACTGTCGATAAATGGCGCAATGAAATAACGGTGCGCTGCGCCATGCGGCGCGCCTCGCAAAATGCGGGCTCGCATGTTTTATTACTTTGCTTATCGCAGTCAGCGCTTTTGGCTTCATTGCAGTTAGATGGAATCTGTGATGTATTATATAATAAAATCGGAACCATCTTTAGGCATATTGACTGGCAAAGAAACAAAGTTTTTTTTTCCATGAAGTTCGTAAGTGTCAAGTCGTTTTCGACGGTTCTGGGTTGATCACAGTTTTACGAAAGTCACGCACATGGTAGATTTACCCTTTTTTCAACGAAGTCTACTTATCTTGGCCTGTCCCTTGATCTCAAAATCGGCATCGTTAAAAAATGGTGCTTTTGGTTTTAACAGGGACCTATATACTATAGTATATAGGTCCCTGGTTTTAATATAATTTTTCTAAATACTAGTTGGTTAGAATCTAGATGATGAATGATTGAAGTTCTTAGAAACAGAAAAATCATTTGGAATAGTCAATGTATATGACTTGTCAATTTCTATCGCATTATCCCACTTTATGTTGTCAGAGATATATGCATTATGCATTATCATATAGCATCAAACTATGATATATTTTAGAATGGCCCCAAGATAATTTCCCTCGGCCTCTTAAATTTCAAAATGGCCCCATCATTTCATGAACAGTGGGGCCAAATGGCCCAACCTGTTGCTTGACCTTCCCAGGCACTGATCAATCATAGATTGTTCACTCCTGATTATAGGCTGTTTCTAGGGCTGCTCTTAATTTTTTTTTTTTTTTCAATATTGGCTGGAAAATTTGAGGAGTTCAACTTGATGTTAAATACATCCTGCTTAAATCATACCCCATAGGAATAAGTCAGGGCAAGAAAAATTGTAACAAGAAATAAATCCTGCCAAATATTACATGTATTACTTGATTTAAGATTTGGTGCTCAAAGATGCTTTAAATAAATTATAATGTTCCTACTGGCCAAGCAGTATTACATGAATATATCATAAAATTATAAAGTTGTATGTGTCAAACTTAATTCAGAAATTCTTCAGTCTAGATTATGAAGAAAAACATCATTATTTACAACAACAAGAAGAATTAATTATGATCAAATACACATTTTGACATCTTCCTATGATAATGTTTACAATTTACATCAGCAAATTCATATTCAATCGATCCATGTCTTTGTAAAAACGTTGACGTGATTTGAAATTTTAACAGAAGGAAAAATGGTTTAAAATAATGACGCTTATTCGCCACTGGTTGTATGACGTACTTGAATGAATTAAAATAAACATACATCCTGTAGTTGGGGAATTCGCTTTGATCAGTGAGTCAGGAATTTACAAGACAGCGCTCTTCAATTAAGAATGACAGTCTAATGGCCATCACAGAGTGTACAACAGACATGAAGTAAAGTAAATTCACCCCAGAAAATTTAAATTCAAACTTTCATGTTCACCACAAAGCAAAAATTCGCCACTACATTCGGCAAGAATGAGTAACCTAGATTCCAACTTAGTCAATGACCTAGCTATATTTAGATTCCATAGTAAAAGAACTGATTTTCATAAAATCTGACGGTAAATTTCAACTTACCTTATCGTATCTATGACCTCCGTGGCCCCTTCCTTTCCATCCTATGAAAAATAAATCACTTTTAATTTATCATAATAATAATTTATTAAACGATTTATCTTTTAGCGAGGCACATGGAAGAAAGGAAAATTGAGGACAAATGTGTATTGATCAAACTTGTAAAAGGCACGTACCGAGGACGATATAGGCCATGTGTAGACGACTGGCTCTGCTCCAACTGGACTGTGAAGTCTAAGTTCGTTTTCCATACTTTACTTTCGCGATTTTCTCTCTCCATTTGACAATCAGACACTGAAGTTCATCGTCAGAACTTTTCCCATTTCTTTCTTTACCTCCTGACCTAGATCCAGCGTCGGAAGGAAGCCACCAATGAACACGTGAGATGTAAACGTAAAGTTGATTGGCTGTTTCAATGGGAGTGGTAGTGTAAAGTGGGAGCCAGCACGTATGTTATCCGCCACCGCGCGCACTTCAAATAAATATTTTTTTAATCTAAATTTGTAAACAAACACATAAAAATGTAAGATGGTTTTTATGTAATTAACTAGCTTGACAAAATTGAATTCACGATAAGTTAGAATTAGTATCAAAATTTACATTTAGCATTCCAAGACAACTAGTCATAAATTTCAATATATTCTCCGATTATTTTTTAAATATTCATTGATTACATAAATTGCGTTGTTGTAAATACCGTTGACTCGTGAACATCTGTTTTTCGTTTATTGTAAAGTTGATCATCATTCACTAGTAATGATTGTTGTGTGCTGCATCATAACTGGATGATTATTCGATTACTACTTATTTTAAATACAGTTTAATTATAAATTAAATACTTAATAAATAAATTCATTTATGCACTGTTACAAAATAACAATTATCATATCATTATCTACATGATCACCACCACCACCACCATCAATTTTTGCTCGTTTTTAATTATTATTATTATTATTATTATTATTATTATTATTATTATTATTATTATTATTATTATTATTATTATTTATTTTTTAATTAACGAAAGATTTGTAGGTTCAAATTAGGAATTGTTCAAAAGATTAAAAATAATTAAATAAAGGTTGTTTATATTACGAGACTAAAAGTTGTTATAAAAAAAATTGAAAAAAGTTATAAGAACGAGATGAGTCATTATTACGACTAAAAAGGTGGTTATTACTAGAAACAGGTATTTATTACGACTTCAGTAAATGTTATTACGACCTATATCTCGAGAAAAAAGTCGTAGTAACATAATGTTCAGTCCTTGTATTATATTACGACTTTTATCTCGTTATTACCACTGTTTTTTATTTCATAATAATGACTTTCTTATGTGGTAATTAAGACTTTTCATTTCCTGTTGTTCATCAGAAAATTATTAAAGATTTTTTTCCCCATATTTTGACTCCCTGTTGTGGCCCTACCCTAACCCTTTGAGGGAACTCGCAGTATTTATAACAGTCAATTGAAGTCATCACTACTAGTATATGTGAATGAATTTCAATATGTGACTTTGCGTGGACCTCCTGAAGAAAATTTTGAATGCTTTTCCTATATGTATAATAGTATGTGAAATTTTGATATGGTATCTTAAATAGTCCCGCTCTCACGTAGCCACGGGTTTGAGAAAATAGATTTGACACAAAAATCTTTGGCTTGCGACGATATGTCTTCATAGGCCTTGCAGGTCATTTGACTAAAGATTTTCCCAGAAACCACTTTAGCCCCACCTGCTACTGGAACTCTTGCCCCATGTGACAACAATTTAATGTTCGGTGAACACTCTATAATCATTAACATATCATTTATGCATTTTGTCTCCCAGAAGTTTAGGGGTGAAGAAAGGGTATACTATATATACGTGTATGACCAACTTAATTAGCCTCACCTTGGGGATTATTATTATTATATAATATATATATATATTTTACAATTTTGGTAGAGGGCTAAGTGTGAATTACAACAATGGAAACATTTTGACTGCTAGACGTCTGGGGCTGAACGCTGGACCATGCAATGCCACACGAATTGTACAATTTTGGTAAAGAGTATTTAATACTCATTGCATCATGTCCTATATAGAAAGGAAAATTTTCAAAGATGTATTTTCAAAACATGTCCAACTTAGCCGTTGAGTCTGAATGCTGGATCCAGAGACACGCATTTTACACTTCTGTTTTTAGGGCTCAATAAAATTATGCCAGCTAGATTTGCCCAGGCTAGATGTCCTAGAGTAAAGAAGATTTTCAAAGCATCTAGCATTTGTTGACATATGGTTATAATAAGTCATAAGCTCTTTACTGAAATAGTGGAAATCACGGCCACTGGGATTATGGTTCAGGATCCATTTTGAAGTTAAGTTGGTCATCTACTGTAAATGCATTATATTGTATAAATTCTTCCTCTTTACTCAGGACATTTAACAGAAAAACTGTTTCCACGGTTTTAATGAATACTCAACATTCACCAAACTGTGAAATCCATGACCGGCCCCTGGGTCCAGGTTCAGGCTTTAGCGTGGGGTCTTTTTGGTAATATGAAAATAACTTACATGCATCTTTACTTTTCTTTAATCTTCTCAGTACACATGCATTTAACAAGTAAACTCTTTTCATGATGTAATAAATACACTGTACAGTAGGTGTGGATATTTTTATGGGGTAGAATTTTGCTATTTCCTTATTGTTTAGTTTGGCACCTCTTTTGGAAAGCGTTCTCGTGGTGATAAATTTTGCGAAAACTCACCCCCAAAATTTATTCCACAATTTTTTTTGTACGTTTATAATATTTAGCCATCTGCATTATTATCAAATTCGAGGTCCAAGGGCCCATAATTCAGACTCCTGGGTGGGGCTAGTTGGAGCTATTGAAAATGCATTATTTGTCATAAAATGTTTTTTTATCTCGAGGATATCCAGCAGGCAAACTGTTCGCATGACCATAGATCTAAAACTCACTATATTTACTTACTGACGTGTCTGAGGGACTGGGAACAAACAATAACTAAATAAGAGAGTGAATAAACTAAAATTAAAAATAATAGGATTGGGCTTCTCTTAAGATATGAATTTTGAAGACCCTCATTTATGACAAATTCAAGTTTCTGCAAGGCATTAACACCCCCCCCCCTTTTCACCTGCATAGGTAGAATGCCCCAAAATGTCACAAAGCTTTAAAAAATTGATAAAAAAAATTTAAAAAAAAAAAAAAAAACTCAGAATACTTAAAATCTAATACTAAATAGGAGCGATAGTCAACCTTTTCGGGTCCGTGCCCGAATTCTTCTGACATAAATCGTTACAATACCGATAGCCGTTTGGGGTATGGTAATTTCAGGACTACTAACATGGAGTACCTTGTTCATCTCGGGGAATAAGGGAAAAAAAAACTAGATGCTGTCGTAAGACAACAATACCCGCACGTAAGTGTTTGCCTCTGAATGTACACAGGTAGCAAGGAAGTCACAAAAGTTATTCTATAATTTACATAAAATAGGTACATTGTATACAGTCATGTATGAACATAAAATGCACATGTGAGCATATGACCATGGGCCTAGCATCTTATGTTAGTATTTCAAATAATAAATTAATTCATTACCAGTCTATAATTCAATAATATAATGAAATAAATCTGTCCTTAAAAGAGGGAGTTTCAGAAAAATGATTTTTGTTTGTAAACATGGTAAAGAAAAAAAAAATGGAGCTTGAAAACGTAATTTTTCGACCTCCATTTGGCCCCAAGGTTGAAAACGAAAATTCCAAAACCTTAATTATTGCACTTCTGCAGGACACCTCCTGTCATTTTGCAAAAGATACAAAAGATAAAATCGCTACGGCGTAAAATGTATGAGGAGTTCTAGGAACCAGATATTTGTAAAATGAAAAACATTGTTTTTCGACCCCAATTTGGCCCCCAGGGTGAACACGGAAATTCCTAAACTTTATTGTTTATTGTTTCTTTTTTGTTATTGTATACATCTACATCTACAGGACACCACCAATCATCATTCAAAAGATGATAAGGTTATTGCATAAAATGTAAGAGGAATTCCGATAACCAGGGTCCTTCTTCTTCTTCCTCCTCTTTTTTTTTAAATAAAAAAAAAACATCATTTTTGATACAAATTTGAAAATGAAAATTCCAAAACCTTATTGCACATCACAGGACACCACCAATAACCTTCCGAAAGATGATTTTGTCTACTGCCTAAAATGTAGGAGAAGTTCTGGAAACCAGTTTTATTATTATTTTTTTTTTTGCAGAAAAAAACGTGGCTTTTCGACTCCTATTTGCCCCAAATTGAAATGAAAAAGTCCGAGACCTTATTGCACATCTACAGGAGACAACTAATCATCTTACAAAAGAAGACTACTGGGTAAAATGCAAGAGAAGTAAAATGCAAGAGATTTTTTGCTATTAAAAAAAGAACATTTTTAACCCCCGTGTGGGTACCAAGGATTAAAATAAAAAAAAAAACAACCTTCGAAGCCTTATAGCATATCTACAGTACACCAGCGCTAACTTTTCGAAAGATGATTGTAAGATTGTAATGGGAACCATTTTTTTTTTTTTTTTTTAGAAATCGTGATTTCTCGACCCCCATTTCACCCCTGCACATCTGCTGGATACCCCCAATCAACGTGCAAGAGATGAAATGGCTACTGCGTAAAATTTATAAGGACTTCTGGGAACTAGGTTTTTTGAAAAACAAAAAAATGATGTTTTTTAATTCCTCTTTGTCCCTTGGGGTGAAAATGAGAATTCCGAAAATTTATTGCACATTTACAGGACACCACCAATCATTATCCAAAAGATAATTTGGCTACTGCGCAAAATGAAGATGATTTTTGGAACCATTTTTTTTAATTTTTTTTTTTTTTTTTGCTAAAAAAACCTAGATGCTGTCATAAGACAGTAATACCCCCATTTGGCCCCGAGTGTAAAATTCTTATTGCACATCTGCAGGACACTACCTATCCTATTCCAAAAGATTAACTGGATACTGCTTAAAATAAAAAGAAGGCGTTTAAGGGAAGAAGAAATTGTGACAGATGGATGGGCCACGGTAACAATACACACGAACTTTCTTCAGAAAGTGCGGGTATAAAAACAAACAAACAAACTCCAAGGCCAAGGTCAAAGGGTCAAAATAAATGAAGACCAAGGGAATTTCCTGTCACAAGGAATACACATGTGAAATATGAAAGCCCTAGCACCTGCCATTCAAAAGTTATGGCCAAGGTTAAAGTAGGTCAAACTCAAAGGTTAAGGTCAAAGGGTCAAAACTGCTGATACCCAAGGGAAGATCTGGTCAAAAGGAATACACTTGTGAAGTATGAAAGCGATAGTATTAATTGTTCAAAAGTTATAGCAAAGGTTAAAATTTTGTAAAATGTTGCAAAAGTGGGTCAAACTCCAAGGTCAAGAGGTCAAATACGTTGGTACCCAAAGAAAGGACTTGTCGCAAAGAAAACACATGTGAAATATGAAAGCTATTGCTATAATCATTCAAAAATTATGCACCAATGTTAAAGTTTTAGCGGAAAAAAATCAGACGGACAGACAGAACAAAATCTACATGCCCCCAATATTTGATTATGGGGGCATAACCCCCCTCCCCCCCGCCAAAGAAGCATTTCGAGGATTTGTGGTCTCCCGCTTTCAGTTTAATTCTTAGTGGTTAGGATGCAATTATTTATGGCATATTGTAACTCTTGTTTCTTGTCTTGTCTGTACATCATACAAAAAAGACATAAACATTGAATTGATAACAGTTATGGCAAAGATTAAAGCTTCTCAAAACTGCATCAAACTTCATGATCAAGGTCATGAGGTCAAATATCATATAACAATCCAAAGATCTTGTCACAAGTAATGTTTAAAAAAAAACCATGTAAAATCCTTATATCTTCTGGGGCAGAAGTTATGGCCAAAGTAGAAATTTTTGATAAGTAGGTCAAAATTCTAGGTCAAGGTCAAAAGTCAAAAATGATATATCTTTCTGAAAGGTGTTTTCATAGGTAATGTGCGTGTAAAAATATAACAACCATATCTTCTCTCATTCAAAAGTAATTTCCAATGTAAAATTAATTCGAAAAAGACTAGGTTAAACTTCAAGGCACGGTTACGAGGTCAAAAACCAGAGTACATTCGGAAAGGTCTTGAAAAAGGTAAGGCACACGTCAAATGTAAATAGGTAACGCAAATGTCAAATATAAATGTCCTATTTTCTCGCAATCAAAAGTTATCAGCAATATTCAAATTTTGAAAATTAAGATAAACTTCAAAGTCAAGGTATTGAGGTTGAAAATTATAGTACATTTGGATAATTAATGCTTGTCACAGGTAATGCATGTGTCAAACATGAATATCCTATCTTTGCTCTTTCAAAAGTTAGTAGCAATGATAAAATGTTTGAAAATTAGGTCAAACTTCAAGGTCAAGGTCGAATATCATATCAGTCGGAAACTTGTTGAGACACGTAATGTAATTGTCAAATATGAAAACCATATCATCTCTTATTTAAAAATTAAAACCAATGTTGATTTTTTTGAAAATTAGGTCAAACTTCAAGGTCACGGGGTCAAAAATCATACATGTTTGGAAACGTCTTGTCATAGATAATGCACATCCCTATCTGTTCTTATTTAAAACTTATAACTAGTGTTAAAATTAGCGATAAAGTAAGTCAAGCTTCAAGGTCAAGACCACTTTGTCAAAAATCATAAAAAGACTTGGAAAGTTCTTGTCAATAATGTACATGTGAAATATGAAATATCTTTTCTTATTCAAAAGACCAAGATTAAAATTTAATTAAAAAAAAAAGTACACATGTATGTCAAACTTCAAGATCAAGGTCACGGGATCAAAAATTCATAGTATGCTTGGAAAGGTAATGTACATGTGAAATATGAAAGCCCTATCTTTTTATTCCCAGGGTTAAAATTTGTTAACATTTTTGAAAAGTAGGTAAACTTCAAGGTCAAGGTCACAACTCACAAGGTAAAAAATCATAGGTCTTATCAGCGGTAGTGCACAGTTGTATATGTGAAATATGAAGTCCTGTCTCCTCTCATTCAACGTTGCCCGTGACGCAGTGGTTATATCTAGAGTTTGCTCTAAAGTCGCGGAGTAAGGAGTTGATCTTACGTCGCGGGTTCGAATCCCACCGTGGGACGTGGAGACCGGTCCTTCGGATGAGACCGTATAAACCGAGGTCCCATGTCGCAGTAGGTGCTAACATGAAAAATATCCCTCACTGCTCAATGGCTCTGCATGAGTGCCGAGTATATAAGTCAAAATTTGCAGCTCTCCACCGGCAAGTAGTGGCGTCTCCATAGGAGAGAAAAATTTTCGAGAGGGACGTTAAACAACAAACAAACAGCAAAACAACATCTCATTCAAAAGTTCTGACCAATGTTAATGTTTGTTAAAATTTTAAAAAGTAGTGAAATCATTAATTTGATTGTTGACCGCAGCAATTTGCTTAGCTGCTTAGAGAGAGCAACTACATGAATTAAATTAGTATTATCTTCAACATATGATTAACAATATTTTAAATACTGATCTCTTTAATTGAATTGTTGCTCTTGTTACGCGCATTGATTCCTCAGAAATTCTGTTTTATTTTTAAATTCGAGATATAAATCATGATTTTAGACAAAAGTGTAAATAAGTGTGTAAATAAAAGGTTTTCTTGAATCGAAAGGAGCTTCAGTGGGGATTGACTCCTGCATGGGCTTTAAATCGACAGGCCTATCCCTAAGACCGCGGAACATTAACTGGCAAAATTGGAAATCTGCAGCTTACGTCATTTTCATCTGTTACCGTCAAAACATTTAATAATAGACAATGAAATGGGCGGGTACAATTCGGCACGGACGTCTGCGAAAACATTGGATTGAAATTGCAATTCGAAATTTATTTTCAATCCACCTCAGCTACGCTAGAACGCACGGTGCTACTGATTGACACAGAAGACAAATAATTTGAAATTTATATAAATCAGAATTTTCTATCCCATGTTTTTAAAGAAATATAAAGGGAAAATATTTGATTTCTGTTTGGTATGTGTGTGTTGGGTGGTTGGAGGGGGAGGGGCTGAACGATCTTGGAAATGAATAAGAACGTTTTATTTTAGTTTGGACAACCCCTCCCTGTTTTTGTTTGTCAAACATTTTTCAGAGAAGAAAAAACTAAAAAAATAAAAGCTCTTGTCATCCTAAAAATTAATACATTCTTCATGTGAAGGCATGATCTGACTCGACAGTTTTTGACACCCCCCCCCTTTCTAGAATCAAATGGCCGTCCCCTGAAAAAAATAATATCTGTATTCTAGGACTTCGATGTGTCCTTAAAATTATAGGCTAAAAAACTCATAAAATATGAATTTCAAACAATATGTATTTGGGAATTGAATTTATTTGTCTTTTGAATCATACATTCACTCTTAAAGAGGCTGGGGGTTGTGGCCATTTTAGACTATATTGATCTCCTTTAGAAGAAGAGCTCCATATGAAGATATAGAAAATGATCAAATTTTAAAACCAAAATTTTTGAAATTTTTCTTTGCCAAATGATAGTTGACAGCTTAAGATATCATATCTAAAAAATTAAGTTAAATCTAGTGGTTAATTTGTGGTTAATTTGTTGACCCCCCCAGCCTCCTTAAGGTTTGAAAACAGCTCAGATGGATTGAAATTGAATTTCAAATTTTTTTTCAGTGAAGAAGAAAATAAATAATGTCTTTTTTCATCCTACAAATATTTAATATATTCATTCATGTGAGACATAACCATAAATAATCTGATTCGACAAAATTTGCCAGCCCCCCTCCCCCCCCCCCAACTTCTAGAATCAAATGGCCTTCCCCTAAAAGAATATACATATAGCTATATCTTCTTTAAGTTTTGTTTGTCCTCAAAATAGAAAATTGTTATACATTAATTTCAAACTATACGCATTTGGGAACTGAAATTATTTGACGTTTCGATCATATAATTATAGCTTTGCTAAAAATAGCTCAGGTGGATTGAAAATGAATTTCGAATTGCAATTTCAATCCAATGTTTTCGCAGACGTCCGTGTCAAATTGTACCCGCCCATTTCATTGTATATCATCAAGTGTTTGACTGCGACAGATGGAAATGACGTAAGCTGCATATTTCCAATTTTACCAGTTAATGTTCCGCGGTCTTAACACAAACTTTTCCTAAAATTATCTTTAAATAAAAAAAATGTATCAAACTTCAGTTTTCTACAACAGACCTGTACGTCTTAACATGCTTAAAGAACATCTTTTAAAAAAGTGTCCTAGGATATTGAGAAAGGTTTATAAACCTTCTTATCGTGTGTACTGTCTCTGTGCGAATTTATAGAGAAATGACATTCAGATGAGCTTAATCTAAATCGAAGTCAGCGGGAAGGTCAGATCCCCCCCCCGTTTGGGATTTTCAAATTATTTAGTAATAAGGCCCCCCCCCATCAAAAAATCATTGGTCCCTCTGAGAAACACAGGTCTTTCGTAAAGCTGGTAAGATTGTGTGTGAAGGAAAAGCGGATTGTCCATGAGAAGAAGCATATCAGGTGCAACCTCTTTTCCCTGTTTGCTGGGAAAAAAAATCCTGAATCCACCATTGAGCTCATACGTTTTAACACTGCATTCCCTTATTCCCTTTCTTCCCTGTGCCTTTTTATTAGAAAAAATAGGTTTATGAAATAAATAGATGAATTTAATAATAAATGGATTTCGCGCTTAGGTTATGAGCTGAAAATGGAATCAAGTCTTGTCCGACTCAACCATGATATTTGTACTTCCGGTATTGCATGTGCTAAGAAAAACTTCGAAAGCATCAGAGTGAAAAATCAGAAATATGCCCAGCGGAGATACCGAAAAAGCGGACGAGTTGAATGAAAAGCTTGATGCTTTTGCCAGAGATTTAAAGCAGGGGTAATTCATCAGCACTTGGAATATGAGACATAAGATCATAGCAGAGGAATGAATAATTTATATCAATATATGTTATTGATTTCACAAATGTACATGTAGATCTATTCGACGACAGTAAAGTGCATGTATTTAAAAAAAAAATGTGAAAAACATTAGTTAGAGAAAAGATTTTCTTTTAAGTCGTGTTATGTAGATCAAATATGTACTCAGGGGCTTAATTGCTTCTGATTTGTGAAAAAAAAATGTAAAAGTCCATTAACAACTAACGAGTTGTTTTAGTTGTTATAAGTGTATGTTTTTTTATGAGCCAAGGTCAAAAGCCATCTATCTTTGACCGCAATTTATGCAACCAAAGATGTCAGTGCTCGCAGCTGCAAAAGAAAATAGTATGGTAAAAGTAGTCTAATCTGGATGTTGTGTATTCCAAAATCTTGTCTATTATGATCTTATCTTTAAGTCCTTTTCAGTTATTTTAATTGCTTAAAATGTTTTCTAATCTGGATTGTTATTTAATCCAGCCAACTTTCATGGAACCAGTGGTGTTCAGATAGACAAGTTTTAATGTATTTGTCAATTTCTTTTGGAATTGCTCACATCGAATAATATTAAATAACTAGAAAATGAAATTGCAATAGATATATATATATATAATTAATTCTGTTGCAAAACACTAACACTAGGATTTTAACAAATGACAAAAATTAAAGGGGGGGGGGGGGGGGGGGGGAGGGCACAGTATAATGATAGTTTCTGTGTATGAACTTCTAGTAGAGCATTGAATTACATGAATAAAAGGTTCTTGGAAGGATATTCAAGCAATAAGAAATAACCAATAAAGCTGTAAAATATTCACTAAATTTACACTTAAAAATACCAGATTAGAAATATTGAATTTTAAAGTTCAAACCTTTCAATCTTAAACAAAATCAAGAAATCAACCTACATCACTGGGTTTCTTAGTATTCCATATATGGTACGTAGCTAAGGTGCAATCACTGAAAATGTTTTGTAAGCTAAAAAGTATTGAAATGCAATGCTAAGAGATTGACAAATAGAATAATGTATAACAGTAAACCTTTCAGAACCAGAGACAGGTCAGTCAACACTCTTTATTGTAAAATCAAGCTTTTGGCCATACCTTCTTGTAGTGTTAAATAAACAGTCCACTGAAAATTCATAATATCCTCACTGATTTCTTGATTGTTCAAAATCTGATAAACCCAGTATGTGGACAGATATATAGCATCTGTACCCACCATTTTCAGCAAAAAAGCCTGCCTGTGCAGAAAAATGATGTAATCTAGAAGGGAGTCCAACAATATATATATATATATATATATATATTTTTTATGAAACCTTAATGAAATACATTTCACTGACAAGCACCTGTTATATACAAGCTTCATTATATAGAGTACACTCAAGTCTGTTCAATTTATTTGAACCATGATGAGGATTGATATAAAATGAACTAATATTTATTACATTACAATATGTTAAAGGAAAAGACAATCACATGTTTTCTGCAATACCATAAACTTGATTGTTTGTATAGGAGAACTTTTTCTGCTGTAATAGATACTCTTCTTTGATGAAAAACAGTATATTATTGTTCTTGGACATTGTAGGTCAATAGAGGGGTCTTACAATGTAGCGTTCAGAACAGTTTCTTTGCTGCGAATAGTAATTGCTCAGTCCAAATGCAGCTCAGCAAAGTAAGTAGTACAGGCATTTCTTAAAATGGGCCATAATAAGTAAAGAGGAATGTACTAAAACTTAGATATAAACATGTAATATACTAGTATTCACGTTTATGAGAATCTTGAAATCTATGAAACAGTGTACTGAGTTATTTAAATTCAGAATAAGGTACATGTATATAAATTTAAACCCTTTTACAGTACATTGTATTTTGAATAAAAAAGTAAGCAGTAAGATTTTTAAAACATTCTAGGAAGTGTGAGAAAAAAACAATGATTATCAATTCGTACATGTATTTATTTCTGTATCCTTGCAGAGAAGTAATGGCAAATGTTATTAAGGAAGGGAAAAGATTGATGGCTGCTCAGCTCACAGAAACAGCTGTTGGAAACATGGTGAGAAGAGTTCTCAAAATTATCAGAGAGGAATACGCAAGGTGAGCCAATATTTGTTGTAAAAGAAATCCAGATTAAACACTGTCTAAAAAAGTATAAATATTTTTTAAATCAATTGATTTACATGTATTCTATTTTCTGTATTAATTAGGGATGGCAATTTATAACTAGTTAACCGGTTACTCAGTTGGAATGACTGTAATCGGTTAGAAAATCTGTAATGGACTAGTCAGAAAAAATTAAAATATATGTGTAAATTTAAACACAATGTCCTTAAATTTCATTTAAAAATATGAAAAAAAGTCTTATTTGATATCATTTTCATCCATCTATTTAGGCTGATCCGGAGCTAATTAAAGCTCTCTGGATTGACCTCATGGAGTTAATTTGTGAGATGTTAATTGCTGTTTAAACATCACGTCTTTACATATACCCAGCCTGTGATGTGTTTCTTTAAAAATTTAATTATTAATCATTGAATAGTAACCTCATCTTTTCTTTGCAGTTACTCATTGAATCATATTATCAAATAAACAAACATAGTTTGTGATTTTGGTGACAACGCAGAATGAACTTGATTGACATCTAGTCTAAAAATTTGTTAATGTATCTGAAAGGACTATATTCTGTAATGACCAATTTTTTGTCCCCAAAATCAAACTTTGATGAAGAAATATATAATTATGTTCTGAAACAGGGGAATATCTGAAGACTTCAAAGCACTGAATATTTTTATAAGCCATGACGCCATATGTTAGGTATGACGTCAGGAAAATGACATAAACTCAGAATTTCCATGATTTATACAGAAAAAGGTGTATATTATATCGATATTTCGAGTTAAAGTCACCGAGCGCAGGTCTGCTCCAACTCAATAGTTTGATATAATGTGTAGAATGATAATATCAATGAAATATGTAAATATTGTTTTGGAGCAGGCCTGCGCTCTATAAATTTTATAGTAAAAATTGAATAATTTTGTCCATTTTTTCCTCTTTCTGAAAAATAACACAAAATCTGAATAGTTTGTGACATCATAGAAACAAAAACTGCCAATAACCTGCTTTGAAAATATAAATATTTTTTGTTAATTTATATTTTTCATACAATATATACAATTCAGCACATTTCAAGAAATTTTCAAAATATGACTTTTGTGGGGGCAAAAATATGTATAACCGCATATAGTTCTTTTAGGCATGTTTCATGGACTTCTTAATTTTAATTTTATTTTTGTCTATTGAAATTAAATATTAATAGTGCTCTGAACAAATATAAACATAGTATTACTAACACATTTTTGTTTATTTGATACATGATAAAATAGTAAAGAAATTTTGATACAATTAACTGATTAATCAGTTCAGAATGTCTTGGGGTTTTGTATTTTGTATTTGATTGCCATCCCTAGTATGAATGATTTATGATGAATAAAGATTAAAATTGATGTCATGCTCTACTTCCCTTGATTTCAGTGCATTACGAGGTAAATCGGAGGAGGGAGATCCCAAGGAATCTCTACATGTAGGTTTTGTTGTAGAAGTATCATGATACATGAATCACTTTTGGTGTTAGGAAAGTTTACTTTAAAAAAATGTTTAAATGGAGTTTGTGAGCATGTAACTAAAGTTCTCTATGTGAGTGTTTCTGAAGAAATTGTCCACAGTCACGTTTCATTTGCTGTATGAAAACTTTGTGCGTTTTCATCTTCTTTACCATAACACTGGACCATCCTTGGGTGCGAATGAATAAAACTAACTTAAAGGAAAAGCCAGGTATAGCATATATTTTGTAAATAAATAGATTACAGTATGTTGTAAACACCCACCAAATTTCTAAGTCAAATATGGTTCATTTATCTGGCCAGTGTTTATATCTCCTGCAAATGCATGGAGGCCACCGTAATAGCATCTCTGTGACATCAGCAACCCCGCTTTGTAAAACTCCCACTATATACAAACATATTCATATACATGTATATGTTTTAAAAAATGAACTGTACACAAATAAACAACTACATGTACATGTATTGCAAGTCATATCATCAATTTTTAAGTTACCAAGGTATTATTAAGGCTTGATAAGATGGCATTACTGATACTTTACGACATACTTTCAAACAACATAAACTGGTTAGAATTTCTGAAAGAGATCAGCACTGGTTTGTGAAGGGGTAAGTTGATGTAGCAAAACATATGAAACTGATCAGGATGCTGAGATAGAACTCAAAACTGTGAAGAACATTTAAATGGTAGACCGCATGGGTTTGTCAAACTCTTACTTTTAATCAGTGATCATTGCTTTATTGTGTTTATGTTTATAAATTTTAAATGGTTATCATAACTTTTATGGTAAGTAATTTCACTTCTTTTTTTTCTTTTTGCCTAATCTTTCCCTTTAAAATATGGGACATAAGTTTGATCCAACCAAGGATAGATGAAAAGAAATAGTGAAAATAGGATGGGGATGTTGATAAAAAAAATTCTATAAACCCACTGATTTTGAAAAAAAACAAAAAATAACAAGACAAACTTTGGTTAAAGCTTTATCATTGTCAATGGTCAAACTGGACATATATATTAAGATATTGACCACTCAGTATCTTGAGAACTCTTTGCTTGACAGACATGAGACTTGGTACAAAGGTATCCTCTTTGAAGTAAATTACCCTTATAATATCAGGATCTGATAGAGATCAAACTTTGAATAATGTTTTCCCCTCTTAGGTTATTCATTAAGTGCCCCCAGTAGGTTACCTTTTTTTAACCATCATTACAGACATTCTAAATTTAAAGTTAACGTTTTTAGCACACATGAGCAGACGGCTCAAGTGAGCTTTTCTGATCAAAATTTGCCCATTATCTGTTGTCATTGTCGTCGTTGTTGTTGTAAACTTTTCACATTTTCATCTTCTTTTCCAGAACCAATGAGCCAATTTCAACCACACTTGCTACAAAGAATCCTTGGGTTAAAAGGATTCAAGTTTGTTCAGATGATGGGCCATGCAGTCTCTCAGGGGAGATAATTAAAATTTAGAAGGCATCTTTCAAAAATCTTCTCAAAGTTGAAACTTATGTTAAAGCTTCATTACAGAGTGTAGATTCAAGTTTGTTCAAATCATGACCCCCTGGGGTAGGGCCAGGCCACAACAGGGAATCAAAGTTATACTTAGGAATATATTGGAAATATCTTTAAAGATCATTATCTCAAGAACAGCAAAGCCATAATTAATCATTTTAATATGGAAGGAAGCTTGTTCAAATCATCAACATCCAGGGTAGGATGGGACCACTTCTATTTTAAAACTTTTCAGTTCTGAACTGATTTCTGCTTTTCTCTAACCAAAGCACTCAAGTGAGTGATGTGGCCCATAGGCCTCTTGTTAATATGGGGGACAGATATATTTCTAAAACATTTCTTGTTGTTTAATCTATGAACTAAACTTTTGAAAGCAAAATTAGAGATAAGTATTTGACGTGTTTTTTTTTTAACTTAATTTTCTTTTTTACAGAAAATGCTGTTGGCTGGCGGTGAGATTGATGACTTCAGTCAATCTGTACCAAACCTCAAGGTAGTAATACTGTACTTCATAGCAGTGATTTCTGTACAGACTGTCAACAGTTTTCTTGTTTGTGGGATTATTGAGAATGTCACTGCTTTTTATCAATGTAAAATTTATTTTATAAATTTAAAAGATTTTTGAATATCATCTACTTGTCTACATATACATGTATAGAATCCTAATATAATGTACCTGGAATAATAAAGAGCTTGAAAAACTATTCTTAATTGTAAATTTAAGAATTAAATGCATACAGTTTTATGTCTTTATTGAAAATTAAAACTGTCAATTCCTGGTTTCGTCACAAAAGAAAATCTGGTCCCACTTAAGTCATTATCGCACAAGTAAACTTTACAGTATGTACATTTATATTAACTTTTTCCCCATTTATGTTAAATTCTTTCACATTTCAGGCCTCAGTTTTAGATGCAATAAGTGAACTAATAACAGAACTGGAGAACAGGTTAGTTAGATGATTTTGAATGATTGCCGTGAGGAAAAGTGTGCACATCTATAGGTTTCTTCTGTTGAAAAATATTTCTATCATAGAGCCAGAAAGAGAAATTGTCATAGATTATATATAACTTGCACCTAAAAGCCCACATTTCCTTGTCAGTAGAAAAAGTACATTTGATTTTGACATTTATAGAATTTGATGCATATTTCCAAAAAAGTAAGAATAGGGAGATTACTGTGTGCTTCTCAATATTTTACTGGCCGTATGATTTATACATATTTCAGTGCAGACAACATTGCTGGTCAAGCACTAGAACACATCCATGCTAATGAAGTCATTTTAGCGGCAGGGAAATCAAGAACAGTGGAAGCATTCTTAAAGGTGCAGGTTTATTTTTTTAAAAAAGAAATCAAATTTTTACATTAAGTTTGAAGAGCTATGAAAAATACTTTTTTCCCCAATGCATAGTTTCAATGAGAGGATGTATTGGGATAAAACCTGGATCTTATGTCCTGTATACTGTATATACTCACCTGTAAGTCAGATTTTGGAGAGTTGAATTTTGATCCAAAACTTTATGTCCAACTTACTAGCTAGTCCTAAAAATTGGGTATTTTTTGGAGGAGGGAATATAGTATTACTTTAACAACTCCCAATGTTTATCCTTTATAAAGGTTGGAACATAATCTAATGCAGTGGAAGGAAGATCTAAGGTTACCACATGCATATAACACAACTGCTTACAGATTTAAATGCTCTTATGTTTGTTTAAATTGTTAATAGAAGATAAAATATCTATTTCTACTCCCAAAATATTCTTTTAAACACAGGTAAATACATTTAAACATTAAACTGAAATTGGCTTTAGATTCTTGAAAAAAAAATTACACTGACTTATAAGTGAGTCAGTGGCACATTCCTCCAAAATAATCTGAAAAAATACAACTGACTTATAAATGAACCAACTTATAAGGTGAGTATATAAGGAACTTAACCAGAAACTATGTATTTTTAGGTCAAATGAGTGCTATGGTTTGTGTCCTTGTCTGGTTGACCAGAGGTATACGTTGTTTGGACTTAAGCCATAAAAATTCACGCTTTCTTCAAAAATCATCTGAATTCATGAAAATCTAATAGGCACACAGTTTGCATGATTATAATAAACACAATCTTCTACAAAAACTGGTCATAAATTACATGTAAAAACACATCTTTTTTTTTTTTTTTTTACTTATGGACATTTAGATTGCAAATTGTTTGCTTGATTATGAGATTATGAGCATTTAGCCCTGTATAAAAATTATAAAAAAGATTCTGAAACATGTCCATGGTTCAGAACCACATGGTGCATTTGTTAAGAATTCATTCTTTTTTCTTGGAAATTTTGCAAACAAGTTTGATGCATCTTGACAGTAAGCTGTAAGCCCTTAACAAGATTGTGTCCCCAGGGTTCAGGTCCTTTGGTTGGGCCAAAAAGTTCATTTACAATGTTGAAAATGCATAATTATACACCTTATTCTCAGGTGATTTTCAAGACCCACAGGCCTCCTGTTATTTCAAAAGTTACTTTGCAAGTTATCAGCAGTGCTGAAAAGTACCTAATTTCAGATGATTGGCTGACTTGAATTTCTTTCATTATGTGTTATGCCCAAAACAAATTATTGCCAAGCAGCATGAACCCGAATTTACACACGAATAAACTGTAAAAGTGTTGCAATTGTGTTTTTATAGAACTCAAATAGTGAAAATACTAGGATTGAATCTAAGGCCTGTTATTTATCTTTTCTCCTTTATCTTGCCTTTTTACCAGGGACACATATGTCAATTACATGCAGTATTACTATGTTAATAGAAAAATTTCAGAGAAAGTTGATGTGAATAATTCAACCATAATTCATCTTAATTATTATAGAAAGCAGCAAAGAAAAGAAAGTTTCAAGTAATTGTGGTTGAATGTGCTCCATTTTTCCATGTAAGTACATGTACATGTATGTTGTGTAACTTTGATTTAATTATTGTAAACATTAAATCTCACTGAGAACATTTTTATTTTAGCAAAATTAGCATCAGTGAATAAGTAAAAGAAATGAATAAATGTTTGTTAAATATCTGTAATAAAGAGCTTCATCATAATGTAATATGCACTATAAGAGAGGGGGAAGGACTTGAATACTATAGTGCTTCATCAACATAGTATATGCAACGGGATGGATTTCACAGAATATTGTTATATTCACTACATTGTCGATTTTAATACAATGACAGTAGTGACCAGTCTAGCAGCGGTAGTGTTAGGATTACAAATAACATCATTTGTTTCTCTTTAACTCTTAAAAGTATTCATTTCATTTACTTGTTCATTGATGGAGTACCCATTGCACTTTGTTTGCCAGCCATAATCATGTTGTAATATACTAGACTTTGTTTTGGGATATTGGTGAACAGACAATAAGGAATACAGTGTAGTTAAACTGAGATGTTTTGTGAATTTATTCACACAATAAAAATATCTCCAGTAAAAATGTCTTTTTTTTGTAGGGCCAGGAACTAGCCGTGAGTTTAGCCCGAGCCAACATAGAGACTACGGTCATTAATGATTCTGCTGTCTTTGCTATTATGTCCAGAGTTAATAAGGTTATTATAGGAACTCATACAGTGATGGCAAACGGAGGGTAAGCTAACACAAGGCTCTGTTAAGTATATGTAGTTTCTTGAGGGAATTTCTGAGTTACTCCTTTTGTTAGAACCAATGAAGGGTTAGCATCCATGTTAGATTATATGGTAGTGTCTAGCTTAGTTTTGACAGTTGCAAAATTCTGTGGAAAACATGATAGAAAGAATCTCCCATGGTTTGTGGTTGGATTTGAATTTTTTTTTTATCCAACTCGTTGTTGTTTTTATACCCTCACCAAGGCTCAGAGATAAAAACACACAACTTGACGGATAAATAGAGTATATTCAATGTTTTGTAGATGAATATGGAATTTATTTCATGAGTGGGACAGGATTTTTTTTTATATTTTCACGAGTGCTTTGCACTTGTGAAAATATAAAAAAAAATCCTGTCTCATGAGTCCAGTGCTTTGCACTCGTGAAAATATAAAAAAAATCCTGTCTCATGAGTCCAGTGCTTTGCACTCATGAAAATATAAAAAAAATCCTGTCTCATGAGTCCAGTGCTTTGCACTCGTGAAAATATAAAAAAAATCCTGTCTCATGAGTCCAGTGCTTTGCACTCGTGAAAATATAAAAAAAATCCTGTCTCATGAGTGAAATAAATTCCGTATTCATCTACAAAACATTGAATTTTCTGTTTATTACATCAAAAATCATATCTAACCACAACCATAGGAGATCCTATGTATTAAATATGTGGCAAAAATCCATATCCTCACACCACCCTTACATAGGTAATATATGATACTACCCATACAAAACATTTTCATACATTTATTTAATGTACACTATGCACTTCAAAATTGTAAATGCAAAAGTATTCCTTTGGAAATGAAGCATGACTGTTAAACCATTTCACTATTTAGAGAGTAGTAGGGCAGTAGCCAATTAATTTTTAAAATTAAGATAAAGTTATCTGAGAAAATGATACTGAGTCTTGGTCTGGTATAACATCTCTTATGTATTACCTCAACAGTAGGAGTTACGCATAAATTTCCAACCTGTACATGTATCAGTTTTGAAGTAATATGTTAATCTTCATCGTCTGTTAAAATTCATGACTTAAATTAATTATGGTTAGTATCTGGTACTGAAAATAATAACAACATATTTTTTTTTATCGTATGTTATATATTTTTTTAGATTAAAAGCTGTAAATGGTTCTCATGCAATAGCCCTAGCTGCCAAGCACTATTCAGTTCCAGTAAGTCCATGTCTACACTTTAATAGTTAGAAATATTTTCGAGAAAGTCACAAACTTGAAATTACATCTGTTATTTTCCAGTCTTTGTAATGTATATTTACATGTTTTTCGTACATTGAATCATTGATGACAGTATACAAAAAAAAACAAAACAAAACACACACACACACACAATTCAATGAATATAGTGGATGAATAAAATTTTTGCTCTTTTTTTATTTATTTATTTTTTTTTTTTACAGCTTCTGGTTTGTGCAGCCATGTTTAAATTATCACCACAATATTTGTGTTCCTATGACCAGGTAAGGAAGATAACAGAAAGAGAAATTAGTAAATAATGAGAAAGGGTATTACACATGTATTAAAATAGTGTCTCACTGTCTGACAACATTCCTTGTAATGATAGTGTGTTTAAAAAAAAAAAGTGAGAGTTATTTCCCTTAAGTATCACATTTTGTTCTTGTCATTACAGGATGCCTTTAACAAGTTTGTGAGCCCTAAGGATGTAATGAATTTTGAGGAGGGAGAGATAGCATCTAAAGTCCAGATAGATAACCCTGTGTTTGATTATGTCCCACCAGAACTTGTCACGCTCTATGTATCTAACATGTAAGTCAAACCAGAGAAAATGCTTTTAATTCTTACATTAATTATTATGCCTCTTACATAACTGGAAGCAAATATGTTTTCTTCATGCATTCAGCAGGTTGAAATATAGCTTCATGCCAGCCTTTTTTTTCCAACAGCTGCACCTATTTTAACTCTATTTCTCAGCATTATGAAAAGATTTCTTGCAACAAATGTGCTGATATGATAATATACACTGAAATGCTCTTCTCTTATGCAGTATCTATTGAGTATGAAAAATATCCAATATGGATAAAATATGATGGTCAGATTAAAATTTTCATGGTCTGTTGTAACACATGAAATATGGAGATATTAAACGAACATATATGATATGTGTACATTTCCAACAGGTTATGGCTGTTTGATTGATTCTTTAGTTCATTTTAATGTAATGCAAATACTTATTGTTTAAATTTTCTGTTGTCAAAACTAAAGTAATGGTTAACATAATTTTTTGCTATTTTTTTTTCAGTGGAGGAAATGCCCCATCTTATGTTTACAGACTTTTAAGTGAATTTTATCATCCCGATGACCATGAACTTTGAACCCGTGGCATTGGTGTTACTGGTAGAGAAAGGGATTAAGTTGTGAAAATGCTGAATCAAACAAAGCAGTTTGTATTTTAATCAAGTTATTTTGAATTCCTCAAAAAGGAAACAGCTAAAATAAACATCAGTAAAAAAAAATTAAGAATTGATCAGTTGCGGTGGAATTTGTCGTTGCCCCATCCTTTATTGTGTTGTTGAACTTCACTGCTTTCTGTAGGAAAATGACATGGTCTCCATAATTGTTCTTACAAAATTTTGTTGTTTTTGAGGTTCTTTCACAAATTTCAGAAGTAATTTGTGAAAAACTTGTGCCTCTCTGAGTCTCTGACAATAAAAGTTATTCGTTGTTGTTTTTATTGAAAAATATATGTACAATGTATGTACATGTTAGAATACCAAAATAACATAAACACATGAAATAATGTGTAAATTATTTATTTTTTTCAAAGTCTGTATAAAATTCATGAAATAAAAATAGCTATCAAAAGACAGGAATGTTGTTATATGATTTGAGAGAGAAATTTTGTGTTATCAACAGCACTATGATTAATTAATAATCAACACCACAAAAAAGACAAAAACCTTAAAACCTTAATTAAGTAAGTAACAAACTACAAGTCATATACACACACACTAATATAGAAAATAATCTGTGCTCTGCATTTGGTTTAATAGGAACTCATGTCACACATGGTAAACTTCTTTTAAAATTTTTATGTCTTTGGTTCATGGGTTTTACTAATATTCAAATTAAGATTCAAATTGTTACAGATAAGTATATTAAAATTGTAATAAAATTCAAGAATGTGAATCAAGTTTTCACCCAGTGGGTCTGTTACCTTCACCTGTGAAAAAATCACTACATGTAAAGGTATAAACATCTTAATAAATTTAGAAAACAATTTTCTAATAAAAATTCACTTTTCTAAATCCTGTTTTAAATACTGTGTGCATGGAATTTTTAACGTATTTACTATATCAGAATAATATATTCTTTAAAATTGTGGATTATCATATTAAACCATTGCACCGAACACATGAACAAATAAATAGAATCCAAATGTATTGCTTTGTTTATTATGTATACATGACTGTATACATATATGTTTATGGAGGAAAACACACTAATAAATTGAAAATGAAATATTGCAAGATTCATAAAAATATGATTGAGGTTTAAGAATGAGGATGAAAGGTAAATTCAGATCAAAAAGGTAGAGTTTTGGAATATCATTAGGTTTATGTTGATTATGGAAGTGCATATGCCTCAAAATGACATATAAATCATGTGTGTCATAATACCAAATCAATAATACATCACCAAAACTTTTATTCTTAATATAGATCAGCGTTTCAGCTTGGAACTTCTGTACCGTTGATATAAAAACAGAATGATTTGTAAGAAAAAAAAGGGGGGCAACTTTATTGGAAATAAAATTTCATTCAAATACCAGGTTCTTGTATAATATTCTGTCAAGTGTGTGATATGACAAAATAAATTTACTAATTGATATATTGATAAATTCGGACAAAAAATCCAAGCTAATTGCGAGGAGTACAGAGTGAACCAAAAGAAAGCACACAATCATGAATTTGTTATGGAGGGAAGAATCTTGAACACAACCATTTTTAAAATGCATTCTCAAATATAACAATATTCCATTAAATTTATTTTATCACAGTCTTCAACAAATACCATCACACAAAAAAACAAACTTTCAAAAATCTCAACTTTTTTCTGTAAAACCCTGTTTTTTTTCTAATTATGTGATGAAATAAAGATGACATAAAAAAAAAAACAAAAGGGGATTTCAAAAGAATCTATTTGGATTTCTAACAAGACTTAATACTATCAACTACCAAACTTCATTAAAGAAAAAAAGAACATTAAACCATACACTTGCAAAACTGATAAAGTTTGGGGGAAAAGAAAAGAAGAAAAAAATGTTTTTAGATATGTATAATGACTGACCGTCTTAAAATTGTACTGTATATATAAATATACAAGTGGCCATTTAACACATTTATCATTCTAAAATGTTTATAAACTCTATGAACATAATTAGTAGCAACACATACATTTTGATCTTTTTGCTAAATATGTAAAATTATATATGTATACATAAAAAAAAATAAACAGTTAATTCTTAATAATCATTAACAAATACCCAGTGTTTTCATTTGAAAAGCAGCAGAAATTATATATATTTTAAGTTGAATTCTGTTTGTTGATAGTGGTTTATTAAACATATCAAACCCTTAAAATTCAATAAATTTAAAGGTCAGCAAAAATATAAAAGCATTTACACATATTAAAGAAATTGCACACTCACACTTATAATAAATGGTTAGTGAAGCATTGAAATATTTACAATTATTAGCAATATAACAAATCTACAAATATATTTGGTAATTTTCTTTGTCACATATGAATATTTTTAAGTATTTTTTTCTTTTAAATTTGTACAATTATATCACAAGTCTTTGATCAAATTTGATCAAAGGAGCTGATGTGTCCGTTAAACTGTGTCATTGTCAAAACATTGTTCTTTAAATGACAAATATTACATTAGGAGTAAAATTCACTCATATCAACACTCATTTATTCTCAAACATATGACAATTAAAGGTGATGACTGAATGATGAAATTGGACGGCAGTTAAAATTCTTTGTTTGTTCTCATCGCATAATGACATCATTATAACTAACACACACATATAACAAAACTCAATTGAAAAATAATAAATGCAAAAAGAATGGTTCGGATTTCTGGTATATACTGTTTGGACAAAAATGATCCGCATTGGTTATATACTTTGATTGTATGCATATATGTAATTAACATGCGGGGTATATAATACTACATAGAAGGCACACTGCTAGTTGCATAGAATGCTAATGATTAAATACTTTTATTTACAACATTGATGGCTTGGTATTAATTTTTCAAATCCAGCCATGCTATTGTCAACCAATACAATGTACAAGTTTTTTTTTCTTCTGGATTTACAATTTAAGCTTTTGCATAATTGTAAGATTCATGTATTACCAGATTCATCTACTGAAAAAAAAATATGTCTACAAATGTTTTCACTTTTTAATTCTAAAATTAAGTTAGTAAAGACATAGAATTTTTATTCATGATCCATTTTTTCCCCTTAAAATTCAATCACAGTTTGAGACTGTCTCACAGAAATATTTAACTGTTTGTCCCTCAAACAGAAAATTAATTTCTTGCATAGTATAGTTTTAAAGAACTAATTAATTTATTAGCAGTTGACTAATGCAAGACTTCATCTTGCACATTAGTGGAGCTTTGGGTCTGGTAAAAGCAGTAACAAAAATATTCATAACAAACAATTTAACAACTATGTATGGAATTCATTTGTAAGGAATGCATAGAAAGAGGGGTCCTTGTGCATGAATTAATAGAGATGAGTTCAGCGGGACTAAATGATTAAATATAAAAATATTCATATATATTTATATATGCCATGATAATAATAAAAAATAAAAGTGAAAAATATCAGTATCATTACTCACAAGATCACTCTACTTGAGATAAAAATAAATTGTCTTTGAGTACTTTGTTGGGATATTTCTGAGCAGATGCCATTATAAATCGGCATGGGACAATTCCACAAGGGCCAAGGCCGAGATCCACTTATCTGTCTGCTGACTGAGGGTCATTTCTCCAATATCCTCGTTATTGGGGTCCATTTTGACGTTGGACACGGGTTGGAGTTCTGTGACGGTGTACTCGTGGTTATATGGCTCGGGATTGTTGTAAAGTTCCACTTGCGGGATATTGTCCTTATGATCCATGTGATAGTCATGTGACACAGGGTATTGCATCTCATATTCGCTCCTTACTGGCTGCATGCTATAGCTATTATGATACTGTGTATAGTCATTGTAATACAAAGGCATCTTGTAGTCTATTATCGGTGGATTATATGCTGAGTGATCCACTGTCATTGGGTCAAACTTAATTTCCTCTTTAATGGGGGTGTGATAAATAGTATTATTGTTGTTATTTAGTGGCTGAATGTTCTCGTTTGTGATTGGTGCCGTGTATTTCGGCTCTGTGTCTTCCACTTTTATTTTTTGTTCTGGTTGAGATTCTTCAGCCGGTGAACCATCACTCGGTCTTTTCAGGGGTTTGCGATTTTTATTTCGGTGTCCAGATCGATCTTGGCGTGATATGATTTGGCTGAAAAAAAAAAAAAAAATATATATATATATATAAAAATCTCCAGAATCTATTAGAAAATAATGCCTTCTCAGTCCCAAAAGGGATCTATGCATGTATCTATAGTATGTTGACTCTGATATTTACATTCGGTTAAAATATTTACCAAGTTAACACTTTTGGTTATCTGTTCATTAGAAAGACATTAGAAAAATGTCATCTCATTTGTAAAGTACAAAACTCACAAGGTATTATCTTTACCCCCAACATTTTCCCTATTTAAAGATAACTAAAAATTGGTATACTTACATCTCGAGCCATTCTCGAACTTCTGTGTTTGTCTCCTGTTCTCTTAGGGCTATCAGATCTTTAATTGAGACTTCTATTCCTACCCGGACCAATGTAGCGTATGGGTGATCAGAACAGTGGCGATTAGCATGTGTAAATCGACTTGTACAACCTGGAATAAACAAAATATAAGTTAGTTAGGATGTACATGTGTAATACATCTATTAAAATATATACAGTATATGTAGAATGCAAATAAATTTTAGTATCTAGTAATGATACACACTTTAATAGATAGATAGATAGATAGATAGATATATATATATATATATATATATATATATATATATATATATATATATATATATATTTCTATGGAATCCTGTAAATCTTGTATGTTACTGTAATTCTAACAATACATTTAAATTAAAATCATTAAAATTATTTCTTTTATTTAAACATTTTTTTATGCTTGCACTTTACAGCATAAAAGATACAGCACTGCTTTGCAAGAAATAAAGAATATTTAAATAAATTACGTGGAAATAATAATGTATTGGAATAAATGAAAAGTATGGTTTATAAAAGTCCAGTAAGCAGTGGTAAGTAAGAATTATAATGTACATGCCTGTTTCTGAACACATGAATGGTTTTTCGCCTGTGTGGAGACGCTGGTGTGTCTTCAGTTGCCCGCTCTGACAGAAAGCTTTTTCACACCCAGGATAGTCACACCCGTAAGGCCTCTCACCTGTAAAAATGATAGTAATAAAATATTTATATATTTTTTTTATTAAATTGCTTTCATGAATAACATATTTCTTTTTTCCCGCCAAAACAGAGTTACTTCCCTCGTGTCGGTAATTGGAGAAAAATTAACAGGTGCATGGCCGTAGGAACCGGGGGGGGGGGCGTCCCCCCCCCCCAATAATTTTGCCGATATATAGAATACTATAGAACACATAGCTTTTATATGCTTGTGCCCCCTCAATAATAACGTCTGATGACCTTTTTTTTTTTTTTTTTTTTTTTGCTTGTCAAGGAATTTTGGTAGTTGGTAGTGCCCCTCCAACTGAAAATGTATGGTTGTGCCCCCTCAAAGTGAAACTGCTTCCTACGGGCCTGAGGTGTATGTTCTACCACAAGTAATTATTAATAAAAAAAAAAATACAAACAACTAAAAATAGAGTGTGAATGCTGACTACTTGAGGAGCACACATTTGAGTTAATCAACCTAGCTGTCGATATTTTTTTTATATGTGTTTGTCCCTAATAAGGATTATTCCTTTTTGACAAACCATGCAAGTCAATATAAGAGCCGATCCTACAACCATAAAAAAGTTAATTTAATTTTGTAAACAGAGAACTTCCGTTTTCGTGGAAAAGTTTCATTGTTTACTGAGAAATCTAGACTAATGTTGACCAGGGAATATTAAATATTCATACACATGTATGTTTTGAAAAGAAGAAACAGATTTGGAAATTTGTAGTTAGAATGATCTAGCTGTCTCGGGACATCATTAATTCGAGACATATCGTTTGCAAGCTAAAATATTGATGTATTGAAGTACACATGTTTGCTTTGAAACATAAATAAATTAGAATAGCAATTAAATGAGATAATAGCTTACTAGTTAAAAATTCGATACAAGTCTGAAGAGTGGACTTAAAATGTCAAAAAAAATCCAGTTTTATTAATGGCTATATTAAAATTTTGTATACGTTCTACATGTTCTAAGAATATATATATGACGACGTCCCCGTTCAGACGAAACTGCGCTGGAATCGATATTTCCTTGGACTCTTTATCTGAAAAGGAATCTTTTCGCATACTTGGTTTCTTGGTCCTCTTTTTAGAATATTTTGATTTGTCACACACCTCCAAACTAAAGGTCACGCTTCACTCAACACGCGTACTTGGATACGGGACAATTATCATATACATTTGTCATGTAGATACATGTAGATCTTAAAATATTACCGACATTGTAAATAAATCGACAGATTTCCATCGTGCATTATTTTTCTGCGCCTTCCGATCTGACTTTGTTCTTGGCAAATCAAGGTGCGCACTGGGGTGTTAAATTTTAACACCTCTGTGGTTTTCAATAGTACCTGGGTAAATTGGCAATATTCAATCAACGAATTCAAATTGGGCTGTGAGAATTTGGGGATACCTAATCGCATGCCTATCCGATTATATGTGTCTTTGTCGTTGAAGTAAAGACTTTTTCCCTTCAATTTAACTTCCTCTTCTTATATATTACAAAGACGTAAATCATTTGAATCAAGTGCATACGATTTTTCTTATAAAAAGTTTAAAACTGTGAAAATAAAAGTTAACAATGAAAATGCTCGCAGTGCAATATATTTTACGGGCTATATTTGTACTATTGTATGTATTTGAATAATTAATTATCCAAGATATGATTTTTCCCTGATTATGACTAAATTTAAATGCCTTGTCATTTTAAACGTCAGATCAACAATAAAAGCACGTGTAGAGTGAGTTTTTAAATCCTAAAGATATAAACAACCGACAGCATTCAATAAATAAATCGAATGGGGGAAGCGATCGAATTTAAATGGCCCAAAAGCACATGGCATCAGTTTTCATTACATGAGGGGGAACTGCACACTTTATTTTCAATTTAGGAAGATTTTTGACAAAATATTGTTTTTAACTATGTCAAAAAATCGGTGATGGAAAAACGTTGTTTGTGTGAATCGATCCATGGTATTAACTTTCGCGTCTGGACTTGTACATACAAACAAGTCCCATGTTGCTAAGCACGCCTAAACATATCCCATATCCTTTTGTTTAACGGGACGAACGAAATTGATGCACTGTTTGTTTATCGATCGTAGCCCTAGAAACTACGGTAAAATCGAACCTCTTCATACGAGACCTTCGTGTGGAAACCCAACTAGCGTGATCATAAAAACACGGATAATAGAACCAATGGGGCGGGCAGCAGGTAGCTGCTTCAATCACGGCGAAGACCTTGGCACAAAAAAGTTGCCATTTCTTAAAGTAAAAGAAACACCATAAAAAAAGAAACAAAAGCAAGCATATATATTGTCCGAACTTGATAATCATGTTCCTCAGGCTATAAGTGGTCTTGTCCAAGTTGGGTATTTTCGACTACCTGTCTAATGATTTTTGTCAACTAAAACCTTGTGCAAAGATATAGCGGATCGATATTTGATCTAGCTTCAAGCGTGGTACACACATAATCGCACAGAAATAACGGCACACTAGTTCAAACAAGTTTAAATCCTGTCTTTGTTCAAAACTATACATTGAGTGATTATTCATGTAGGAGCTATTCAATTCAAATTCGTTCTTGGAGAACGGTTTTTGTGGCATTTCATAATCGCAGTCCCAAAGTTTTCCCAAGTTTATAACTTCCAGCCCCTTCCACTTAGGGGAAAAGTTTGCCCCAAAATGATTCTGTTTAAATCCCCACAAGACTTTTAAATGTTCATCTTTAAAGTTCATTATATTTATCAATCTATTAATAAATAGACAATTAGTTATTGATTTAATGTTGGTATTTAAATTTCCATTTAAACTCACGTTTCGCAAAGAGAAGAATTTTTTCGTCAACCTTTGGTGCTAAATCTTTACTGTCATTCACAAAATAATTTGAAAATGGGGAAAATTGATAATATTTTATGGGGGGGAAATACACTTTCGTTTTTGATTTTAATGGAGGTCACGAATGGTGTCTTTTGCAATACCCCACTCATGCAGGACCCTGGCACAAGTTCATAAAACCCAAAATTCTTAGAACCTATCTACATGTAAAGTTGTATCAGCTGAGTTGATGAAACTGATTAATAGAAGCACGTGCATATTATAGCATTTGTTTGAAAACAACTTTCAGTAGTTTAAACCCCCAATCGAATGTGAAGTGCATAATTACGATGGGGGATTTAAATATCCAGAGACTTTTAAATTTCGATTGATATTTATTAACTTTACCTGTATGGGTCCGCATGTGGGCCTGCAATGATTTCTCTCGGGGGAACACTCGGCTGCAAACCTCACAACGAATACTACAGTTCGACATTGATCCCTTGAATATCAAAGAATTTACAATATCCGCTCTGGGTCGTCCACGCCGCATATTGGGGTCCTCATATTCACTATCCCCGTCCGCTGAGTCCCCCTCGGGTGATCCCCGGCCGAAACTTGTGGGTGAGGGGCTGTATGGCATCGTTCTGATGTCTGCCCTATTCGAAGAAATCATATAAATGTAAACTTAAAGTCTACTCGAAAACAGTCCTGGTAGGTGTCTGAGTGGTATTTAACCACACTGTCATGCATAAACCCGTTAACGTTCCTACACAGGTAATCCGACCAATCGGTTACCTGGTGCTATAAATATAACATAGGGGTGATCTCTCTCCCTCTTATATGTATGGTGCGAAATTAGACCCCCTGGTGATGTTTTAATTGATGAACGGGCTTTACATGTTACTGTTCACTTTGTTGTTTAATTAACTCTTTGCATTAATTAATAATGTTAGCGGTAAAACTTTGAAGGTTTTTGCACCTGAGAAAGAATTCGCGCCAAATAAAGCTATATTTGGATTGTTGACGAATTCACATTGACCTTGTTACCATCGGGGTTTTCTAGAGTTTACCTTACTATATATCGTGATTCCGAGTGCATTGAGAAATCCCGAGCATGCTCGGTTACCCAGCAAGAAACACGCCATATTGACTGTCTGAAAATTTGGAAGGCCGTAAAATCCATTAACATCCTCCAAAAAGAGAGGAAAAATGGACTCGCAATACGGCATAGCAGTTACAAATAAGTTTGATCTCTTCGGAGATGATGTTTCTGATCCCTTAGAGTTCCTGAAAGAGCAAGAGGAGTTAAAGAAGAAGCAGGAACTCACGAAGGAAAAGGACAAGGGAAAGCAAGGAAAGGATAAGAAGGCAAAGAAGCAAAATGCTTCTCAGTCAGACAATAAATCCACAGAGCAATCTGTCCAAAAGAAAGAAGGTAATATTATGGTTGTGTGTATTGAATGCACTTAGCAAAATATCACATTTCTCCGTGTGAAAACACGTACATTGTCACATGGCTGTACCATTTTGTTCGAGAGAGATATGATTTGACATTGTTGACCATATGCATGTTTTCATTTAAAAATGATAAAAAAAACTGTGAAATGTACATAGTTCGGGATATGCAATTATTTTTACATTATGAGTTTGAACATAAATTCTGTCATCGGTTGCACTCGTTGAGCAGCCCACGTGGGTGAGTTTCAACATGTCGAAATGTAAGGGTAGTGGATTTTGTTTATGAATGGTGTAATGGGTGTTTAGTTGCTAAAATGAAAGAGAAAAAGAATTTTTGCAATCATGTTTTTTTTTTGAAGTTTCAGATGAAGCAAAATATTGGCAATGTGTTTTAGTATCTATGGCAAACAAATGGAATCATGCCCTTGGGGCATTTTTCCATGATGACAAAAACACAGTTCATCAATCTGAATGAATGTTTTAAATTTCATCAAGTAAATTTGTGCAATAAACCATAAGCATTTGAGGCTAATTGATAATGTTTGCTATAACAGACAAACCTAATGCACAGTCCCGTCCCCCTCGCAGTGCCCGACAGAATAGGGAACCAAGGGAGATGAAGGATGACAATGACTCCAGGCCCCCTAGAAGGAGGGAGGAGAATTCTCAGAATGAGTTCAGGTAATATAAACACCTGAAATTCAGAGTGAATTGTGTCCCTTGCAATTTCTAGTATTAAATTGAGTGTTGCAAGAAATTAGTAATATAGGTAAAACCTAAGTGTTACTAGATTGGATTTTTTTGGAAAAGAGAGCAAGTGTTTTCGTTTGGGATCAGCATATACTGTATATGAAATGTTTGGCAGACAAATTTTACTTCTATAAAAATGTTGCATTTGCACTATAGAGAGAGGACGGAGGGCAGTGGTGGAAATTTCAACCGACCTGAGAGTGGAAGGTTTGGTAATCGAGGTCGTGGACGAGGTAGGGGTGAAGGTCGTGGTGCCAGAGGAGGCAGGGGGCGTGGTGGATTCGACAGGGGCCCAAAGAGGGACTTCGAACGACATAGTGGAAGTGATAAAACGTAAGGGTTACATTTTTTCTTCAGCAGTTGATAATCTGTTGTATGAAAATGCATGAAAACAGTAACTTGTGACGGCATGCTATTGATGATGGCAATCCATGCCATTCCATGGTGGCAGAAAAGTTCAGTGATCTTGCAAATAAATTAACTATTTGGTTTTGCTGCAGCAGTGGTGTGAAGCCGACAGAAAAGAGAGATGGCAGTGGTTCTCATAACTGGGGATCATTCAAGGATGATTTGCAGTAAGTCAGAAACTGGTTCATGGTGTGGGTTTGAATTTAACAAGAAACACTGTTATTCTCCACTAACAATTAATGACCCCATTTTATTGAGTCAGAAAATTTAAAAAGAAACTATAAAATTGAAATTTTCTTGAAGTTTTCTAAATTAATGCATTTTGTAACCCTTTTCTTTTTTTTGTAAAGTGAATGATTCTTGATCCTGGTAATGATATGGGAAAATGCCTACAATTTTAAGTTTGTTAAAAAATATTTTTAATTAGCATATATGATATGTTGTTGATAAATGAACAAATGTCACATTGACTCTAGGGCTATGTCATAGGATATTGTCTGGCACATACCACTACACAATTTTATTTTCCCACCTATCATAGAACCTAGAGTACATCACTTGCTTTGCAGAGTTTGTACAGTTGACAAATTGAGCAATGTCAAATAGGAGTATGCTTCTGTCTCGTGCAGTATATGATATTTTTGCATGAACTGTATAAAGAATTGATGTGATGGCATAGTTGTACTCAGCTTTTTGGGAATGAGAAAACTACATGTATTAATGCACACTTACAATGCACGTCTTGCTAAAGATTTCAGTTTTCATCACAATGGGTAAAATTTTTCTAATGATTTTGCCCTTCATGAGTTTTATTAGCTCACCTGAGCCCAAAGGCTCAAGTGAGTTTTTCTGATTGAAGAGGTGAGGTGTCTGTTAGTTGTCTAAAAACTTTGCACATTTTGGACTTCCTCTCCAGTACCACAGGGCCAATTTCAACTAGACTAGCCACAAAGCATCCTTGGGTGAAACGTTAAATTGAAGGGATTGTCCTCTTACAAATTAATATAATTAAGAATTAATTAGAATTTAATGGCATCTTTTAAAATCTTCTCAAGAACCAATTGGCCAGAAAAGATCAAACATGTGTAAAAGCTTCATTAGATTGTGAAGGTTCGAGCATGTTCAAATCATGATCTGTTGGGGGGGGGGGGGGTTGATGGGGCCGCAATAGGATATCAAAACCTTACATAGCAATATATAGAAAGAATTCTTTAAAAAATTTCTTTTTAAGAATAGCAAAGCCATCATTATTCATTTTTATATGGATGCATCCTTAGGTAGTGTAGATTCAATTTTGTTCAAATCATGACCCGTTGGGGAAGGGCAGGGCCAATCTTAAAATTCCTCTTAGTAACTTTTGCATCCTTTTTCTTTTCAAGGATTAAGGGGTATACATTGTAAATCTGTTCATTGTGTTATCTGTAAATGAAATGTATTCATCCTTTTTTCAAGAATCCTAAGGTCAAATTCAACCAAAGTTGGGCACAGAACATGCTTGAATGAATGGGTATTCAAATTCGTCTTTATAATGATTTTAGGGATGCGCGATTTTATCCGTATATCGGTATATCACGATTTTTCATTGCGTGATACGTATCGTGATACGGAGACTAAAATACCGGTATTTGGTACATAACTATAAATTCTGGAAATAATTCATTTATTTGTTCAAACTATTGAATGACAATTATAGGAAGTGTAAAAAAGGTTGAAAACAGTTAAACAACGGCATCAAAATATGCTATATATTAAATAAATGAAATTTAAAAAGTAAAGAAATATGATGGAAATTCATTTTAAATTGTAGTAAAAATTGTGTGTAAAAATATCACGATTTATCCTGATCTTTTTTGGAAAAAATTGTGATATATCACAATACGAAATTTTTGCCGATACCCATCCCTAAATGATTCGTATCCCATTTCAAGGAAAGATACAGAAAAAGTTGCATGAAGGAATGGGTTCTGAAAACTAATCAAAAGCCATCAGTAAAAAGATACTTCTTGTAAAAAAACAAAACAAAAAACTTGTATACATGTATATACAGAACTTGGACAAATGATTAGATATGTAGTATAGACTTTGTTGTTGCGCTGTAATTGTGACTTCTCGGGATGAGATGGGGCTAAGTAATAGACATTTTTCCACAGTAATGGGAATAAAACCTGAATATTTTATTTACCAGACTATGGGTAGGATTCAAGTAAACATCTCTGGAAAAAAAAACCCATTGTTTTACCCGACACCTGATAATCTAATATTTACACATTTTATCACATATTAAGTCTTAAAGAGGTATTTCTATACAAGCTATACTGATAGTAGATGCACAAAATGCTTTTGAATACTGACATAAATTCTTATCTTGCATCAATACAACATATATAATTTTTTACATTGAGGCAAGAAAGTGGATACCAAAGGCACAGAGTTTAAAGGAAATAATATTATTTTAATAGTGCATGATTTAATGCAGGATTGACTCAAAATATATCTGACAATCAAGAGGGCCATTTCTATCTTCTTTTTCTCAAAGAGGTCCAAATGATTTACTTACTGATACAAAAAATTTGCATCAAGGCCAAGTAAATTAACACTTTACTTGATAACCAGAATACATTATAATAAAATTGTTGTAGGGAGGAGATTAAGGAAGCCGAAACGGAACAGAAGGAGTGGAATCCATCTGAAGATGCCGAGAACCAGGACCCCAAGTGAGTAGCACAAGTTCATGTCATTATAGTAGGAACTGGGATACATTTCCAGTGAAATTCTTCATCAACAGATCAATTGAAAGCAAATTTAAATTGGATTCATTTCATTGGAGTATTCATGTTTAAATGCAATCCACTGTTAAAAGATACTAGTGACCACTACAAAGAATTTAGTTAAGGCCCTGCAAGGATTTGAAAGTGCCATACAGTTACGACTGCCCTGTCTATTTGTCCACAAATTTCCTATTTCTCCTGATTGCATTATACTGTTTGGTGACATGTTTGAGACCAAGGTAGATTCAGTATGTTGTCTGGATTATGACTGGATTCCCAACTCTAATAATGAAAAGCAAAGAGAGATAACTTCTGAAACTTTTCCTGTTACAAATACAATTATATTGAAACCCTTTGGATTATCTTGTCAACTTCAGAATATCATCATCTGTCGCATTAAGAATTGCAAGTCTGTCCAAAGATTTAGTCTAAGGGTAGACAAATTTCCCAATATGGCTGGGGCATTTAGTGTGGTCATGTCCATCCATCACTGTGTGTTTAGCTCGGTTTCAAAGATCTCAAGGAAAAAAAAAAACTCATTTCAGTGAAAGCACGGAATCAACTGAACAACCTGTTGAAGAAGGACCCAAACAAATGACCCTTGACGAGTGGAAGGCTCAACAGGAGAAAAATCGACTTAAAAACCAATTTAACATCCGGAAACCAGGAGAAGGAGACACATCAACAAGCCAATGGAAAAAGGGAACTGCCTACAGGAAGAAACTAGAGGAGGAAAATGAGGAATCCGACGAAGAAGAGGAATACGAAGAGGTAAATTTTTTGACCTGAGTCAGTGATAGTACCTCCGTTTCAATTTTGAGTGGAGGTACATTTCACGAATGCATTTGATTTTTAGCTGTACTGGTCAAAGAACAGAAGAGGTTTGACCAGTACAGCTAAAAATCAGCCTTAGAGCAATGCATTTGTGAAATGAACAGAAGAGAATATGTGATGGTAAGGTGTCTGTTGTCCATCTGTCTTTATGCAAATTTTGATATGGACAAATGATGATGCCATGATTACTAAAATAAGAAATTTCTGTGAAATTTTCAGCAAACACCCTTCCTCCTTAGTGTGATTTTAATAAACTTGCTAGCAAACTGTGAAATAAAGATTTCTGTGAAATCACTGAAAACGCTTTTCCTTTGACAGATTTGTTCTGATCTCAATAACACTTGGAATACAGTTATACAGCCTACTCCACTTATATTGAAATCACATATTTTGTAATATCACTTATTCCAAAGTAAAACTAAATCCCCAGTCTCAATTTCTCATTATCTTTGCAATAACGTATCGGTTAAATTGAAATTAGTGATATTGAATTATTGTACATATTGAAGTAAATTATCGGTCTGCAGAACTGATAATGAGTTGTTTTTATAACGGTTATACTGAAGTCCTCTTGGCCAGTCATCATCATGGTTGGTGACAAAGTCATTATACAGGTACCATAGATCTTCACCTAACATGTTTTCATTACCTTTTTTTTTTTTTAAATAAGATGTAAATTACTGAGGGTATCATGTTCTCTCAGATCACATATTGACAGTGCTTTTGAACATCTTTTTGAACACACACTTGTGAAAACGGGTAACTCACAAGAAAGAAAGAAATTTACTAAAATGAATTGATGTCTGCATAAGATAAAAATTGTGAAATCTAAATCCAAATTGGTGAAGGTTTTTCTGTTAAATCCAGTGCACACTAGCAATAATGTACATGTACTAACAGCATTGTCATTGTTTAATATTTTATTTTATTCACTTAATGACCCAATCTTAAATAAGTGCACTTTGTTTTTGAAGCCCTAGAGGCCATGCGAGTCTGGCTACTTTCCCCTGACAACCGATAAAGAATAAGATCAGAAAATTATGCCAAGGTTGAAAAATTTGGACTTTTTTCGAATATATCTTTAATGATCAAACTAATTCATTTTACTATTCAAGTGTCGTAAATTCAACTGTGTAATGTTTATGTCTATGTGTTTTAGATCGGGATTAGGATTTTAAAACGTCTTTATAGGCCAACATTGCTTATTTGAACTTGCATGTAGGTTATATTGAAAAAAAATGTGTTGGTCCATTTCAATATAATCCAAAGTAGACTGTACTGTACAATGGATTAAATTTCACTGAACTAAGTTGCAGTGGTAAAAAACTATTGTGTGAAATTTGTCTGAATTCAGTAAGACCTAGCAAACAAGTATACTAAACACATAATGTTAGTTACCCAGCTTGCCATATCTTCTTACATTAATAAGTAAAAATTTTTATCTTCTTATATTAATAAATAAAAATTTTCAAACTGGTACAGTGGTTCCCGTTTTATCGAATAGTCAAGTTGTCAGCCTAGTTTTATCCGAATAGCCGAAAATTAGAATAGCCGATTGCTCCATACCGAGTCCAAAGATAGATGTATAGAGCTACATGTATTGATAATACATTGTAGCAAATTTCAAGCTTGCACTTTCCTTTTCTTTTGACATGTTTACTTAATGACTTTACTAAAAATAATTTATTTCACTTACTTTTGAATTTAATATGAAATTTTTTTTCAAATAAATTGACGTATAGAATATATTCTTTGATAGTTCTTCAGCACATGTTTACATTCCTTCTTCGATGGTCGCCATTTTGGAAACGGAAGTAGACTAAATGCTTGACTAATAACCGTAAACTATTTTTCCCTGGATAGATTGTAAATTAAAAATGAACAAAAATATTAAATAAATGTAATTGTTTCGTTTTTATTTGTTTCTTTAATACGGTTACGTATTTTATACTGTGTGTGAGTTTACCAGTCTCGTTCTTGTCTGCTGAAGAGAGATTTTGAGAGCCATGTGGAGAAAGATGGTATGAATTTTGAGACGTATTTTTATAGAACGGGCCATTTGTGATTTTTACCATAAATTTTGCACTGAAAAGTGAATAAATATTAAGCCAATTGACCAAGTTAAACGATTGAATAGGTTTATTTCATTATCCAAGCAAATTGTCATACACAAGCTAATCAGTTCAATAATTAAAATTTCACGCCGAAAAAATTGCAAATAATTGTCATAATTAACAAGTGCATCATTGAACCCAAGCTGATCACCACAACTGTAATCAAAACATCTCTGTTTACTATGCCCACTATTGACACAGGTAAGGTGCCTGTGTGCGTCCAGGCGTAACTAATCCCCTCATTGTCGTACTCAAGCCAGTCAAGGTAATTGGTGTCAAACTGTGTAAACAAAGGCTTCACATACGAAGTTGGAGGTGTGAACAAGGTGCTGATTATCAAAAAACACTATGATAGTCCAAATTTTTGTATCGGATAAAACGAAATTCCAATATTTTCTCATCAGAATATCAGGTGAAATTATTAATAAATATGTAAGAAATGGTTTTGTGCTCTGATATTATATTGAAATAGCCGAAATATTCGTTAAACCGCTATCCGATAAAATGGAAGCCACTGTACTACAGATTTAATTGCAGAAAGTCTTGAGAAAGTTTTAGAAGCATCAGGATACATACTGTAAACACTAAACTTCATAAATTAGCACATCAAAATTTAATGCAGTCATCTTCAACTTAATGACCCAATCATAAATAAGTATACTTAGTTTTAACGACAGCATTATTAGTTTAATCAAATATGTGTATTAGTGTGTACATAAATTTGTGCACAAAAAGCAATGCAAAGTGCACTAAAATATGATTACCACTAAAATATGTATGCTTCCAGTAGTTCAATTAATGTAAATGTTAACAAAAGTGTGTCAAATCTGGATGCTACTTTTCTCTTTAATAAGAGTACAAACCAGTACAGCGACGGTCTCATCAGAGACATGGTTCTATATTGATGCAGTAGAAAAGTGCCGTCTTCTTAGCATTATCACTTTCCTTGTAATGTTCTATAATGCTAGTACTGCAAGTTTGCTTGTAGCACAGTAGTTTTTGAATGTAGGACATGCAGAATTGTACATCATAGACATATTCTATCCTTTACAGGATGAAGAGGCTGTCAGACAAAAGAACTTGGTGAATAAGTTTAAATTTGTATTCAATACGGAGACCAGAAGAGGAGGGAGAGGAAGAGGCCCCAGAGAGAGAAGAGGTGGGGGAAGAGGTGGGGGCGGACGTGGAGGAAGAGGTGGCCGGGGGTCTAGGGAATCCGCACCTAAGTTCGATGATGAAAATGACTTTCCCAGTCTCGTGAAGACTGAGGCATAAAGCCCAGCACTGCTGCTTACAATATTTTCCCCCAAGTACAATACAGTTTCATACTGAATGTTAGGAACTTGCTTAAAGAAGCCAAACACTGGAGTGATGTTTCTTGCAAGACACAACTCAATGTGAATCCATCTTTTCATTATATTTTGTTTCTTGTACATTTGTTTTGTCCACTTCTTTGTGGATGTTTGTTCTGCTTGGCAACCAGCCAAGATCTCAACAAAAATCATGGTACATAAACTTCTGTGAATTGTCAGAACTTCAGTGAACTGCCTGAAAGAGAGTTGGAACATTTTAATTAAAAGCTGTGAATGGAGAATGTGATTGGTTGTAATGACCTTATGAACTGTGCTTAATAAGTGCTTGGTTTAGATATTTATTATTCGTTAATGACTGTTCAAGCTATTGACAATTTTATATATGCCTCGAGCATGTTTAAAAAATTCATTTAGAGACAATTCATTTGATATTGACCATGAAACTGTTATGATTCAGTTTGTTATAGTGACATTTATAACAAATTGATATTTGGTGTGAAAAATATTTGTAAAATTGTTTATTTCACTTTATATGAAGAGAAATAAACCTTGGTATATATACCTCTTTATATGTATGCTTTTCCTGTCTGTTCCTGATATATAGAATTCATTTGTGTGTTTGAATGAAAGACGAGATTAAACTTTTTTAAGAGTACATGATAGCATTGAGTTTTCTGAAGATGGAATTTGTGTAATGTGTGTTGAAGCTGTCATGTCTACTTTATTTGAGGCGTTTGTTGCGAACGTAAAAAAGCTAGGTATATCAAATATACAGATCAAGATGAAGCAAAAACAAGTGTAGAAAGTGTTGTATACTAATCAACACGATTTCATAAGCCTTGCAAGCTAATGAATTTTGTATCCCTAAGTTAAACAATTTAAAACTACTCTTCAGTGGCTTGGTTTAAAGAAGATGTGCACATTTGATTTCAGCTCAACAAGTTATTATATATGATTTGTGTAGCATTTCATTCATTTTATGTGTTGAAGGGCTATTGGTCACATTATTTTAGTGAGATTCTGTAAAATTATTGGTAATCAATGTCCTTTTCAGGTCAATTCTTAAGTAACTATAAAGCCTACCTGGGCCAAACTTGCTTTGATGATGCATCTATGGATGCACACTACCACAGTTATTTGGGATTTTGGATCTGACATATTTTCTGAATAATTGAATCATTGCAGAGTAACCTGTAAAAAAGAGGGATGATGCATATAAGTATGTACACAATAGCAGGACATTGATTATTCACATTAATATGCAAGCATCCTGAGGTAGTGCAGATTCAAGTTTGTTCAATTCATGGCCTCTTAGAGGTAAGGTGGGACTATATAGGGGATCAAATGTATATGATATAGAAATATAAATCTCAAGCAGGACAGTTATTAGCCATAGTTACAAGCAAGCATCCTCAGGTAGTGAAGAAATGGCCTGTTTGGGCATAACGCCAGTCAGCATATGACTTAAAATAATAGATTGTATTTGCATTGCATCGACCATAGGACTTACGAAATTATGACTTTAAACGAAACTTAAATTTTCATCAACTTGTGTGTCAATATTATAACTTACCTCGTTTAAGAAATTGTTCATATGTAGAGCATACTCGAATCAACTGAGATACACATCCCATATGCAGGTGATAAGGGTATATTTCTCCATAAGTAAGGGAAGTTGACGATTGAAAAGTTAAAGTCATAACGTTTATCATAAAGCTTTGTTGTTAGATTACCATTATGAAGGTTTCTTGTTAGATTACCATTAACGTCTTTCTCTAGTAAAATATCCAACTATGAAACAGAAGTGTCAGACTCTGTGGTATCTTTTATTTCAAGCTCACTGGGATATAAAAAAACTTTTTTTTTGCTGTGGAAATTCGTGTATTCGGAAATTGCACGATTGATTGAAATATAATTCACCAAAGAATCCACGTAATAAGGTACAGTACAGAATGTAAAACATACAAGGGCTAAAATTTTCAAGGGGGTGTGATCATCGCCGTTTTAACAGACCATATTGACAGTGTCAGTGATTTCATTTCATACAATTTTCAATGTTGATGTTAAACTTTCGAGTTATCTCTCTTTTCACATTATTACTTTGGTTTACTAAGGGGAGTAGGAAATACTTGATATACTATGAAGGAAACAATGGAACTTTGGTTTATATAGGTAATTAAATACTATATGATACACTAGTATTTTATAAGGAAAGAGAACAAGTATACTGCTTTCAAAAGACTTGAAATTTGAACTGCGTCAAAAAATAATATAGGAATAGAAAAAAAAAAAACTGTGCTGAATGGAAATGTTACTTTGTTAAAAATGAGGAAAAGAAAGAATGTGGGCGTAGCTGCCATTAAGCACTTAAGCCTCCACCGATTTTTTTTTTTCAGAAAAGTAAAAAAAAAAAAAAAAAAAAGGAAAAAAAAAAAAAGAAAAAAGAAAGAGAATAAATGAATATGAACCATTGACAGGGATCTTTAATGTATAAATTACCACCAAACTGTGCAAAGTAATATAACTTGCAATATTTTATTAGCTGCTTCATTGTAGGTTTCCTTATAATCCTGCATGCAATCAATTAAAGAGATATAAAACTCCCTTATAACAACATAACACAATATGTTATGTGTGGTATTAATTGTCGGGTCATAATGTGCAACATACCCGGCCGTGGCTTTATCAACACACATCACCTCTAAAATCTAAAAAGCTGAGTTTGACTTCCATCATTTCGACAATTATTTACTCCATATCATGAAGTAGATGATTTGATGTATTCTGGGAAATATTTTTGATACATGTATTACAAATAAACAGACAAACAATAAGGTGTTCAATGAGATTTGATTTGAACATATCTTATTGTTTAACACAAAAGGATCAGAAACAAGTTCTTATAACTTACACGTTCTTCTCCTGGTGTTAGTAATAAAAGTTAATACAGTTACTACAATTGTCACAGTAATAACATGTAAATAATATTGGCAAGTGGCATAATTAAATTGAAATGTTAATCAAATCTTCCAGATTCATTAATGAATTTATGAACAGCTAAAAAACAAAGCAGTGCATATCATAAGACAAAGTATCACTACCCCATAGCAACAGACGCGTGTCTTTTAGGATCGTTTCTTGTCATTGGTCATGTACAAAATTATTCTGTTAAAAAACATTAATTCTGATTGTACACACAAGTACTCTGAAGTTGATATTAGAAAGATGCTTGAGTTTCTGATTGACAATATCTATGTGGTTCTTCCAACAATCTATTGGAATTTCCATGGGTACCAATAACGCCCCGTTATTAGCAGACCTATTTTTGTATTCGTGAATTCATATGAAACAGAATTTGTTCAAAATCATATACGTGAAAAGAAAACACTTGTTGTGGCCTTCAACTCGACATTTAGATATATCGACGACGTATCGTCAATTAACAATGGCTATTTCCATTCTTATGTCGATATCCCAGTGAGCTTGAAATAAAATATACCACAGAGTCTGACACATCTGTTTCATATTTGGATATTTTACTAGGAAAAGACGTTAATGGTAATCTAACAACCAAGCTTTATGATAAACGTGATGACTTTTAACTTTTCAATCGCCAACTTCCCTTATGCAACAATATACCTTCATCACCTGCATACGGGGTTTATATATCTCAGTTGATTCGATACGCAAGAACATGCTCTACGTATGAACAATTTCTTAAACGAGGTAAGTTATTGAAAAACAAGTTGATGAAGCAAGAATATCAATAGTCTCGTTTAAAGTTTAAAGTCGTCAATTCTTAAGTTCTATGGTCGATACAATGACCTTGTCAGCAAAGACAATTTATCATTAAGTCAAATGCTGACTGACGTTTTTCATAATAATTGTTAGGCCATTATTTACACACTGAATTGTCGACGGATTTTCCCGTTATTTCCCGATCATGACAAGGAGCACACGGCGGGTGTGACCGGTCAGCAGAGGATATTCACTCCTCCATGGCACCTGATCCCACCTCTGATGTTTTAGAGGTCCGTGATTGCTCTGCTCCATAATTTGTATTGTTTAATGGACTTTTGAGCTTGAAACTGTTCGTTATCTCCATACATTTCATTTTTCCAATCTAAAAAGTTTGTCAAAAAGATTGTTTCTTACTTTTATATATCTCGTACAAACAAAGAAAAAAATGGTAAACATCCTTATTCTGACCACAAATACAATTAGGTGAATCAATAATATTTCGTCTGTAAGATCATAATTTATCAATGAGAAGCCAAAATTGTTCGGAAATATTGAACATTAAATATCAGATTAATAATTTCAAATATGCGATAAGGAATTTGAACACAGTTGTCTTTCACGATTAAAATTGTTATTTTAAGATTTTTGACCAGAAAGAGAAATACTAGTATATCGATGGTTTAGTTCCTCAAATAAGCAAGCAGATGCCATCCATTATTAAAATTCACCTATGATATCAGTCATCAATTGCATCATTTTTTTTAACGTGCTTATATAAAAATAACAGATTTATACCCTCTTGAATACTGGACAATAAAGGCATCAATACTTGAAGAATCATAATGATATAATGTTTACCCAAATCAGATGCTTGCTTGACATGTATATGCCATATACAATCGGACAGGCTAATATTAGATAAAAGGAACATTTGGAACTCATCTCTTACGTCGCAAAAGAAGGAAATACAAGGGAAGTTAAATTTAATGTAATGTATAATTATTGCAAAGCACTTCGTATATAAAATTTAATACTCAGAAACAGAACATACTTCTCAATGTTTTGATTAGAGATTTAGCAGTGAATAAGAATTTGGGATTTTTTGGTGTTTTAATCCATTCCTAAGGATCATACATGCATTAACTACATTTTTTTCAACTTAAGGACATGGATGCAACTTCTATACACAAAGAATTGGATGGTTATGTCCTAACAAATTTAAATAATTTCTGCCACATGGCTTTGGTGGTGTCATAACAAAGACAAAACCAACAAAACACTTTGCTGCTCTTGCTATATTATCATTATGTAATTACTTTTTGAAAGGCAAAAGTATAAATCGATGTTAATATCAATATTATTTAATCAAGATACGGTGTCAGGACATCAGATCAGAAAAATGGCACGTTTAGTGTATTTTGTTTGTTGTGGTTTTCTAACGTAGTATTGATCATAAAAGTCTAATAATTCTTTTTTTGAGAATGTTGAGGTTGTAAATGACTAATTACTGGTGAAGCATAAATTTCATGTTTCTACAGGCAATTAGCTAAATTGTTTCCCAGAGGTAATAAGTCTAATTATTACGTTTATCTGCCTCCATCGTATAATAGATTCTTCAGTTACTGGTCTCCATACCCAAGAGAATTTTGCATAAACAATTTTGTAGATAACTCGTAATTGTCTCATCGAGAATCGAAGATCAGTAGCTAGAATTTGGTGCTGTTTATTCCAGCGGCCCTCTTGGGTAACAGGAAACTTTGTAAATGCTTAACCATGAAAAAATAGTTCATAAAATATACTCTATTAAAAGTTTATAATAAAAATCAAATGGTGAAATTCAGATATGTCTGCATGGAAATCAGATAATTATTAAGCACTGCATGGTGACAATTTTGGTTGTTTTTAAACTTTTAGATTAGAATGTTTACCCCCAAGCTTGTAAATGCAAAGGCAACAAAGGATGAATCGAAATTTTGTTTTCAGCTAAGTTTGTTTGGTAGCAAGACAAAGTTGTAAATAGTTCAAGTGATTTACATATGAAGACTTTAGGTAATTGCAGATACACATATATCTGTCTTTTCATCTGTTTAATTTTGGCATTAAGATACGTGTCACAAAATCTTGTACCAAGAAAGACAAGAGACCCGTGGTCCTTGACAGCCACCTTAGTATCATGAGTTTCCAAAGTGTGACCACTTAAAGCCCGCCTCTACCTAGAATTCTGGAATTATACGACATGAATTTAACAAACTGGTAGAGGAAGTTTGTTCATCACTGAAGTGCACGAATTTTATCTTCTGGATGCTCAGGAGTAAAGAGGACTTTAAACGATATAATGCATTTTCAATATACATGTACTAGGATAAACCCGTCGGTTACTTAAGCTTAAATGCCTGCTGTTTACAATACTTACATTCTTAACCAACTAACAACTATACGAAAGAAAAAACTTCAACTTTTCCATCGTCAACTTTCCTTATATTTATGTAGTTATATTCCACTATCACCAGCAGATACTTTGTCTGATTCGATATACTTGTATTCCACAATACTTTAAGGTAAGGTCTACACCTTTTATTTTCAACTGTTGTATCCATATTTTTGAATTATAAAGAAACTCTGTAGAGTGCACAGATATTGGCATCTAAAACAACAAAAACCTCTCGTGTTCTTCCTCCTCTTTCAACTACAGTTCAGCTGGATACATCATTACTGGCGATGTAAATATATTTTCAAAATGACGATTTGAAAGGTATCATTTTAAAAGGTCAAAAATTTAGGCAACCTCGATCTTTTCAATTGCGACAGAACTTCATTATACCCCTAGCTTGAAAAGCGGGGATTCTATAGTGATGGGGTGTCCGTTCATCCGTCCGTTACACTTAAGTGAACCCATCTCTTCTCCTATAGGCCTACCACTGAATAACATTTAATGAGACTTCCCCAGAATTTTGATAACATGGTAATATTGGCGGACCCCAATGGGGGAACTTTTTCTATACCACTGAATAAAATTTAATGAGAATTTCTCAAATTTTTTATTACAAAGCGCCATTGTGCACCTCCTACTTTAAATGTTTTATCGGACAAATATTTAGGCTTTCCGATACCAAATGGGCATTTTATCAATTAAAAATATAGTTACTCCCATACATATGTCAACTAGATATATCACAGTGAACTCGAAATAAAAGATGGCACAGTCTGTCGTATCTTTTTCATATTTGGATGGTTTACTGACTTTAGACGGTGAGAGCCAACTAACAACTGAATTGTATTACAAACGAGATGACTTCAGCTTTTCCATCGTCAACTTTCCTTATTTAGATGGTAATATTCCGCTAGATCACCTGCACATGGTGTTGACGTCTCCCAGCTTATTCGATACTCAAGAGTATGTCCTGAGTACGACCATTTTTTTTTTTACACCGAGGCAGACTACTGACAGACAAGTTGATGTAACAGGGATTTCAACAATCTTGTTTAAATTCAGCATTTCGGAAATTCCATGGACGGTATAATGACCTTGTTAGCAAATATAACCTATCATTGGGTCGTATTTCGGCTGACATGTTTCATATCAATTGTTAGACCTTTGTTTTATACCAAAATTGACTACGGAACATTCCATCTACCTGATCAATACATAATAGGGCTCACGGTGTTTGTGATCGGCCGACTCCTAGGCACCTGACCCCACCTCTGGAATTTTCGGAGGTGCGTGTTTTATGCCCTGCTCACAGATTTGTATTGACTGTAGATTTTTTTTAGTTCAATAAATGTCCGTTATCTTCACGTTTTCATTGAGGTATCAGCTAAGAATCTTGAGACAATATGCATGTAGTCTATATTTGTACAGCTCATTATTACAACTAAAATTTAGAAGAACTTGTTTTTTTTTAAAATTCCACTTCTGATTATCCAGTCCAACTTATACTCACAGCTTCTCCTTCAGAGGATGAAATTCTTCAAAATTATGTTTCAGTTTCAAATACTTTTAACATTCCAGTCAAGTGGCAATGAATTTGATTTGGATTCAAAAACTACATAAAATCCTTACCAAGATGTATTGGAGGATTCAGTATACAGTACATGTATGCGATTGGTCATCTTCAGAATTCGTTAAATTTCATACTGATTCTACACACAAGTATTAAGTTGATATTTGAAAAAAATACTTATGCAGTCTTTGAAGACCAGATTTTCCAACAGTCTGTGGGAAATCTGATGGACTCTAATTACCTTTCTCTACTAGCCGACTTGTTTTTACATTCTGAAGAGGCAGAATTTATTCAAAAACTATATGTGAAGAAGAAAATTCTTGTTGTTTTCATTCATATGTCAACTCAATATATTCCAGTGAGACACCACAGAGTCTGCCACATGTGTTTTATACTTGGATGTTGTACTGACTCTGGACTTTCATGGGCAACTAATAATTAAACTATACGACAAACAGGATGACTTCAGCTTTTCCATCATCAATTTCCCCTATCTATGTAAAAATGTTCCATTATCGCTTGCATATGGTGTTTATGTCTCCCAACTGAAGTGATACAAAAGAGCATATTCTGAGTACGATCAATTTTGAAACCGAGGCAGGCTATTGATGAATAAGTTGATGTTACAGGGTTTTCAACTATCTCGTTTAAAGTCAGCATTTCACAAACTATTTGGTCGTTATAACAACCTTTTGTTATTTTGAATGACATGTCCCAAATGATAGACAATTGTTTAACACCAATTTGATTACGGATTACCCATTTTACCTAATCAATACCGAGGATTCACTGTGGAGGTGAACGATTGACTTAAGACTTTCTTCTTTTAGACAACTGATCCCATCTCTGGGTTTCCAGGGGTCCGTGCTTTTGCCTTACTCACGATTCGCATTCTTTATTGGGTATATAAGACTCACTGTTATAACTGTTTGTTATCGTCATGTTTTTCATTCGGCCTCTTCAGTATTAAATCAGTTTAGCTCTACCCAGAACCTGGGATTAATTTTATCAATTCAATAAAGGGCTCATGACATAATGTCATAATGCATGTTTCCTTGCTAAATACCCAAGGAAAAGTAAGATCTTCAAATGTATGATAAATTAAAAAAGACCAGTTTTGTTTAACCATGCAGCTTGAGCCCTGGCCTGGACCTAGTAACCATGCTTTTCAGAAATTGTCAGAGGGCTAACTGCTGATCAAAATCGTGCAATCATTTTTTTTATTTATCTATCCATGCTTAAAAAAGGTTTAAAAAAGACGTCATTAATCTTCAAGATACAATAGATAAAGCCCTACCATGGGGCCAGAACCCTACACCCAAATAGACGTAAAATCCACAAATTTAGTGGAGGGTACTAGTACCTTCTTACTGTAATCGTATGAACAGTTTGACTGCTAGATGTTCATGAATAAATGAGAAGAATTTCATATGCGGACATATGTGTACTTATAATTCGTGACCAGTTTAGCCGTACTGTGATGTCTGAATCCTGGCCACGAATGTCTCTATTTTGGTAGAAGATTAAATGATTGATTGTATCATGCAAACAACTTGTACAGTTAAACGTCGGCTAAATATGATTTCAAAGTTATGATGTATTTTCAACAAATATATGACCAAAGAATCTTTAGCCAATCCTGGGGTCTGAACCCTAGATCCAAGGGATATGAATTTCTGTTTAATACTAGTCGTGTGATTTTTCCCCTAAAAGGATAACATTCAGCGAAGGTAGGGGTTCAGGACTGCAACTGAAAAACAGATACATAATCACACACACAAACAGAAATGCATTTTGTAACCTTTTTTATGTTTTACTGAAATCATACAGATATTGAATTTGTGTTGTCATGACAAGTCATGTCACTGGCATGTTTTGAATTCACAACCGGTAGACGGAACATGAACTTTTCCTGAAATGTTTTCGCCAGACTTGCTGTTTCGATCCCGGCCGTCGAGCATCTGAAGAAATCATCCAGGATGTGTTCGATATACTGACAGAGACACAAGCGGAACTCCGTATGTCTTTGCTGTGGAGAGATAGGGAGCTCATGCATGATAAATCTGTGTAAGTAAATTGGAGACACCATCACACAAAGACGTTCTGTCAAAGTTCCCTGAAAGAGTAGTCAAAAATATTAGAAGTTCAAAATCATTTGCTTCAAAGAAGAAGAGAATGGTCTTAGAGAGAAAAAGAGAGTGTGTGTGTGTTATATTTTTGCACACGATGTTAACAGCACGTTTACACCAATAAATTCATTATGTAGATTTGTCAAAACAAGAACCAGAGAGTTTCATTCAATTTTTCTGTGTAATTTAAGCTGTCATTCATTAAAATGCCTTAAACAACCGCGTGCATATTTTTAAAATGCGTGAATATTATAGGAAATGACTAAAATTTACCGATGATAGAAAGTCGTCACATGACGTATACAAGCGGATGAAGTGAGCGATTTTCCTTTCTTCGTTATCTGTGCAAGCTTGGAGCAAAAGTTCTGCAATTTCCTACAAAAACACACAACTGATAAAGGTACTACACTGTGGTATGTTACATAAATATTCATGAGTCATTCTAGAAGACGAAGAGAAAAATATAAAAGATAATTCAAATAAAATTTCATTTTTATGTTCGTGTGGACTTGATTAATATTGGAATGCATATAAAACTCACCGTACAATCCGATAATGAATAATAAATGAAATGTATCTTGCTGAAGATGAGGAAAAATAGATTACGAAAAAAATGGTATCATTACTTAGATTTGTTTTGTTTGAGGACAAATGAAGGAAACCTTAAACATAGTTTCATTTAAGAACTGATGAACTCAAGAATAATGTTAATAAAAGGCAGAAAAACTTAATTAAAAGATATGAAGAAGTATTTTGCCCAACACCAGACCCCTCTTCAAATGAAAATAAAGCCAAACTTAATCACGAGAAAACCAAATCAATGTGGCTTTAGATATAGGATACATTAAATTCTCCGTTTTTCGTCAGTGTTGCGGTGAGTAACAAAGGCATTTCTAGTTTGTAAAGCTCTTCGTTGATTGGGAGGCATTTCAGTACCATTTTCCGAGCAATCTACAACACATCTATCGACTGATGAAGATGTATACGGACTAAAAATCGTATCAATTGATCGGTTTCCTGATTAATGAACGATCTTACCCTCTGTCGAACTTTCTGGCGTCGCCATCTGAGGAAGTAACCCATAAACACGAAGAACATAGGCATGGAGAAGACAGCTAACCGAAAACATAATATACCTACAAAACAATGGTTGTATATTCACATATTTAGGTAGGGCAAAATGATGGTCATATGTGGGGTACAAAAATTAAATGTTCTAGAAATTGTAAAAAAAAAAGTTGATACGGGTCTTGTTTTTGTTAAAACATAAATTATTAATTTTTTTTTTAGAAAAACATTCTTTTTTTTTTTTTGGCATTCTACCCAGAATCCTTATTTTCATAGCTTGAAATTCAATGCATAGACAAGAAAAAAATGATATCCCCAAAAACGACCTCTAAGATTTTCTGAATACTGGTATATTTTATGTACAAATATATATAATTGATTTACACTTTTACAAGAATAAATGGACGACGTATTGTCAATTAACAATTGTTATTTCCATTCGTATGTCGATACTATATACATCAGTGAGCTTGAAATAAAAGATACCACAGAGTCTGACACATCTGTTTCATATTTGGATATTTTACTAGAAAAAGACGTTAATGGTAATCTAAAAAACAACCTTTATGATAAACGTGTTGACTTTCACTTTCAATCGTCAACTTCCCTTACTTATGCAGTAATATACTTTCATCACCTTCATACGGGGTTTATATCTCTCAGTTGATTTGATACGCAAGAGCATGCTCTACGTATGAACAATTTCTAAAACAGGTAAGTTATTGACAAACAAGTTGATGAAACAAGAATTTCACCAGTCTCGTTTAAAGTCGTCATTTCGTAAGTTTTATGGTCGATACAATGACCTTGTAAGCAAATACAATTTATCATTAAGTCAAATGCTGACTGACGTTTTTCATACTAATTGTTAGGTCATTATTTACAAACTAAATTGTTGACGGATTTTCCCGTTATTACCCGATCATGACAAAGAGTACATGGCGGGTGTGACCGGTCGGCAGGGGATGCTCATTCCTCCATGGCACCTGATCCCACCTCTGATGTTTTAGGGGTCCGTGCTTGCTCTGCTCCAAATTTGTATTGTTTAATGGACTTTTGAGTTTGAATAGTGTTCGCTATCTCCATTCATTTCATTTTTATATTCCTGTAATCAAATATTTGTGGTATATATTTATTAGTCTGTCCGTCTGTCTGTTTTTCTAAAAAAACTTTAATCTTACCCGTAACTTTTGATTGGTTGGCGTTAGAATGTTCATATCCCTCTCCTTAACCAATATATTTGACCTTGGAGTTTGACCCACTTAAGCAAAATTGTACCATTTTTTTTTACCCTTTTATCTTCACCTAGGAGTTTACCTACTCTTGAAAAACTTGAACATTTGTCAAAACTTTTGAACGGTTGGTGCTTGGGCTTTCATATTTCACATGAGTACTCCTTGTGACAAGACCTTTCCCTGGGTACTAGCAGTTTTGACCTTTTGATCTTCAAGTACGAGTTTGGCTTACTTCTGAAAGAACTTTAATATTGGCCATTGTCACAATTGATATTAAATATTGATAAGTTTTTTTAAAAATTATGCTTATGAATTTAGCCTATTTTCCTTTACGGGGCCTTATTGTTACCAGTAATGAATCTCAGATTTAGAAATTGCAGGTTTTGACCAGTTGCTGATTATTGTGTTAGGAGTATTCAAATCTCTGCACTGCTGACCACGTAACCGTTTTTATAATTTTTCATGCTTGATGTACTTGTACAGTCCAACATAATACAATGGCAACCATTTCTTCAAAAGGGGTAAGTTTATAAATTTTTCTTATATATTTTAGTTTTTTGAAACTATATTAAGACTTGTTAAATTAGCAAGAATACGATTAAGTAATGTTTTTGTTACTGTTTACGTATACATGTTTTGCTGAGTAGAGTTACTTATGCATGTTATGTTCTATTTTTGTGCAATGTACTAAATTATGTATGCACGCATTGTATTTTGTTTTGCCGTTTATACAGTCGGTGTTGTTGGTTTAGCTGTTAAAACCATTGGGATTAAGAAATTGTGTATTCTTAACACTATCTACATATATAAAAGTGTTTGGTTAGTTTTACTGTTTGTATGGCTTGTCATTAGTGCAATTACGCTCAATGTTGGCTATTTTTATTTAAGTATACGTAACCTGTGACTCAAAAATGTTATTTAATTTAGAGGTTCCTGATATAATCCAGCTATATTCCAGCCATTTTGTGTGATGTACATGGCAACCAGACCGGAGACCCACTGGAAGCTGGAGTTGGCGAGCCTGGACGTGGTTGTGCACGAACGCCAGGATGACATGGCTAATATAGAGACTTTAAGTTATATTCATTGTAAATAATACATGTAGCTTTGTAAATATATTGTAAATATTGTTTATACTGATTTTATTATAGATAAAATAAAATTGTAAATAGAAAAAAAAAACCTGTTGTGCCTGACTAGCAGAACACGAAGGTTGTCTTGACAGCCATAACTTTTGAACAGTTGATGTTAGGGCTTTGATATTTCACATGTGTATTTCTTATGACAAGTCCTTTCCTCGTATACTAGCAGTTTTGACCTTTTGACATTGGAGTTTGATCTGCTTATGAAAAAAATTAACCTTGGAGATAAATTTTGAACGATTAGTGTTCAGATTTCATATTTCAAATGTATAATCCTTGTGACAAGACCTTCCCTAAAGTAATGATACATGTATTTTTAACCTCATGACCTATAGCTTGGAGTAAAGACCTACTTTTGAAATACTTCAACCTTGGCCATAAGCTGTCCTTCGGGGGGCATCAGTGTATTCAAAAATACATCTTGTTTAGATATTATTGTATACTGAATAAGGAAAAGCTTTTTAGGAAAACTTGGCGATAGATACGTGTATGTATAATATGTATAATTTTTTCTTTAAATTTCTATTACATTTTTTGAATATCCTATGCTTCAAACGAGAAAAAACTAACACAGATGTTTAAGATGGTAATATGCACAGATGTTTGCTCTTTTGGAATGTCTTGTGATCCGCTGCAGCCTATCACAGTTGATTCCACTCGAAACATCCGGCAAATGTAGCTATTTGAACGCGTATTTCGCGACGGACTACTTCAATTGTTTGCTATGGACTGGCAACTTCCCTGTAAATCTTTAATGATTGCTTTGTACAAAAGACTCTTTGTTCATTGCATTTACTTTGAGATGCAAACATTCACCCAGTTTTCTTCTTTCGTTTACGGAGAATATTCGTTTTCTTTATCTAAGCAATTTTTTAATCACTTGTACTTTTCCTTGGTGGAAAGTTATTTCGTTCACTAGTATTTCGAGTGAAACAATTTTTTCTTTAGTAAGTTTGTTCAAGAGAATCTCTTGCCATTTCTTATGTTAAATTTATAGGAGGAGTAAAGCCATTTAAGTATTACGTTTCCCAAGCACCCCTGTAAAAGGCACACTAGTTTAACTTAAATAACTTGCATAGATAATCACATTAGATTTACCAAAAGACATTAGGTAACATTGGAGTTTATACTTGTGTATTGTCTTTAACTCACTTTTATTTGAGTCGTCCATTAAGTAGACCAGAATAAAAACAAACACAATCATCCAAACAAAGAGTGAAATGGTGAGAAAGATCACGGGACGGAGAGAGAACAGAAGGTGGTAGTGCTCACAGCCGCTTATCGTTGTCAGGGATTTCAGTATCTCCATATACCGTGCATAATTCATCTACAAAGATACAAGCAGTATTAATGTACATTTTTTAAGGCTAATATAATGTATTTACAAATCAAGATGTGTTTGTGAAACATGAAAAATGGCGGCTCAAGGCCAAGGTTAAAGTTTTTCAAATGTAGGTCAAACTCCAAGGTCAAGAGTTCAAAAATTTTGGTACCCAAGGAAAAGTCTTATCACAAGGAATACAAATGTTAAATACGAAAGCCCTAGCATCATCCATTGAGAAAATATGGCGGTGGCCGAAGTTTTTTCAAAAGTTAGTCATTTTTCAAGTTCAAGGTAATAAAAATATTGATACCAAAAGTGTCTTGTCACAAGAAAATAAATAAGTGAAATATGAGAGGCCTTGTACCAACCATTCAAAATTTAAAGCAAGGTCAAAATTTTTGCAAATGAATGTCAAAAACAAAGGTCAATTTCAAAAGGTTAAAAATGTTGGTACCCGAAGAAAGGTCTTGTGAAATACACATGCAATATATGAAAGCCCCAACATCAACCGTTCAAACGTTATGGCAAAGGTCAAAGTTTTTCAAAAGCATGTCAAACTCCAAGGTATGGTCAAAAGGTAAAACAAAATTTTGGTACCATATGAAAGACCTGGTCACACGAAAAACACACTTGAAAATATAATGCAACAACCGTTCAATAGTTATGAACAAAGTTAAAGTGGTAAAATTTTTCAAAAAAAGTCAAACTTGAGATTCAAATTTAAATATGTTGGTACCCAAAGAAAGATCTTTTCACAAGGCATACACGTGAAATATGAAAGCCCAAGCACCAACCATTCAATAGTTATTGACAAGGTTAAAGACAACAGATTCACAGACATACAGACAGCTAGACGGACAGACCAAATGCTATATGCACTCGATTCTTCGATAACAGGGGCATAATAACAAAGATACGTATATGTAAAAGTAAGTAATGTTATTATTTTTTTAAGAAAGTAAAGAATATTCAGTCTTTTATTATTCCCTTTTTAACTTACAGTAATTGAATTTGACTCGCTCCGAGTACATGTGTATGATTTTATTCCCCTTGTATATTTAATTCTACATTTACTATTTCGTTAATCTTCTATTTTTTTATGTTCCTGATTTCGAAAATTTTGGTCTCCCGTCTGTGTGTCTGTCTGTCCGCAAAAACTTTAATCTTGCACATAACTGGAGATAAAACTTTCATATTTCACCTGTGTAATTCTTGTGACAAGCTCTTTTTATATGTACCAATATATTTGACCTTGGAGTTTGACCCACTTTTGCAAACTTTTATCAAAATTTTACCTTGGTCATGACATTTGAACGGTTGGTGCTAGGGAATTCTTATTTCACATGAATATTTCATGTGATAACATTTTATACCTTTTGACTTTCACTCAGGAGTTTGACCTACTTTTTGAAAAACTTTAACCATGGCCTTTTGAACAATAAGTGTCGGGGATTTTATATATCATATGCATATTTCTAGTGTCAAGACCTTTTCTAGGGTACCCAACAATTAGAGTCTTTTGACCTTGGAGTTTGACCTTCTTTTGAAAACTTTAGAAATAACTTTTGAATGCTTAGTGTTAAGGGTATCATATTTCACATGTGTGTTTCTTGTGACAGGCCCTTCCCTTGGTTACCAATAATTTTGACCATTTGACTTTGACCTTTGGGTTTTACCTTCTTTTGAAAAACTTTAACTTTGACCATAACTTTTTCAACCGTTAATGCAAGGACTTTCATATTTCACAATATTATTCCATGTGACAAGACCTTTCCTTAAATACTAATATTTTTGACCTTATGACCTTCAACTTGAAGTATGACCTACTTTTAAAATTTCTGAGGAAAGGGCTTTCATATTTCAATGTGACAAGACCTGTCCTTGGGTACCGAAATTTTTATCTCTTGAGCCTGGAGTTTGACTTGCATTTGAGAAAATTCATCCTTGGTCATAAGCTGTCATACGGGGGCATCAGCGTTTCACAAACACATCTTGTTCAAGCACTCATTACAATAGATTAACTGAAGGAAGGTACGTTTTAAATCTAAATTTCTTCTAGTTCACTTTGAGAGAGAGAGAGAAAGAGAGAGAGAGAGAGAGAGAAAGGCTTTTAACAATTACCCCGATGCCATGACAACACAGAGAGGTAGGGACGTCATCGTCCTCTATGTACTGGAGTTCGGCATTCCATGCTCCACAAAAAGATATCTGGACTGAACTCAGTACCTGACCATTGGCAACAGCTGTAATGTTCAGACAAGAAATATCTTATAGTTAAAGGGCATTTGTGTAGAATCAAATTCCGAGATAGAAAATTATCAAGTATAATAATTTAGAACAGTATAGTGTTCAGAAAACATTTTTAACAAAATTATATACTGAAACGCAAAAGAAACGCAACATCCTATTTTAGGGGGAAATATTATATAAAGAATAAAATTTTGTATCTAAAAAGTAAGGACATCTTCAACTTTGTAAATATCGGTAATTTAACGGTTGAATGATTTTCATACCATTACCGGAAGTTAAGTTTGAGTCCGCTTAACAGAAATCAAAAATTGCATGTTTAACAGAATATTTGGCAATAATATGGGCTTTTAAGAATTTGTATCCGTTCATCATAAGTAATGAAGCAATGTTACGAAAAAAAAAATCTCCTTTCTTTTCCGTAAGCGATGCTAAGGCTTCCTAAAAAACGACTTAAGTACGCATTTCCATTGCTCTAGCTGGAAAATATCAAAATAAAGGTAATGGAGAGTTGCAGATGCAAATATGCAACACATCACGCTTCAACAGGCTCTTACGATCTTTGGCATGAATGACAGTCCTTGGACCGGAAGTCCAAGGGTTACTACACTGCGCTAGGCTAGAGGAAATTCGACCTCATCATCTGAAAAACAGGCATTCAAAAATGGCAAAGAATATTTCTTTCGCTCAGATCTCGAGATTGATGAACCTACTGCATCGTAGAAATCAAGCTGCAGCTGGTGTACATGGCAGTCTTGTACACTGTAATTGAATGGCCGGGGTGGGGGTGTTTTAACATTCATGTGTTACTTTCTAAAGTTAAAAGATTATAATTTAACATTTTTATCAAATCTCTGATGTTTATAAATCGAGTTTTACCTTACGGTATTCATTTTTGAAAATCATTAGATAAAAAATTCAAATATTTGTAGATTACTGCTTGTTGCGTTTCTTTTGCGTTTCAGTATATAAATATATAGAAGAATATACATAATGGCCGATACAGAATGCTGGACATTTCACTGGAGAAGGAATCGCTGCTTCTCGGTAACCTGTCTGAAAAAACAAGACGAGGAAGTATGTACATGTATTTTAAAAATGAAAGAAAGCATGTTGATGAATCGTGTTTATTTTGTAATTTCATGTTAATGAAAGGAGTAATAAAAGATTAACTTTTTTTTTACACGTTTACAGGGAGATTTACAGAGATTAAAGAAATTATAGTACATGTAGTACTACAAATGAACCCAACAGAAGCAGGGGAATAATTTCCATTAAAGATCTATTTGGCCAAGTAAAAATAGTTTCTGCGAACTTTCAATACTCAAGTTTGAAATAGATCATTATAAATTGTCAATAAATATTAGAGGATCTGCGAGGTCTTAGGAGAATCAGTCGTACATTACGTCAATCTGTTATGCTTATGTCAATTTCGTGACAAGTGACAATTGTAAATATAATAGTTTACTAAGGAATGGACGCCGACTCTTTACTGTTATTTCAACAAATTCGGCATTGCATTGATGGAAATAAACACACAACGACAAGTCCATGATATATCTTTGCGATTAATTTGTAATATTTCAGAAGTTTTGACTGGTTTATACCCGTACCAATAAGAACCTTAGCTTTGGTTAAAATAAGTGTTAATAGAAAATTTTTTTTCTTGCAAGAATAATGATCAAACATTAAATTCTTGTGTTGCTGAATTGAACTCTGTTGATTAATTTTCAGTTTAGTATCATGTTCTATCTGCATCGTCAGAATCGTTTTATAAGCAAATTAATATCATTCAAATATATATCATCAAAGACCAACTATAGGTGGACACAACAAGTCTTCTGTCTTAAATCACAAAAGAGCACATTTACAAAAGTTTCATTGGTGAAGATGATTTGCAGATAGACTTTGTCATTTCTGAATCGTTAACGCACTTAATAAAGTTTCATATTTATTCAAAACTGCAAATTTTATCGTTTTATCCAAAGCTCAGGACTCTTTGTCGGAAAGGAAGAAATATTTTTTCCTCTTTGATTCATTTTATGAATTATAGATCGAAGCGAATAACGGGTACACCTCAAGTGAACTTTTCAATGCAATGGCGACTCCTGATTTCTATTGCACGTGATAAATCGTATTTTTTGTACTTTCAGACCTCTATTTCATCCGTTGACCTACTCGATTTAATGCACGTAAGAGTACATGCAAGCCATTATTCACAAGAAGGTGACTAGACTCTGCATTGGATCTTGTCTCTCTATTTAGAAACATACCAAGGTTAATTGAGTTTAAAAGTTAAGATATCACGTATAAAAAAAATGACAGTAGATGATACAAAAACTAATTGTTACAATGAGGAAGATTTTTTAGAATACCGGTATTCACAAAATGAGGAATGTTGAGGCAAACTAAACTGCAGTATATTTTGCCTAGATGGAACCTCAAATGAATTTATCAGTCAAATTACCGCTTCTCAGATATCTGACTAAACAATCGAAGAAATCACATTCCCTTGCGTCAAGAAAACCCAAAGGCTGGAGTTGTTCCGGAATATTGCAATCTTTAAGCAACACTACGAGCATGCGCTGTTGATGTAAACTACAGGTTGTGAGATTCTGAAGTAGTTCTTGAAACTCTGTCCAATTTGTTTTGACATAACTCGGGGAGAGGACAATAACAACTCTTTCACTTAAAATCACAGCACTCATCAAAGTCTGTTGAATGTTTTGTTTCGTTTGTATAACACTGTCATTGTAATGACATTTGTAATTGTAAGGCTCTGCCTCAAGTCGGTGAACAATTCCGGAAATCCACTTAGCATCTTCTACAGAATGCGAGAAAAAGATATGATATCGATAAAGGTCCTTTAGTGGCGGAGCCGAATAGAAAATGTCCACTTCAACACTCTCAGCCTGTGTTAATGAGTCTTCAGGTGGATCAAAGTGAATGCAGTCCACGAATGAACCATCGTCGGAATCAAAATGGTTAATACAAGAGTTCTCTTCACACACTCCTGTAAAATCAGACTTCACCAAGGATTCATGATCTGCAAAAATATCATTTCAGCTATAATGAAAATGAACTGTAAAATATGTCAACATAGACTGAGAACAAATGTATACTTAACATATAAAGAATTTTTTATTAAAACTTTAAATAAGTTTTGCTAAATTTTGATTTTGCGTTCGAATGCGTAGGAAAACTAACATTACCAAGATCTCCTTGAGATATTGCAGTAATTGAATTTGAACAATATTTTATTCACCAAAGTGAATGGGATAAGGCAAGAAATTCGGCGTTTTTAAGACCAGAATGGAAATACAGCTTTCAAAATTAAATTAAAGACATTAAGGTCACTCAGAAATAAACAACTTGCAGTATTCCTTAGTTGAAAAAGATTAGATATATTAATGAGACATTGTATTGTTTGCAAAACTTCCCAATTCATGAAGAGGCATAAAATTATGGCTGGAAAATTAAAATCGATATGGCTCATGATAAGTTAAGTTAACAGGAAAATGAGAATCAAAATAGACTTGTTAACTCATCATCTGATAGTGTGACCTCGTGAAGCATAAAGATTGTGCTCATGTAAACGGAAAATTAGAAAATGTATAATTTGTGTATGTCTGCTCCACCATAATACCAGCTTTTCTTCCTATCGGGAAATCTTAGCAAAACAAATCCTTTCATTTCGAAATCAAGCTTTGTTTTTTTTTTTTCTAAATGCACTGTTTCATTACCTCAAACCAGAAGCAATGTTTTCACAATCAGTTACATGCACATTATTTTTGTGATTACAAATCTTTATTGGGAAATCGAAAGACTTCTCTTAATGATAAGTTTAGCTGGAAAGCAAAATCGACAAGTGACTCGCTATTTAAGAGTAATATCAAGTTAATATGAACTTGAATATTTTGAACAAGTCGATAAGATGCAATGTTGATTTCTCTGTGAGAATCAAGAGAGGACGGAAAACTGGTATATATTTTTTGGACTTAATTGATTTGTGAATGAGGCATATATCAGATCTCTAAAAATATCAAGAAATTGTAGAAATTTATGAAATATTTTAATTTCTCCCTTTTGCTACCACCCTTACAAATCTAATACACAATTTTATAGACATTATTAAAGACTTTGACAGAAAAATGAAACGTTATGAGATTAAATGTATTCATTTTACTTATATAAACTTATTTAGTTGATACTTAAATGATTTTTGAAAAAAAAAAGTTGTTTGTAGCATCTGTCCTTAATCAAATGTGTTTTTATCCCCCTCCCCCAAGATACTTTCAAAATCCTGTCTCTTTGTCTGACTTTGACTGGAATCTTGATAATATTCCTGAAGTAATCAGTTTGATTATGGGTCGCCTATGTCTAATAAAAATTGTCATGACCTTGAACTAAGGTGTTTGAACAAGGTCAAAATTGCATGTTTTGAATTGTAAAATATGTGTCCAGTTAATAACTTTAACTCTGGTTCATGATTTAATACACTTAAACTTTATTTTTATCCAAAAGTAACATATACCTAGAGGGTGTACATTGATCCTTAACTATGGTCAATTGGATAAAGTCAAATCCAGGGATAAGAAGTGTAAAAGTTATGTCTTGCATAGTATGGTATTGTATACCTCGGAAGACTTGACCTTGTCAAAAGATTTTTCACTATTACATCTAAAATAAGATGAGTTTGTGAAACACTTATGCCCCCGTATGACAGCTCATGGCGAAGATTAAAGTTTCATAACTGTAAGTCAAACTTCAAGGTCAAGAGATAAAAAATTTTGACACCAAAAGAAAAGTTTTTGTCCTAAGAAATACACTTGGTAAAATATAAAAGCCCTTGCAGCAATCATATGGAAATGGTCAAGGTTAAAGTTTGTTTTCAAAAGTGAGTCAAACTCCAAGTTCAATGTCATGAGGTCAATAATTTTGGTATTTAAGGAAAGGTCTTGTCACAAGGAATACACCTGAGAAATATGAAAGCTTTAGCTTCAAGCGCTCAAAAGTTATGACCAAGGTCATTGTTTCTCAAAAGTAGGTCAAACACAGCGGTCAAGGTCAAAAGTTGAAAATTGTTGTCAATCAAAAAAAAATTCTTGTCACAAGAAAAACGCCTGTGAAAAATGAAAGCCCTAACATAAACCATTCAAAAGTTAAGGTCAAAGTTAACGTTTCACAAAGAAGGCCAAACTCCGACGTCAAGGTCAAAACTTTTTGTATAAAAAGGGAATTCCTATCTTAAGGAATATACATTTGAAGTATGAAAGCCCTAGCACTAACCCTTTAAAAGTTAAGGCCAAAGTTAAAGTTTTCAAAGGTAGGTTAAACTCTAATGTCAAGGTTCAAAATCTTTGTACCCAACGGAAGTTCTTGTCACAAGAAATACACGTGAAGTATGAAAGCCCCAGCACCAACTGTTCAAAGGTTAAGACCAATGTTAATGTTTGGTAAAATTTTGCGAAAGTGGGCCAAACTTAAAGATCAAGGACAAGAAGCCAAATATGTTGGTACCCAAAGGAAGGTCTTGTTACAAGGAATGCAAACGTGAAATATGAGAGCCCTAGCTTCAACCAATCAAAATTTATATGCAATGTTAATGTTTTTGCGGACGAACGGGTAAACAGACGGACACTCGATATCTCCGATTCTTCGATTATGGGGGCATAAAAAATAAAGAAATGTAAACAGACGGACAACGCAAAAACTCGAAATCCCCGAATCTTCGATTACAGGAGCATAAAAAAGAAAGACATATATTTTAAACAAACATGAAAATACCTAGAGCTTTTATAAAGAAATAAATGAAGAAAACCCAGATATAAATTTATATATGTGATTTTTTTCCTCAAATATAGTGAGCTATAAATCTTGCTTTCTAAAAATTGCATTCACCATATACAGACAAAAACAATTACATGATATACCATGTTTGATGCCTAGTATATGATTTGTCCTAGTCGTAAACATATACAGCTTAATAAACAATGAAGAACTTGTGAGAGCATGCTGACAGTTCTATCTGCTGACAGTGTCATGCAATGGACGGAGGTAGAAATCATTTATTGATTCTATGGGATGAAATATCAAAGCCAGGATAAGGCGATTAAGGCCGGTCATCTACAGCAATTAAGAAGAGTCCCTCTCATCTCCAACCGTTTTCATTCTGAATTTTCTCCCAGTAATAGTAAAATTGTGTTCCCATCTGAATATAACATTGCCTTTGTTGATGAATAACATCATTTATCGACTGTAAGAGCGATACATAATTTCCAGTGTATGATTCGGTGTTTTAGGAAATAAATATATTGCTTCTGAATTCACATTGTAAATAATGTATCTCACGTTTACATACATGTATATGCACACTCTCATGAAAAAAATTTGAGAGCGTTCGATTAGTATTGCTAGGATCTTTATTAAAAGTTGGGAATTCATTATCACCATGGGCAAAGTAAACACCTTGATAATAGAAAAGTAATGGAAAGCCAAAAAATAAGTCATGCACGGTTGGAACTCAATTATCATCAGAAAACGAAGTAAATTATACTTGACACTAACATTATGGTATTATTGCTCTTTCTTAGCAGAGTGTATGTAATAAAGACTGAATGCTCTGTCCTCCTTCCATTCAGGGACTAATTTTTTTCGGTAAATTGTGCAACAGTTGACCATAACTGACATTTCAAATGGTTTATGTTGTCAATATAAAGGTTATTGTTCATGGCCAAATAAAGTGAAGGTGAATTATATCGTTTCTGAAGACACAAACATATTCATTTTACTTATCATTCGAATTCAATTATCAACAACTAAGGTTTATTTTATTTTCAAGCTAAAAAACAATCCTCCAGATAAGCAAGCGCGTGATACCGATGAATAAAACTGAATTAATGTAAGGCTGACCATGGCAGTGAAGACTGATTAGTTTATTGCACACCTAGACCTTTGACAGATAGATACATGTTATTTAATTTCTGACGCTGAGACACTTTCTAGCAATTATTTTGTTTTTCAGAAGAAAGAAAGTAATTCAAAATTTATAATTAACCAGAGTTTGATCCTCTGTTCTAGATGCTTTTATTTGATCTTGTGTATAAACACAATCCATGAAGAGGACAGTATTAGTTTATGTCATCAAACTCCAAGACAGGGTGAAAATTTGATTTCTTCCAGTCATCGTATGCCTTTTTGTTCTCAGAGAACTCTATTGATTGATTCAATGCACTTCAAAATTGACCAAAAAGACAAATTGCAAAATCATACCACTGGTTTCAGTTTTCCTATCTTTTTGATTAATCTGTGCGTGACCAAAAAAAAAGTCAGAAAGATAAAAAAAAGATACATGTATAATTTGGTTGAACCCATTTTTAAACCCAAAATTGCACCCAAGAGGATAAACAAATTGAAAGTAAATTAATTATTTCTGAAGAATTTGTATTGAAAATAAGTACATAATTTTTTTGCAGCTGACTTTTCTGTTCATGTGTGACCTATTACGTCAGCAAATATCATTTACCTACTTTAAAGATACCCTCAGTTACATGTATCAAGCTCTCACCATAGGGCGCTTTACGCAATTCTCTCACACAGTTCTTTTATCGTCTTCAAAGTAGTCCCTGTATTACATATAGGAGACACAAAATACATGTAGTTCATACACAATTTATTGATGATTTTGTGTACCCCGGTATATTTCCAAGATGAAGGAAAGTATAACGTTGTTAATGGAAAAATATCGAAATGTTTTTCAATGCATCTTCTCGGGCCTTTCCGGTAAGCCCGAAAAAAACACCTCGAATGTATTGACATCACCGGAAGTTAATGTTTTACAGAAAATGGAGTCCCCTCTGTAGAATATTTTAGGTAATATCTTAACATTTAATGAAGTTAATCCCCAGACCTTACACATAAGAGGTTTCCCTACATTTATTTCAATGTTCTTAAAAAGGGAGGTTGTCATGGACGCCTATATAAGAAGCACATTCGAGGTTGTTTGTGTACTTTCCGGAAAGACCCGAGAAGTTGTGTTAGAATGTT